CTTTTCTCTGTTCGATTTTAGTTGAGGTAAACATACGAATTCCAACCTGCTCAACGAGATAAAGTACTACATATATACATGTATAAATATGTACGTTTATATACATATACTCGTGTATACACATATGTAATTGTGCGCACTCACTTTTAGATATACATGTAAATATTTACATTACGTTGCGACGTTTAATAAATTTGCTCTATAAGTACAGCGAATCGGCGCTGAACTCCGAAAACGAATTTTCCTTCTCTGATAATAAACTTGTTTACTTTTCAATTCGATAATTAAATTTAATGGGAAGTTGTTAATATTTATAAGACAAAAACATAAAATTTGTGCATCGGTGTTTTTTTTATTTTTTGCATAGAATAGAATCTGCGAAACCACCTCGAATGCAGCGGTATGTTTCCATGCACAATCTCAAACAATACAAACAAGACATGGTTCAATGTCACTCAGCATTTCTGCTTTAAGTTGATTGTAACAAGAAAATTTCATTGCATTCTTCGGCTCAGCTGTTTTCCCGCATTTCGTTTCAATCTGTGGATTAATATGAAATCTGGATTGCTATTATTTACCAGATACAGAAGTAGATTGGATATGAAAAGTTGCCATTCATTTTTTTTAGTTTGTCGTTGAAATATTTTAACTGTGGTGGAGATATTTACTCTTTTTTTTATTGAAATTCGTTAAGAATGAAGTTTCAGAACTGTGGCTGCCAATATGTCATTCCTTCGATTTATTTCAAATTCGGATGTATGCATTAAATAATAATTGCGTGTAAGCGGAGCATTTCCCATCAAAAAAGTAGATTAAGACGAGTTTTGTTTAGAATTAAATTTATTTTAATCATTTAACTTGTAAAATAAAAAGAAGAAGGATATCAAATAGGAGTTAATCAACGATGATAGGGAAATGAATCTCTCTAATTGCGTCTGACTTCGAATTTCAAACAAACGTTCGAGGGGTTCATATATTTATTTGCATAATTATTAATTAATAATTAAGGATTACGATTTTTTCTGTTAAGTACAGACGCTATCTAAGAATAAAATTCGTAGTATAAAACAACAAGCATCAAAACTTGTGAAAAATGATGAATAAGTTTTCCATAATATTAAATGACGTATTTTGCAAAAATTTTGTTTACGACTTTCTGCCCTGAACCATTTTTAAAGGCTACGCAGTACTCAACCAACATTCTTGGACTCCATCTCAAGAAAACTATGTCAGAGTCTACGAAATGAATTTTAAGGGACATATTATAACCAAAAGCTTTTTATGTAGAAACTCATTAATCGACTCTTTGTAGATTTCTAACCACATTTTTTGAACTTCGCAATTCCCGTTTTTCTAAAGCATTTATTGTTTTATAATATTGCAACCTTTTTTAATTCCAACACAAATACTTTCCCTAATTTTAGCATATGTTATGCTAAGGGACTTCTATTTTTAACATAAAAATCCATTCCCATGGAGTTTCCTAGCATTTATAAAGTTTTTTATGACGTCTAAGTCGGCAGAAGGATATGCATGAAGGGTAGTACTCCGGTAATTCTCTCAGTTAATTCAATCTTATCTTGTTCTTGAAGATTACATCTCAGCAGTAGATGATGTAACGTCAACACATGTACCAGTATTCTATGTTCCATTGTACTTAGTAATAACACTTTGGACTGTCTGCAATCTTCATCATCTCAGCTTGGAAGACAGCCTCTTAGTCATTGAGTTTGAAGCAAGCTTCTTTATTGGGAAGTTCACATATCCTTTTCCTCTGTCCACTGCTAAAACAGCAATTCGTTAGAATGAAGTCAACACCTCGGTTGGCTGAAAGTGATGAGCCAAGGCGATTAGGATTTTCTTCTGATATCACGTAACTTAAGTGGAATCAGGTAAATGTATACAACATTTTTATTCACTAGTCATCCTAAACGCTTGTGTTAATTACCTTTAATATTTTCTAATGGATAGAAGTTTAATCTTGAGATAGTTTTAATGACTACTGGTACGATTCGCGTCAATAACATAAGTTTTGTTTCTGAAGTCTAATTCCTGGGAACACATAGGTACTCAACAAAGAAAGTGTCCCCTTTTTTGAAGATGTATGGCAGTGGAAACTTATGCGTGTTATCGAATGGCAATAGGTCCCTAATTAATTTATATTATAGAAAATTGATACGGATTATTAGGTGAGGATATAGTCGATTTTACCCCCGACTTCAACCGCATAGAATTTCAAACCTCTCTATAGGTCATTATTATTTTATAGCATATTAATTATTGTGTTGAAATGTTTGAATACTTATATTATAATATATAACAACTATCTGCATCCAAATTTCAAGTGTATCGTACCTTAAATACGATATTTTAGAATAAATCGGTTTACTTCCCTGAAAGAAGTCATTTCCATATATTAAGCAGAATCGAGCCATAAGTGCAAGTTTTTTGAATATGTTAGTCATATATATTTCCATGTTGATTAAGGCAAAAAGCTACTTTGTGTTGAATTTCATGTAAATCAGAATAGAGATTTTTTCGAATCGATCGATACCCACCCCGTTTCCCAGAAGATCTTTCCATCGAATGCTTACGTCATACGCAGGACGCAGCCATCAAGCTTCAGGTCAAGACTATGTGTTGATCCGTCATTCATTCAGGACCAACCCTTTTACATATAATACATACATTGACTATTGAAGAGTACTCATGTGCATATAACATATATATACTTATACGTATATTGGCAAATCTGAGCGTACAATAGTAGTTTTGAGATTTTGAAAGTGGGTTCGTTTACAGATGAACTGATTATGTTAGATACCAAACGCAAATCACACCCCAACACTTGCGAACTAATACACTATTTCCGCCATTTTATTGCAACTTTCAATGGTTAAACACAGGAAGAACTAAATTGTAGTTTTTGTATGAGGGGTGCGTTATAAAAATACATATTGAAGGAATAATACAATTTGCATATTAGGGTTATATTAGTACATACGTTTGGGGCAGATCAATTTGTATGGACTGCGTTTTTGACATTATTTCGAGCAGTTATGAAAACTGTTATTGAAAAAATCTTCTTGCTTCGGTAATACAGCAAATTTGATGCCACTACTGTTTTGTACTGTTTTAAAACGGAATTTTAATAAAAAATTCTCCTTTCAAGTGGAATCGACAAAAAAAAAAATAGACGTAAGCTATACATATCTATATGCATGTTAAAATGAAATAAATTCTAAAATCGATTAGATTATCGCATATTATTCGCGTTCATACGTCTACAAAATTATGTGCATATACTCAAATATGTATGTATACTTGTACATACTTTGAAAGTGTACCGCTGATTATTTTTTTAATTAAAATTGGTACTGATTACACATAATTTCAAGTATAATTTTTATACACTTACATACATATTTGAAAAGGGTGAGTGTGTTGGGCACATACTAGCTTCTCAAACTCAAGCAAAGATAACAAACCAAGGTAATTAGACTAGCATTGTACTAAATGCATTAAATATACTGAAGTCCCAGACTTTTGTTTTCTTTCCAGGTGCGTTCTTTAATTTACATTAATTTTTTAAATCTTGACGCATATTATACTATATTGGGGAATACAAAAATATCTTAATATATCTTAAAAAAAAACCCCGTGTCCGTGTGTTTGTTTCGAAATTATTCAAAAACGAGTTAGCTGATATTTATGAAAGTTGACATTGATTGGTCCAACTTAGATGATAGGATAATTATTATTTAAATTAATGGTGTCAATAGTTAATAATTAATAAAAAAAATACGTAGGTTCCATAAGTCAGGAACAGATGGCGTCTTAAGCGAATTTCTTTACAGAGAACCTTAAGACATTGTCCTCTGCACCTCAAAAATGGCGCCACACCCTCTTAAATTACACACTATACATGTTTTAATTTGCCACTAACATTTGACCCCGCTTCTTTCATATCATTCTCCATTTTGTCTTTAAATATTTCTTTCTTACTTCTAATTTACAGATATATAAAAAAACAGCCAAATATATAATCTACAAAATCTTAGAAAATCAAAGTTATTCACATTAAAAATTCAACTATTATTTTTAGTAAAATGCGACCCAAAAAATGCAACCTTAATGCCCGTAGTAAGAAGACTCGATATGCACGTGTTGAAAGAGCTCATGAATCAATTGAACAGAGAGTAGAAAGAAATGCAGCCCAAAGAATTCGCACAGGTGAAACTCGTGCACGAGAATCACGAGAACAGCGTGGATTTCGGAAAGGTCGCAAAAACAGCTGGTACCATCGCAGTGGAGAGAAAACAGACTGCCTACATCGCAAACTTGCGATTGGTCACAACACGTGCAGGGTGGGAGACGAGAAGCTTGAGAGGCTGGACTACATGGATAATGCTCGAAAATTCTACGAAAAGATACGGCAACTTAAGAAAGGTTTGGAGGGAACACTTCTCCAGCCTACTGAATGGCAGTGAAAATGAGACACACGGAGAAGGTGAGCCCGAAACGCTAATTGATAATGATGAAAAAGCTGTTCCATTACCCGACTATGAAAAAGTCCGAATAGGGATCGCACGCTTAAAAAACAACAAAGCGGCGGGGACCGATGGATTGCCGGCAGAGCTGTACAAATACGGCGGTGAAGAGCTGATCAGGTGCATTCATCAGCTTCTTTGAAAAATATGGTCGGATGAAATCTCTCTCTGAGCAGTTCGATACCAAAAGAGGCTTCAGACTAAGTGACTCTTTATCGTGTGGCTTCTTTAATTTATTGCTGGAGAAAATAATACCAACTGCAGGGCTGAAAAGAGAAGATACAATATTCTATAAGAGTGTACAGCTGCGGGCGTACGCCGATGATATCGACATTATTGGCCTCAACAACCGCTGTGAGTTCTGCTTTCTCCAGGCTTGATAAAGAAACGAAGCGAATTGGTGTGGTAGTGAACGAAGACCAGACGATATATATCCTGTCACTGTTGACAATCATAACTTCGAGGTCGTAGTTAACTTCGTCTATCTAGGGACCAGCTTAAACACCAATAATAACGTCAACCTCTAAATCTAACACAGAATCAATCTTGCCAACAGGTGCTACTTTGGACTAAGTAGGCAGTTGAAAAGAAAAGTCCTCTCTCAGCGAACGAAAATCAAACTCTAAAAGTCGCTTATCATTCCCGTCCCACCATATGGCGCAGAAGAAAAGTTTTTCGAACGATTTATGGTCCTTCGCGCATTGACAACGGCGAATACCACAGACAATGGAACGATGCCCCATCGAAAAAGCATCTAAGGTCATGATATTTAGTAATATACAATACATATCGACAAATAAATATTGTCAACGAAAATCATAGTTTGTAGGCTGAGGAATATATCATATAGCCCCCATACAACCAATTTGTTCAGAGGTTTTGAGTCAAAAAATCTAATAAATATTGACAACGAAAATCGGAAAACTGTATCAAATAGCCCCTCCAACCAGTTTTTCAGATACGAAAATTAATATCTAATCCTAAAATGAAACTTCGCCATTGCAAAAGACAGCTTTTTTCCTGTTTTGTTGAAAGATAATTGTTCGCCTTTTAATAAACAAATTTCCTGTAACACAGTGTCACTTTCGGATTCTCTGAGATGAGCATACATTTTGAAAACGAACTGACGATTACGTACTGAAATGAATACAAAAAATACTGGACTTTTTTACACATCTTTGACAAGCATGGCATTCTGAATTAAAAACAAACCTTTTATATATTCATAAGTTGCATACGTATACATACATCAATACTCGTAAATATGTTTATGTGCATACTATATGTGTAAATGTGCAACATTGAACAACATGGATAGCTTCTTATTCTGTATCTATGCATACACTTCAACCTTGCTTTCAGGATGCTTTTGTACGAAGCACTTCTCATGTTAATGACCTTTTTATAAGGACCCAGGTGTGGGCATGTAACCCCTCCTATTCACAAGCTATCTGTCAGTTCAAACATTGAATTTACAGTGTACTCTATAGCCAAAAATTCTTTGAGTAAGAACATGTTTTATCATGTGCAATATTTTCGTGGGTTTGGTTTAATAATATTTTGCGAAACAAAATTGGATATACTATCAAAAAATTCTATTCTTCTGTAAGTTTCTTCTTCTTCGTCTGTAAGTTTTCATGGTATCTCTAAAAGAAACGCTTCAAAAGCTAGAATCATCCTACTTGAAATCGCGTTATAAAAGAAAACAAAATTTCTTTCGATTATTTCGATAAAGAAAAAAAATATAAAAGGAAAATGAGAACTTCAAGTTTGTGAAGATAGGCAGCAAACATCGTGATAGTAATACGGTGCACCGACGTCACTATAATACATTTTCTTCAGCTCTTCTGTGTTTTTGCTGTTCACGGTGTTTTATATTCTTATTCTGGTGCTACAGCCCAATAATCACGAAAAGCTACGCTTGTGTCATATCGAATTAGAGACTTAATTTAGAACTTTAGCCAAGCTACAGTACTCGTAAATCATAATTCTAAAAATTTTATTTGTAAAATACTGTTTCTTTTATCTTTGTTAAAGTGTTGTGATTTTATTTCAGACTGCAATGGAACAAAATAAACACCTGTCTTTAAAGTGATTATGTATAAAATTGAATTGGTGTTGAATTTTTTTTGGTTTGGTTATCTTTTCTGTATTTCCGAGTGTGTGTTTTGAAGTGAAAACTCCATCAACCGTTTAGGGGGATGCGGCTCAAAATCAAACCATGCAAAGAAGCAGAACCTCCACCCAAGCACATTAGAAACGGAGTACATAGAAGCCTTAAACTTACCAAGAGTCCGTCAACACCTTCATTGTTATCTCGCAGTCAAACTGCTTCGAGAGTCTCGCGTAATACTGGTGTGGATATTGTAGCAAATTAAACTTCTACTTTTCCAGACTCTACCTTAACATACCGATCGTATGTCCGCACTGCACTAACCACCTCTTTGCGTGTCCCCTACAGCCAACTTATCTGATTCCCCCCTCCCTCTGATCCAAACCCGCCGAAACAACTCGGTTTGCAGTCCTACTGTTAGATGACATCGATGACTTAGACGCTAAATATATTTTATTTATTTTTCGAAGAGAGACAGAAATTAGAAAAATTTACTAAATTTTTTATTTAAACTCGAGCCATGACCATCCGAATGTTAGTACGCGCTGTTAACCACTCGGTTATTGCAGCCGCCAATTATTATAGGAAATACTTCTCTAGCTTGCTGAATAGATTTGAAAGCGTAACACCCATTAGATTCTGATGTACAAGACGTTCCAATACCCTACTATGACGAAGTTCAAATAGCGATTGCCCACTTAAGGAATAACAAAGTTTGGAAAGCCGATAGCTTACCGGCTGAGCTATTTAAATATAGCGGAGAAAAACCGACAAATAAACAGGTCCACAAAAACGAGAATCGCTAACTACCGTGGGATAATCCACCACTTATTGTGTGATAGATTAAAGTCTACGGTCGACAAAACTGATGGGGGTATTATCAGTGTGGCTTAAGATCAGCCCCGGTGGGTAGTGAACAAAGCGAAATCTACAATGATGACGTTGATGAATTCTGTACTCAAGGTAAAGGCTTTGCTGAAGGTTTATGGTCTATTGATCATTGGCAACGACGAGCACTGCAAACGATGAAATGATAAGCTGCTATTGGCGAGATATACGTATTAAATGTTTTAACCAGTTCAATTTCAGAACAATTACAAGAGATCTAACTTGTTTAAGAACTTATTTTTGCATTTAAAAAGTTCCAACTGATTTAGCTTGTTTAGCCTGCAGATTTCAACATACTGTAAGCTATGTTCTAAAAATTGATATTTTTTGATACTGCTTATATAATATTACACGTTTCACACATTTTTAGCGTTATTTTCATGTACCAATGTACATATTTTGATACAAACCGAAACATACTTATCAATAAAAAGAACAATTAAAATTGCTTAAACTAAAATTAATTTTCTATTGCTCGTCTAGAATGCGACACTAGTGAAAATTGGTTATGTAAGATAAAACCTTCTCTTCTAATGAAAATTTAAAATTTTTCCTTTTCTAGATATTCGGAACAACAAAATGAATGACGCCATAACAGATAAATAGCATCCTAAAACATAGGAGTTATTTGAACTCGTTACACAAAAGAAAAAAATTAAAGTTAAAGCTAAGTCACGTAAAGAAGAAAATAATATATTTATATCTTCATTAAAAAACGTCAAAATTACGTCTTACCATCCACCCACGCCGAAAGTCAAACAAAACCCGGCCAATATGGACTCTAGTTCTGGGCCGGGGTTTGACGACGAACCGCCACCAGAACCTAGAGACGGTTGGCTACTAGTAAGGGTTCATGTCCCCGAACTAAACGTATATAAATGCCTGCAATTTCCATCGGATCGTTTGGTTTGGGATGTCAAGCAACAGGTGCTCTCCTCATTGCCAAAGGTATGAAAAATGGGAACCATGCCATACGATATACATCCTTACTGATTTTGATTATATCCGAAGTTATAGCTTAGATATGTTATATAAAACTCCAGATACATTTTTGCCAATATAATACACTAACTTTTGTCGCAAACGATGTATATTAAATTTTCTTAATAATATTACAAAAAAAACATAAATAATACATATATATGACAACCACGCTAACCATATTAAGTAATATGATTTTCGGACCCAAATATCCGACTATATCAAGACTTAAAAGTCTCTCAGCTAATTCTAAAAGCACTCTAGGTATAATAAAAACAATATCACCATTAATGTGTTTAGAGAAAACTCAAAAATGCAAATATGTATCAATATGTAGTTGCCGAAACTACTAAGGTGACAGAAGAGAAAAAACTCTATCAAAGAAAAAATTTATCTGCTGATAAAATTACACATTTTGATTTTGACATTATAAAAACGAAAACTACAAAAATGTATATACATATGTATTTGTACATACATACATATATATGTATATTCATGCATACGTATTTAACTAGATCGTTGATTTATCTCTAGAGCTGCTACCTCGTTAATGTGCCTTGGTGTGGTAATATAAATTCCGTGCTTTAATTTTGCATGACATTTTCGGTATTTTAAGTGTAATAATTATTTAAGACTTGCTAAAATTGGTGATGACCAGATCATTATATAATATTTTGCTCGCTTGATTGAAACTATTTATACATATTTGATTTTCCTTCATTAATGTAAATTTTGCTTTTCTCTTCTTGTTATGTGTTCTTCAATATGATTTTGTTGTAAAATAAATCACAATCAACGTGCTCAAACACTTATTTTACTTTGCCAAATAATAACAAACAACGTACACAAACACTTATACATATTATCCTCGTGCTATAATCTTTGCATATTTGACAATTTATGGTCGCTACTCCATGCAATGATTGCACGTCAACTATGCTTATTACAACACTGGATTGACTTATCCTATTATTTTCCGCCTAACATACATACATAGGTGGCGTTTTGGTTTAAGGTTGGTGTTCAATTTTTGTTATTTACCAATGCATGCTGAGAAAAACGATTTTAGTTCAGATATATGTATATGTATGTATCTTTAAGTTTAAAACAAACTGATATTAAACTTTTAAAAACGATTTAGAAATTGAAACTATTAAAAAAATTTAATAGGAACTAAAAGAAAGTTTTAATTACGGACTATTTTGTCCGCCTTCAAATGGTAAGGCAGGAAAGTTTCTCGATGAAGAGCGGCGCCTGGGCGACTATCCGTTCAATGGCCCTGTTGGCTACTTGGAGGTAATCATTAAAATTTTACATGTTATTTCTGTATATTTTGAGTGTTTTAGTAATTATATTTTATATTTTCAGCTCAAATACAAGAGACGGGTTTACAAAATGCTAAATTTGGATGAAAGGCAATTAAAAGCCTTACACACTCGGGCTAATTTACGACGATTTCTTGAGTGTATCAATGCAGGCCATATAGAGAAGATTGCAAAAATGTGTGCCAAAGGATTAGATCCGAATTTTCATTGTCCTGAAAGTGGCGAGACTCCTTTAACAGTAGCTACTGCAGCTAAAAAACCAAATAAATTACTTATAGCATTAGTCAATGGCGGTGCATTACTTGATTATCGCACCAAGGACGGTACTACGGCTCTTCACAGAGCCGTCGAAAAGGACTCACTTGAAGCTGTTACGTAAGTTCAGATTCCACTGTGAATTTGTGCAAATCTTCCTTTTAAATCTAATTTAAAAAGTTACTCACATGAAATTTTGTTATCATCAGAACATTACTCGAATTGGGAGCATCGCCTAATTATAAAGATAGTCGCGGTATCACGCCTCTTTATATATCGATTGCGCGCAAAGGCGATCCAAAGGTAACAGAAAGCTTATTACATGATCACGCTACTCTGGGTATTCAGGACACTCAGGGATGGAACGAGGTGCATCAGGTGAGTACTTCTTTATTTTGAGTTGTATTTTAGGTGTTGGTAGAGTAATATCTTACATAAACAATAAACATAATACAAGTTCATGCACAATCAGTACATATATGAATGTACATATATACTTATGAAATAATAACTCTAGAATCATTGACTTATTTATATTATACAAATATTTTGAGCTTTAGTGCTGCAAGATTTTGATAAAAGAAATATAAAACTATCTCTTTTAGATTGGATAAGAGCAACTGTAGACATTCTAGAGCGGCAAATAACGTGCTTGATAATTATAGGTTATAGTTTATAGTTATTATATTATTTGATCAAAGAAACTATTATTGACATTATCGTTATATTTTATGCACGAAAAAATTGTTGTTGATTCATTAGTACAATAAGCTTACATTAAAAGGTTAACAAAACGTTGAATTGCAAAGAATTTATATAATATATTAATATAATAGAACTCTGCTCCAACTGCTGATTCTTGACAAATATATTATATATATATATATATACATATACATATATATATATATCAACTATTATTCTTATTAAAATGCAAAATTTTTTAAATTTTATATATATCTTAGATGGTGGTTTAGATTCAATAATACATGCGATTAGGTTTTCTAGTATTTACATGTTTTGTACTTGGTTTGGACTATGACATTATACATTATACTAATTATTGAAATCATTTACTTCACTACTATTTCTAATTTTTATTTCTTTGGCTTCAATTTACACCGCATAAATATACAAATGTACATTCGTATCCTCTGAACGTACATGTATAAATAAAACCTATGGAATAATGGTAGGCCTGTCGACATGGTCTGGCTCACCATTTGGAACATTTATTGTTTTATGGTGCGGACATGGATGGCCGTAACGCTTCCGGTAACACACCATTGCATGTATGCGCTGTTAACAATCAAGAGGCTTGTGCAAAAATGCTTTTATTTCGTGGCGCACAACGTGCTGCTCTCAATTATGCCAATCAAACTCCCTATCAGGTACTTATTTTTCCAAACTTTGCTTTATAAGGTTAACAAGTTATGCATTTTTACTAGTAGTAGATAAAAAACATATTACTGGAACTTTTGGTTTAAAATTTAAATAAATCTAGATAGGTGCAACTTAAACTTTTAATGAATTAATGTTAACTAAATACGTTGGTCAATTTAGCTACTGACGTTGTCTGAAAATATTATTTGATATATTTTAAATATATATTGTATAAAAATATCTTTTTAAAAACTTTAATTAAGAGCAACAAGGCTCTTTGTGCTACGATAATGTAATAATTTTAGTTTATCACGATTAGGTTGCTGTAATAGCAGGAAATATGGAGCTTGCCGAAATAATACAAAACTACAAAACTGACGACGTTGGTAAGTTGATAATTATAGTACAGAGATCTCACACACACACATGTACGTACATAGATTTTGTCAATTTAGCGTTATTTTGGAAATATGCCTCAAGCATACATATATGGTGAGGCCCAAAAGTTCTTGGAATGGAAGGGTATAGTGTCATGTGGGTTCGGTACTCATTCAGTATATTACTGACATTTCAACTCTATTATGTATTGTGGATATGTACTATTTAAACAATATAATAATATGTTAACCAAAGGCAATATTACAAATCTTGGATAAAAAAGAAAAGTATGGCTGATAACACTATTACTATTTAAACAATATAATAACATGTTGACCAAAGATAATATTACAAATCTTGAATAAAAAAGAAAAGTATGGCTGATAACACTATTACTATTTAAACAATATAATAACATGTTGACCAAAGATAATATTACAAATCTTGGATAAAAAAGAAAAGTATGGCTGATACCACCCTTTTGCGAACTCAACTCATTTAACATTTTATTTATTTATTTATTTTTTTCTTATCTACTTACCTACTAATTGTTACACACTGCATTTCTTATTATTAAGAGGGATTTTGATTGAAAGGAAAAATATATCCAATGCTCCATTCCACGAACTTTTGAAACTTAGTCCCTATGTATTTTACATCGTTCGTATCGTATCGTATCACCAATCACTTTATAAATATCATACAAATTCATGTATGTACTTAAATAAATTTCACGTCCTTATATTTAATTTCTTTCACACTAAAATTTGTTTATTTTTACAAATGTACTTCCATATTCTATATACATACATGGATTTACTTTATTTGCCCATTCTTATTTTTTCTGTTTCCCATATATGTCTAAATAGTTCAAAAAGGTTGTATTAGTTGTAGTTGTTATTATACAAAAACGTCAAGTAAAGCAAGTATTGCTTTACTACTAGAAATTGCTAAATGCGATGGAAAGTGATGGAAAAATACCAAAAGAATGAACGAGGACTGTGCACTGCTACACTTTTTATTGCGTCTCTAAAAGAAGCAAATTGTTATTTTTTTTCACAAAATAGAGTAGCTGTTTTCCCCCTTGACCATAGCCGATTGAGGGTCCTGCAGCTTCTCTGCGCCCTTGTCTGCCGAATGCTGGACACTCCCTTATGTGACAAGGATTTTTAACAGCGGCAAAATGCACTGACGTTCTTTATTTACATATATTCTTTTACACAAATTTAACAATTTTTGTATATAAGCAATAAGTAAATGAGAAATAAGTTCTTAAAACCAACTTTCAAAGGTGTATGCGAATGTATTTGTATATTTGTTATATGCAAAATAATGAGTTATCTGGCAGTGGAAAGTTATTTAAAAGAAATAAACATGAATAATTGATGCCAATACTCTTCAACGTTTTAAGTAAGAGGCCTTTTTAAATAAATAAACGAATACTATAACTATATAAAAACAAAAGTAATTGGCAAAATAAACAAATCTTGTTGTTACAAAGTAACAAGTTTTGTTACACATATCCTAAAATCCTATTTTACTCAGAACCATACTCAAAAATTCAGTTTATATGCCAGATAAGTACACTCCTGATCGTCACTTTTTACTTAAAAAGGGTAACGGGGTGATCAGATATTATCGCTGTTAAACATTGATATTCCCAATTCAAATCTCGATAGGGGCAGAAGTAGTTATGGTATGAATAAATTTTGAATTCATATAGTCAGTTTATTTTTCATATTTGTAATTTCCCGACACTCAGCATATTCTGGAAAATTAATTTTTGTTTGTGCACATAAAGTAGAATTTTTCCTTTGTTTTTCCACTTTTTATCCTCGTAAATTTATTGTTTTAGAAGAGAAATGAAACTTCACTAATTAATGTACGAGTATAATGAACCCAATTAATAAATGGTTAATTAAGTTAGAGTAGCGATTGCTAAATTCGTATAAATGTATGCTAGAGATATATGATAGGATGTATAGGCAAAATGAAATACATTTACACGCATTCTAAATCGGGAGTACCTAATCCCATTTTTCGTGAATTATAAGTTCTTTTTGAAATCTATCTGGGAAACCAAAAAAATTTGTTTGATTAAAAAGTGCTCATTTAATACTCGCTTCTTTCTACCTCATGCAATTTGTAGTTTGTGATATGTATCGCTTCAACCCAGTTGTCGATAAACAGAGTGTAGTGTGAAAAGAAATTAAATTAATGTACTAAACTGTACATACATACTCCTAGTACGTGAGCAAAATCTTAATAAGTACTAAATAATTCCAAACACATTCTATAGTTCCATTTCGTGGACCGCCACGTTATAATCCTAAACGTCGGTCGGCTGTGGGCTGGCCTAATGGCAGCTGTGCAATTAGTTGTGCTGGTAGCCTAATGGGCACTCTGTCACGCAATAGCACTTGTGGCCATCACGGACCACCATCACCTTGTCCATCCGAGCATATTCCCTACAGCTCGGCTAGTTCAAGCCTCTCGGAAGGATCGTCAGGAAATCGTTCGCACGAGGATGATATCAGCATTGTAACAGGTATTATTTTTAAATTGTTGTTAATTTTTATTCTCTTGGATTATTTTTATTAAATTTTTTATTTAATATTTTTATTTAACTACATTACGCAAAGTGTGCACATGGATATGTGTGTTTCCCTATTCTTTTACCTCATCAAGGTCTGCTAATATCTTCTAGTCTTATTTGCATATTTGCATATTTTATTATATACATAATTATATTTACTGCACTTATACAAGGACTACTAGTATATGTGCAGTAAATATACACACATATATAACTACATAAATGATACAAAATCTAATCTTAAATTCCAGTCGGAGACGTATCAATCATAGGGCAATTGAAAATACATTAAACCCTAATCATTGATGAGTTTTTCATTAAGATTATTATTATTATTATTATTATTATTATTATTATTATTATTATTATTATTATTATTATTATTATTATTATTATTATTATTATTATTATTATTATTAACGGCGATATATTTTACTTTAGCGACCGTAACAAAAAAGAAATAGCAATATATATATTTATTTTGTTGTTTAAACATTATACCTTAAAATTGTTTTCTCATGGTTAGTAACTATTACATAATACAATAACTATTGTTCAAAACTTTACCAGCTGAATTGACCTTTTACAATCAACAAATGAACATATACATACATATATTCGAGGCCTAATTGAAAAAATTTCGCGAATTCTATTTTTTCTTTATTGCATTGTATATATTGCCACTTACTTACACGTATGCTGACAGTCTCGACAATTTCGATTGTTCAGTTAATGTTTGACAGCTTTGCCTCTTCTTCGATATTTTGCTATTCCAGTAGCATAGTTTGCTAATAACATTATCTGATCACTGCAATGTCGCCGTATATCTCGTATAGCTTTACCGCCGTGGATCGACACCCACCAGCTCTTCGTTGATTTTAATGCCGCCTTCGACAGCACGAATAGGAGTGCCTTTATGCCACTATGTCTGAATTTGGAGTTCCCGCAAAACTTATACAATTAAGTAAACTGACCTTGAGCAACACTAAAAGCTCCATCAGAATCGGGAAGGCCCTCTCCGAGTCGTTCGATACCAATACGAGGTTTCAGATCGGGTGATTCCTTATCGTGTGACTTTTTAACGTATTGCTGCAGAGATGGGATGGGAAATCGCAAAAAACAATTGAGATTTTAAATCTCATTCCAGTACTAGATGATTTAAATTAAGATTTAAATTCTTTGAAGTGATTTTCTTAAACGTCTGTATATAAGAAATAGTTATGTGTGCCTATAAGACTTGCAGATACATAAAGTTGCGAAGTTAGCAATTATAATATGTATGTAGTATAAAATTAAGACGACTTTCTCAATATATGTATGTATTTCAGTAACTATATCTTTGCTTAGAAAATCAGAAATAGAGAAAACAAAACATAGCGGTAAGAGTGACTAACTCTTCCAAAGCGATTTGCGAAGAGATTTTACATATGTACGTATATATTATATGTATATAAATATAAATATGTGAAGGAACTATATTTAAAGACTCTTACATATCTATTTATGCATATTTAGATAAATCAATCGGTGACACTAGTGATATCATCAGCGACTCATCTGGTGTCGGCACCAACTCAGACTCCGCTGCGTGCTCAATTGGACATCCCAGTACCACAGTTGTTTGCATGGAACCGTACTCTGGAAATACCACAGGCCATATTTCATTAAAAACAGGTGATATTATCGAAGTAGTTGGATCTACCGATTGTGGTCTCCTGGAGGGATATATTCGCGGATCAAACCAATCTGGTTTTTTTTCAGCTGATTGCGTACAGGAAGTGAGCTTACGCCAAAAGAATATTATTAATTCTTTTGCGCCGGCAATGCCAACTAGCAGTAGCAATAATACCATAAATATTAGCAGTCATTCGCCTTTTCCGCAGCACTCAACACTGGTGAGTTCAATGAACAGCGCAACGAACAAACATCTCTCTCCCCAGCTTAGTAACAGCAGTAGTAAGTTGACAAATACAGCAAACAACAGCTTGCTATCGCGCTCCAATATAGCTCTTAATCAAGCCCATCAATCGCCTTCAATGTCAGTAAATAGCAACTCCTCTGACTCTGCAATGAATGCAAGTGAAACAGATAGTATGAGAAGAACAGGAATGTCAATGGACAAACTCTGTGGAGAAAGAGGCGGTGGAACTCAGACCTCACAATCAGTCGGGCAATACAACAGCGCTACGGCTCCTCGAATAAAGAAAATGTAAGTATAAATAAAATCGATATCGTTGTCACAGCTCATGAACGAATATAAATAAATTTTCAGGGGTTTTAATGAGCCGCGCACAATTGTTTTGCACAGAGCAAAACGTGGTTTCGGTTTCATTCTTCGTGGTGCTAAAGCTTCGTCGCCACTGATGCAATTAAAACCAACGGAACGCTTTCCGGCGCTACAATATTTAGACGATGTAGATCCGAGCGGTGTAGCTGATATGGCAGGCTTACGTCCAGGAGACTTCCTGCTCGCCATTGGTAATGAAGACGTTCGAGCAGCCTCTCACGAGAAGGTCGTTGAAATGATACGCTCTGCTGGTACACTTGTCTCCATGACCGTTATATCTCCTCAATTTCCTAATCAAATGCATGCTGCAACACAAATATTGCCAAACAATCGGCATTTATCCAGCGGGCCAAGTACACCTCAAGCGCAACATCGACAATGTGCAACTTTGCCACGTAAAATGTCTCTGAGCCCTAACGCTGCAGTTGGAAGCACCAGTGGTGGAGGTAGCGGCATCAACAGAATGCCCGCTCCAATACCCCCACGGCGAGATCCAAAAACAACTCTAAGTGTTGGACGAGCCCGTGCAAAATCTATGGTAGCTGGATTGGAGAATGGCGGTGAAAAGGATGATGGGGATATACCACATATCAAATCGTCATCCATAGAATCTATAGCAACACCCACACCTACACATCCTGGAACCCCGGTGCAATTACGCACTGCTAGTATTAAAGCCAGACCCACATCTAGCCGTATAACTGCCGCAGAACTTGAAGAGCTCTTCCAACGTCAACAGGGTGAATCAATGGATAGTTCGAATCGCTACTCTACAATGATGACCACCTCTCGTTTTCAGTCCGGTACAGATAGTGGCGCAGCTACACCACCAGCAATTATCAATTCGCCTTCGAAGGCTCCACTCGTTTATGGCAGTGTTGCTGAAATGAAGCGTAAAACAAAAATCAAGAATGGCACCATGAGAGCCAAACCATGTGCCATACCCATAGTAGGCGAAACTGGAAGTCATGATTTAAAACGATTCCATTCAACTCCTGATTTAAATACACATTTAAATGGATCAGCTTCATCGATATGGGCAGCAGCAAGTAAGGGCCATCATTCGCAAGACGATGTCGCCATCCTACATACATCAATGCAGCGATTAAATATGTTACCGCCGCCTACACATCCCCCACCGCCACCACCAATTGGGCAAGTAGTCAAAGTGGAGACTCGCAGCACATCTGAGTATGAATCCACACTTTCTCTACAACAAAAGCTTAAAAAGCGTTCGGAAAGTGATGCCGTCACATCAGCTGCTATTGATGGAATTCAATCAAGTTTTAATCCTTCAGCTAATGCCAAAATATATGCATCTCCACAAGAGCTACGTAATGTAATGGCATGGAAGCTCCGACAATCCCATGAGGTGAATCAACTATTTCATTGAATAGTATAATAATTTCTGTAGCAAAAATACATACCTATATATATTTTTTACCTTTTACAGAGCCGTCAAAGCCAAAATGGTAAAACACAACAGCAACAAAACTTAAAAACGCTAGACGCCCCTGAGGCGCAGGCAGAACAACCTACTGCTGTAAAAGGAAAAGCACTTAAGCCAATTAGTCAATACGCGCAGCCAACTACTAGTCATTCCTCGCTACAGCAGCCGCAGCTACAACAACAAACATCATATGACGAAGCTCAACAAAATGGTATAGAAGTCAACAATACAAATAATAATCATGTGGGTACAGGACCCGCGCCACCAATACCGGAACCAGACTATAGTTTTAGTGAGTCGGATGGCGAGGATGAGAACTCAATTTTGGTTGCTAGAAACACCAAATTAAACGAAAAAATCACACTTACTGAAGTGCCGGAAACTAGTGCAAATAGTCAAGCTAGGTGAGAATTTAGTTAACATTTTATTTCAATTTCATTCACAATATCTTACTCATGCTCTAATTATTCTACCAACCATTTCTAAAATCCCTTTAGCGGAAGTAGCTCTGGCTCTGCATCAATTTCCCACTCACTGTCTGTCGATGAAATTCAGAGAGTTCGAAATAATTTGAAACAGTCAAAATCATCCCCCAACGGTTTCCTTAAAATTGAAAATCAACAGAGCGGTGGTGACTCTGAGACACAAATCAAATCAGCTGAAGTAGCAACCGAAGATGAAAGAAATAATAATGAAAACAACGCAAACCAAGGTAATGAAATAAATGAGGAGGAAGCTGATAACAGTTCATCAGGTGTTAGTAGTGATCAAGAAGTCGCTGGCGGTGCGATCGTAGGGAAAAAGTCTAAATCCACTGACACTATTAAGAAGAAACCGAACAGTAAAAGTGTGGAAGAATCTAAAACAGTTTTAGTTCACCCAAAAGATGAAACAACTTCGGTGCACATACAAGCAGAAGTTAGAAGCTCATCAGCTAGTCTTCGTGAAACTACCAAAATGAATACTGCATCCACTATGGCATCGACCAATATTATTGAGATAGATTTACAATCGACAACTAAAACAACCAAACCGAATGATGAAAATCCGGATACAGTCTCAACGAAGTGTATACCATTCACTGTCGCCAGCACAGCCGCAGTGTTTGAAGCTAAGGCAACAACCACCACAGTTACTGTGAAGCAAATGGTGCAACAGCAACATGCTCCAGTAATACAGCAGCAGCAACAACAGCAAATATCAGCGAACAAAGCCAAAACCTTGGTTATCCAAAGTCAACAATTGAGTGGAAATAAAGTCCAACAAAGCGCAGCTTGTGGCCGTTTTACTCTTGTGCAGCAGCCTCATTTAAGTCAACACATGCCAACACTCACTTCCTCAGTTCTTCCAATAAGCATACCGCAACAGCACTTGCATCCAAATCAGAAATTACTTGCCACACAGCAGCATATTTTTCTACAACAACAACAACAACATCATCATCAACAACAACAACAACAACAACAACAACAACAATTGCATCAGCAGCATTTACAACAAATACTAAGGGCAAAAGCAGCGGCCGCTGGCGTCACAGGAACAAATACAGCGGCCATTGTTACGAAACAGCAACAGCAACTACACAAAAATTCGCAACACGGAACGGAAAATGCAATTTACGAATCAGAGTATGAACAGCGTTCTGAGGACGAAGGCGATTTAAGCCCGTCACCACCAGCGAAGGGATTTCAACGCCACAATTCTTTAACTAGAAAACAAGCAGCTGCAATTGCTATGCAACGTGCTAACCGCAGCTCAGCCATTTCATTAATGCAACTTCCTCCACCCATTGAGGCGGAAAGCGATCACGAGCTGAGCACAACCGGCGGAAGCAGTAACGGTAGCAGTAACAATGCACACTTAAACACAGCAATCCTAAGCAGTGGCAATCGAACAGTTGTAACAGTACCTCTAGGTACTGAAAACCTTGTATTAGCCCCACCTCCTCAATTCTGTGACTGTAACGATGTCAAACACATCCCACAACAACACGGGCATCCCACTGTCACTTCGCATCATCAGCATCACCCCCAGAGCCAACAACAGCAACAACAACTAAAGCATTTACAACAGCAGCAATATCAACTGCAGTTGCGCACACACACACAAATCCAAGGTGGTGGCGGCGTCAGCGGAAGTGGCAGTAGCACAGCAAGCTTGGGCGGCGTTGTTAATAACGTGGGTACCATGGGACGGGTTCGCAATGTGGGCACGACACCTAAGGCCGCACATCATCGATTACATTGAACGAAAAGTTTACTTTTGTATTAGAATAAACATCCCAGTTGGAAAATGGGTAATGCTGTATTTTTCGAACAGAAAAAAATTAATAAATTTTAATGTACGAAACCTTCATGCATGCCAATATTAGCAAAGTGGTAATGTGACCTGCTCATACGTGCACTGTGCCTTTATTAAAACCTTCTTAACATTCATTTTATACAGCAAAGGGTAAAGCAGAAAGTAAAACGTCAGTCTCTTCATATTACTTTCGTTGGGGATTTGCTGCATTAAGGGTAATGTAAATGGTAATATATTTACGGAGTAACTTGCCTAATTTCTGCTTTACCATACATAACCTTTTCCAAGTGGGATACCTTGTTTATGAATGTATACACGCATACATATTTATACACTTCACTCGTAAAAATGGGGGGCGTATGACAAATCTAAGTCTATCAGGCATATATATACACATGTATATACATACATATATGTACATATGTTTGTATGCATGCAAGTATAAAATCGTATAAGTTTCGAAAAATAGTCAAGTAATTAATAGTTGCATACAAAACACATATATTTGTGAACTTATTTTTAAGATTATTGTTCACGTCCTCAGTATTCGCAGATTATAATTTATAGTATTATTTTATTAAAATATTTCTGTAATTAATCTATAACAACGGTCATAACATATACAAGCACATTAGATTCCGCTACCATCATTATTTAAGGCAAAAAAAATGTTTTAAGCTGAATTTAACATGAAAATACAGAATACAGAATGTAATTTGAAAATTGCTGAAGGAAGTTGTGAATATACATATGTACATATGTATGTATATGATTAGTGAATTCGAATGTCAATATTAAATGAAAAACAATGATCAATAAACCTTACAAATAAATATTGTTGCCACATATTAAAATGCACATGGGAAAGCTGGGAATAGTAAAAACACACTAAATAAATATATGAAGATAATACTGAAAAATAATAAATATAACTTACTCATCACATTATATACACACACCGCATTTACATATGTATGTTATATCGATTAAAATATTAAGTATATAAATAAAAAAAGCGTTAATAGAATGATTCAATTGAAATAATTTCGTGGGAAGTACGTTATCATTCCCCATTTACAAACAAAGGATATCAAAAAATTTAATTGTATTCATTGTACGCACCGTTGCTTCAGATTCGCAAATTTTATTATACACATGCATATTTATGTACATACTAGAGCTCAAGATTTTGTTCGAAGATTTTCACTTGTTCATTGCTCATTGCTCGAAAATTTTCGAACCCGAGGTCGAGCGATCCGAGCTTTCTCTAACATTTTGAACGAAAAATTTGTCTTTTTCTCAGGACTATTTTCTTTAATTTTAAATTTATTTATGAAAAGTGTAAAACTAATTGAAATCCTAAACGAATTTTGACAACTAAAATTGAAAATTGAAACATTTCAAACCAGCGAACGAGCATAGGGGGTATCGAGTTGCTCGAAAACCTTTCGAAACCTGGGTATCTAGAGCTCTGTTATATACATAATTAATGTCTAGAAGAAAAAAATTATTTTAATACTTATGTATGCATTTTGTAATAAAAATTATCAGCTGCACAAACATTTTTAAAACTTAATACACGGTATATAATCTAAGGAGCACGCACATTAATTTATCCAAAACTAATAGCATTAGAATTGATGTTCATACAAGCTGGATATCCATACATGCATATGGATTATATCTATTATTTTAGGTTACGCCATATATCGCAAGTGAACAAATAATCCAAGCATGCTGTAAAAAATTGAAAGGAATTGGATTTTCATCGAAGCCCTCTGTTGAAAAACTTCAATAATCGAAAAATTTTATTGATCTCAATCGGGTTTGTATTCTTCAGCCTATTAATGCATGTACACGTATGTATATATATTGCTGAATTTCAGACGCAAGTTCACTGCAATGTATTAATATCTTATTATTTAATTATGACATAACTGCATTATATAAACCATAGCTTTTAATATTTATTTCATATTTATGTAGTATAAAATAGATCAATATCGAATATAATAAAAAAAATCAATCCATGAAATGAAAATTTGATTCTCGGCTGGTAAAAGGAATAACTTTTATTTAATAATAGAAGACCCGAAAATACGTTGTGGCTGCGGCTTTCTATAAATTTGTTCAATTTAGACTTTATGATTGCTATTAAAAAGGATAACACAGGTACAAGATAACTCTGCGTTAATTAATACAAAAAATATTAAGTTTCCCGTTATATTATTGATCTTGCTGTATATATGAATGTATGTACATGTGTGCACTCATAGTTTGGGCCCAATAAATCATCATCTCATCAGTGAAAAAAGGCATTCTCATTAATATTTTTTACAAAATAATTCTATGCTCAAAGTTAGTTTGTTATTATTTGAATCTAAGCTTGTGACTGTTAAACGCTATATTGGAAGTTTCTTTGAAAGTAAATGGATGGCAAAAAAAAAACATGAATATACATATATACACTGCTTAAACACCGAAATCTACGGATTAGAAAATATATAAAAAGTTGTGAGGTTCGTCCACATTTTCATTTAAATACATACATATTTCTACGCATGCCGTTGATAGAATCTTAGCTGCTTTAAATAACATATATGTAGTAAAGATAATTTTGATTTATCTTAAAAGGGTATTGCGATGATATTTAAAAAAATAAAAAAATTGTTTGTAAATTACATACAAACATAAATTTAAATATCCCTGATTACCTAAAGCACATAAATATCTCATTAATCTTTATTCATGACGCACACTATATAGTATATACATATATGCATATAATGTGTTTACAAATAGATTTATTCGTATATTCTAACAAAGTGAGAACTGAAAATAATAAAAAACTGTAAGGGAAAATGAACCACACAATTTTGAATAAAACTAAATATGAAACAGATTTTTTATTTGTTTATTATATTTTACTGTAATGTAAGTATGTCCTGCACAATCCATAAAAAGGGGAAACTCACTGTATACGTCAATCATACTGGTGGTCGCTGTAAATGAGCGGGTGCTACACAGAAGGTCACGGCTACGAGTTCTGTCTAGATCAATATTTTAGCACGAAGCTCAACATTCAAATGTCAAAATTGTGGCAGCGAATTTGGTAGTCAACATGCGTCAAATATTAGAATGGACCCTTAAGAAAAAAAATCGGGGCACACCATCCATTCGTCAATTTTAAATCAACTTACAGTAGCACAAAAAAAAAGCTGTCCCTATTCTGCTATCTTGAACTGAGCAAAACGAAATTGCATCTCTGAGCTGTTCCATGCTAAATCAGATTTCGGGAAAAGTGGGCCAACCTAATGTTAGAGAAAAATACCAGTTACGGAAAGAACTCCAATTGCTCCTAAACAGCGAGAAAAGAAACGACTGTCAACTCAGAAAAGGATCAGAAGAAGAAGTATCACAACAAACAGGCCTCTATAACTAATATCAAATCATTCTTTAAAGGCACTACATTTCCAATTGGTATTTGCAAGGTTGCAGACATTAATTATTTTCCAATTTTTAGTTTTAGTCAAAATCTCTACCAATTGCATTCGCGTATTTAGAATTACTTACTTACTTACGTGGACGCCGCTTACGCGATTATAGCTGAGTTAACAACATTGCACCATTCGTTTCTTCTTTTTGCTTTTTGGCACCAATTGGAAATACCAAGTAAATCCAGGTCCTTCAACCTAGTCTTTTTAACGGAGTGGAGGTCTTTCCCTTCCTCTACTTCCGCCGGCGGGTACTGCATCGAAAACTTTCAAAGCTGGAGTATTCCTATCTATCCGGACCACATGACTTTGCCAGCGTAGCCGCTGATTCTTGATTCGCTGAAATCAATGTCGCCGTATAACTCGGTATCGTTATATCGTAACATCGTCTGCGATATTCTCCGTTGTCAATGCGCAAAGATCATAAATCTTACGCAAAACCTTTCGCCGACTCATCAGATGTTGTCATCATCCTTGCTTTCGCACCATTTAACAGGACGGGAATGATGAGGGTTTTCATTCGTCGAGATAGGACTTTACCTTTCAATTTCCTACTCAGTCTAAAGTAGCACCTGTTGGCAAGAGACATTATTATTGGTGTTGATGCTGGTTCCTTGATAGACGAAATAACTACGACTTTAAAGTTATGACGGTCAACAGTGACGTGTGAGCAGAGTCGCGAATACGATGAATGTTTGTTTGATGGAATATCCTTTGCTTCCTTGTCAAGTCTGAAGAAAGCATAACCCACGGCGCGGTTGTTGGGGCCAATAATGGCTATATCATCGGCGTACACTGGTAGCTGTACACTCTTAAAGAAGATTGTAGCTTCTATAGCAATAAGTTAAAAAAGAGTCACCCTGTCTGAAACCTCGTTTGGTATCGAACGACTCGGCGAGGCCTTTCCGATCCTGATGAGCTTTTAGTGCTGCATAACGTCCGTTTACACAGCCGTAAAAGTTTTGCGGAGATACCAAATTCAGACATTGCGACGTAAAGGCATCTCCTATTCGTGCTGTCGAAGGCGGCTTTGAAATCGACGAAGAGATGGTGGGCATCGATCCTCTTTTTACGGATATTTTCCAAGATTTGGCGCATGGTCAATATCTGGTCAGTGGTTGACTTACCAGGTCTACGGCCATACTGATTAGATCCAATGGGTTTGTTAACGGTGGACTTTAATCTTTCGCCCAATATACTCGATAGGACCTTATAGGCGATAATAAGCGGGTGCATACTATTCAAACTTCTCAAGCTTCTCAACCTCTTCATAGTCACGGATCTAGGCCTCTTTCATTTCTTCCGTCTATCACAATATGATTGATCTGGTGGACAGCCAAGTAGCTTGATACATTTTTTGTGCTGGAATCTAGTACTACACACAACTATATTTTGGGCCCCGGCGAAGTCGATCAGCTTCAACCCATTAGGGGATGTTTCCTTGTGAAGGGTTAATTTTCAAGCAGTCGTACCAAAGATACCTTTTCTGCCCACCCTGGCATTAAAATCGCCAAGCGCGTAAGTATGTTCTAGGCGCTCGTAAAAGGCATCTTTGGCCAAATCGTCCTTCTCTTCCGTCGGGCGTGAGCTCAAGTACGCGACGACAGAGTCTCTCTCTGACCACAAATAAAACACCAAAACTGCTCTCCTTTATATGCCCGCTGTAGTAAATGTGACAAGAACCTACTCACTTTCGTCCTTTTCCTGTTCATATTTATTATTACTATGAGTATTAAATATTGCGAAAGACTTTTGAAAAATATTATAAATTTTAGACCTTGTGACCTTCTGATGCAAATTCTAGATACATTTTTGATTTTGCGTAAAAATCGTATTTTGTCTTGTCTTGTGATTAACAGTGCATCATGGGTTCGAACCTTGACCAAAAATTATAGAAACTTAATTTTTCCAATTAACTGTCGGCCGCAGCTCCTAGCAGTTAACAAAGCAAATGTATCCCTCTTACAGGTGAATATATTGAAAAGGAAAAATTATTATCCAAACGAAAATACAAATATTTAATAAAAATTTTCCAACTGATTGAGGTTATTTTCTCTTTGTACAAACAAAATACTATACTTTTCAAAGTCCATGAGATGTGAAAACTTTTTTTGGCAACATAAATTTTGCGGATTTCTTCAATAAAGAAGATCATTTATGCTTAAAAGACTTTGTAAAAAGGATTACAAATTTATTTTATTTCCTAATAATAATATTTCAATAAGATGTGAAATGGGAATACCTAGCAATATTTATACGTATGTTCGTCAACCGAATTTGGTACTGTATTTATCATTAAATTTGGCATTATATATAAATTACTTATAATTAGTATTTACACTGAAAACCATCGGAATCGGAAGACTACAACCCTGCCCTCCGCAGGGAATGCCAAGCCCTATGAGTGTATTTCTAACATGAACTAAAAAAGCTCCTCATAACAATCCGTCGGCCAGGCGAGGGCGGCTTATAATAATTTGTAGGTCCCACCATCTGTTGGGAAAACATCAAGACGCAAACAACCAATTGGAGGAGGAACTCGGATTCAAGAATTACTAAGAAAATTTAAAAGTGTTTTCCAACTTAGCAAATTTTGGTCTGAAGAAGTAAGTTCAAATTGAAATATTGAAATATAATGCAGGACGTTTCAGATAAGTTTGGCATTGTTTGCTTTATAAAGGCTCAAAGCTAATGGATCTGAAGTGTTTATTTTTCCCAAAACAGTCAATGTTCTGAACGAAAAATATATTAACAAGGGATTAATTGCATTAATGTTTAGGTGCCACGTGCGAAAAATAAACTCATTTAGTTGACAAATTTATTTTCTATTGATATTTTTTAACAGACTCCAAATAAAAAATTTTCAAGCACAAACAATTCAACTCTACATTGTCCTTCTTTAACTGGTCATACCCTTGGAATACGTTGTTCGATTATGCTCTAATGCGAGTGTTTCGAACACTCTTACCCAAATTTGCGACGAAAATAAGACGGCAGGGAAATGGATGTAAATTGTTTGCTTTCAAACATATTTATGTTGTTTTAAAAATGAAGCATAAAGAGTTATGTGAATTCAAAAAATGGGAACATAGGACGAATGAAGAAAATGAATGTGTATGTAATGCGAAAAAAGAGAGGTATACATGTGAAGTTCCCCTTTTAATCTTCAGGCATACCTAAGTATTTTATTCTTGGAACGCGTTCGGTTATTTTGGTATGTAAGAGATAAGGAAAAGTAAATGAGTAAAACACGTTCTATTTATTCCAAAGTACTTAAGTACCTTTTGTACAAATTGCCTGAATTGTCTCGCGTGTATACAACTCATTCAATATCAATAATATGTATGTAAATGGATTTGCCAAAGTATAGTCGCACAAGTATACATTCATATTCACATGCTCATGCTAGACATACATCTCATTAATGTAATTATTTATTAATTTATTATTCGCTCAATAATTTTTATGAATAAAAATCTATAATATCTACATATACATATGTATTCGAAAGTAAGCGTTGCGCTTTCACTTTATTATATTTTATGGATATACATATGTTCGTATATTAAACCGTTATTAATTGAAACAGAAGGTAGAACCCCTGACACAGTATGGACGAGATGGCGAACTAGCCATACTTTTAATCAATAGCTACCTACCTAATCCGGGAAACATTAAGAATGACCAAATCTTCGAAACAACTTTAAGTTTAACGAATCAAACGTCTACCAATCATAACGCGCTTCAGGATAGAAATTGTGATAATTCAGTAACTGCACATGCAATCCATGTTATATTTCATGATTATGATGACAGTGACCGTTGAAAACTGTAACCGCTTAAATATTACGAACGAAAGTATTAGTTCAATTTGAAAGCAGTCGGCCAGCAACTGTCATCATACAGTTTGGTTTAGTCAAACTTATAGAAAGTTCGAAATTGCTATAGAAGAAAAACTTTGACTTAACTATTTCTGTAGGTATAAATGCGTAGTAAAATACAATCCACACATATATAAACTGTAAGAGTGTGCAATATCTAATATATGACCACAATTCACATACCAATGTGCTTACGTACATTGTACGTTAATTTAAAGGCGGCTTAATTTCTGAAAAATGCATGTCATAATATTTAATATTTTCTGATATAATTAACTTCTTTGCAAAATTGTCACATTTAAGTAAGAAGCAATCAAGGCAATTGCAAGGAGGCATGCCAAATCTACAACTGCTCAGATTTTCAATGTTGGTCGTTGTTAATGTTTCTTTATTAAAGTTTATTACCGCTTGTCATCGCATGCAACTTAAATGTATGGGGGCACTTCTAAATGCCTACAAACATGCCTTAATTTATTTGCTTGTGCCCTGTAGTAAAAAATATCTAGAATTTTATAATTATTACACACAAAATGGTTGCTGTAATTGTACTTTAATATTATAATATAGTTTACCCGCGACTTCGAGCGCAAGTCCCCTTCCCGATCCTCCGAGTTTAAGGTCCCTACAATTAGTAGTTTAGGTCGTGAGCTGATCATTCAGTCATTCAGGACAAAGCTTTTTGTATAAATAGATAATACACATACATACATAAGTACATATACTACAAACTATTTTTGTTCAAATTTATGTTGTTGTGCTTACATTAAAAAAAAAACAATGCAATACATATTATAGACAATATTTACCAATTGATTTTATCAAACTAACATAGTATAAAGGTATTTTATTTTTTATTTCGTTTCCTACCAGTCATCTACATATTATAGTATACAATGTTCTCATTCAATGCTGACTGCAACAGTAAGTTTTCCATGGTGAAGTTTTTTGAATGTTTATTCAAGTTTTGGTGCCCCATTCTTTTATATTTCATTTTGCGCAAGGTAAGCCAGTTAACTTTATCATGTCGTCAGTCTCACGCAAGTGATGACTGTGTAAAGTCATACAGTCAATCAGTAAAATAGTCAGTTTTTAAAAAAACTTTTACAGTCGCATCCCTCTGTGTTACTATATGGTGGGACAAATTTGGATATCGCAATAAATTAGATGTGTATCAAATATAAATACTATATATTTTTATGAAGCTGCCGAATTACCTGAAATGCCGCGCAAAAAGTCCAAAGTGGACCCGCTTGAGGAGTTAGAGACCTGCACAAAGCTGTTATGTGACCAATCTCACAACCATATGAAGGTTCGGGAATACGATAGAGCTTTGATTGGCTACAATCAGGTATTAAATATAATAATTATATCGAAAACTCCAACCAGTTTATGCATGGTAACAATTTTAGTACATACATTCTTATTAGTTGTACTGATACCGTTAAATATAATTAGCACTTTGTAACCGCTGAAGCGACTTTCAGCCAATTTTCTATAATTTTAGGTGTTGGTCGAACCAGGGCGGGAACCCTAGCCTTCAGAATAGCAGTACGCAATGCTATTCCGGCAGATATAATCAAGGTAAAAATGTAATTTTTTAAGCACTAATGCTTCTCTCTACCGGATATTACGTCCAATGAAAAGATGACAGCAATCATGTTTAAAGTTTCATTGAACATTACCTAGCGTCCTACCAATATGGAAAAAGGTAGATCGTTCAAGAGAATTGATCTTGCCATGCAGCAAGGGTAAAAGGACACTTTACTTTACTCTTTCTCCCATGTGTGAAAACTTAAGATCTCCTTGAGCTAGCGGTGCATTTTTTGCCTAAAAGTAGTGGAATAATTAAGTCCATCAATAGAGTATACGTCCGAGCCCTCAAAAAATCATTATATCACATTTATATTTAAAAAAAAATCTAAACACAGGCCACAACAATTTGGCAATCAGTATATGTTGTAAACTTATTAAAACAAAAAAAAAGTAGAAAGATAATTCAAAGTATTTATATCAACATGTGATGCTGGACTTACCCAATATAAAACAACCATAGCTTGTTAATGGGCTCCTTGGCAACAAGAACGTAAAAAGTATTATCACATTAGGGTTTAGTTTATGCTTTATTCAAAAGTATTAAGTTGAGTGTGATACTATTATGATATTAATAATTTGTAGAATCCCAGATTGCTACTTCCCTATTTTCTATAAACCAAAACCATACACCATGAACAACTACCAACGCTCCCCTGCGACTGAAGAGTCATGAATACTCTTCATTACTTACAAAAACATTACAAAATGAAAATTGAAAGCGAAGTATACAAAATTATATGACATTGTAGTGTCATCACATACAAAGCTGTATGCCAGCTTTCCACAAAGAAAATGTGCATATGTATATATACAATAATATTATAAACACGAGTACCCTAATAATGACATTGTACTTACTAATGACCATGGATGGCTAAGTTTATTCATGAGCCAGTTCAATTTCAAAAGAGTGGTGTAAGGAATTTATTGAAAACTTTTATTGAAGCATATCAAGTGTTTTCTATTTTGAATTAGGTTTATAAAAAGATATGACGAATATTTTAAAGAGTATTTTAGCTGTAGACAAGGAACAAGAGTTACTGCAAAGTTTTATACGAATTGAAGTAGCCGCAGACGAAGAGTCAATAGATGAGTCCCCTCGAAAAACTATTAGGGGTCGATCTACTTCTTTGTCGCGCACTCATCGATTATACAAAGAACGTCGCACATCTAGTGAATATCTAGTTGTTCAAAATTCAAAGGAAGGTCGGAAGATAGTAAAGTTCATTGATGAAGCAGAAAAGAGTGCAGGTATTGGGGCGAGTGGTCGTGGAAATCGTATAGAAGCAGAGTTACGAGCGGCACGAAGAAAATCCGAGGATCAATTATCGAAAAAGAAAACCAAGGAGAACTTTGTCGATTTTTATACTGATAAAGACCGAGCAGCTGCTGTTAGTGCGGGTACATACGATATTAAACAAAGTTTACAGATAAAACAGAAGCAAGATCGCAATGAAATTATGCAAATACCGGATGAGGCCGATATTAACTCTATAATAGCATTGGGATTGAAAGAAATTAAAAATGCAAATCCGGAGAACGCGGTACACTTCTTTTCACAGGTTCGATTTGGAAATCTTGCATCATTTTTATATACTCGTATGTATACATTCCTACACATGCACTTCGGTTCAATAAATTAAAAATTATTTGAAAAAGTTTACAAATACTTTTATACATATATTTTTTTATTTACAATTGCAGGCACTTGAGCTAAATGGCACAGATATAAATGCGTTAGTTTCTCGTAGCAAATGTTATCTCTTGCTCGGAGAATCTTCTAAGGCTTTAAAGGATGCGGAAACTGCACTTACTGAAGACAAAAATAATATTCGTGCAATCTTTCAAAAGGCAGAAGCGTTATACTTTCTTGGTCAATTTGAGCAGAGCTTAATGTTTTTCCATCAAGGATTGCGTGCACGTCCCGAATTATCATCTTTTCGCCTAGGTGTGCAAAAGACGCAAGAGGCTATTGAAAACACCATAGGCACGAGTAAATGTTCTGCATATACCACGACATCTCTTAAAGAAAATGATTTTTCTTCTAAACATAAAAGCTCTAAACAATGCCAACGTACGACTCGTCCAAAATTATCCGCAACCGAAATGGAACGAAGGAATGCTCGAAAATTATTAGGTGAATTATGTGTTGACAAAGAGTATTTAGAGAATTTATTGCAACACCCCGATTTGGTGCGCGCTGATACAAACTCGGAAAGTATTTCAAGTTACGCAAAAGAGGCTGTCAACTTTCTCAAAAAGAGACAAGAATTCTGGCGACAACAGCGACCTTGCACAGCACTTCCGAAATACAAAAGCGTTGCTCAAGATCCTTTACCAACCTGGTTTTAAAATAAACTAGGGGGCGATGACTTGTAAGAAAGAGAACGATAAGAGACGACCACGGTGCTTTACACCCTAAAGCTTGAATTAAAATGAAAATGCATTACTTGGTTTTATTTTTATTTATAATTTCATCTTGATTATGATACAACATTTATATGTATACACTATCGTATTGTTTGTAATAACATTTATATATGTATATAAGCATAGGCTTTCGCATAAACTAAATAATTATGATTTACAGGTTCTTAATATTCTGCATAAGACAAGCAAACATTTTTTATGCACGAATAATATGTTCATACTTGTTATAAATAACCTAATATTTCGGAACTTATCTAAATTTTAATACACATGTACAATATGTGTATAATAAGTAAAGAAATTTACTACTAACAACAATAATTTCCTTTCATGCATTTTCACAATAATAATGTTTATAATTATTATATATTTTAACAATATTAACTCAGACACAATTGTATCTTTATTTTATTACTGCGATTCCACTTCATTCACCCTAGTTACGGTTGGCCCAGTCAAAAAAAAAACATCATCATCACTGTATTTGTATAATCATGGTTAGTTAGTTGATCGATTTGAATGGCCTGTTAGGTTTCAAATTTGTATTCATAATTCTTTCCTTAATTCCCTACCAGCTCAACGGCGACACAATTCAGATTACTTAGCAAATTGTATTCTTATTAACCATTGGGTTAATAAATAATTTAGTGATCGATAACGCCAACTGTAAAAGGGTCGGCTGTATTATTTTAATATTCTTATTCTGCTTGAAACTATTGAGCTTTTCTGACTAGTTTTTACCATCGGCATATGGTGTAAATTATATAAGGAACATAAATGTGATTAACCTCAAATATGGATGGTGCTCAAATATGATACTTTATGGAATTTCGATATTTGACATACAATTTCATTACACATATTATAACCAGAAATTATTAATAAAAGAAAAATATATTTAAAAAAGTACTTTATTTTTTCTGCTCAATCCCAAGATAACCAAAATTAGAACGCCTTAGATCATAGCATATTTTCTGATTTCGATTTTTTCAAGGGCAGAAATTAAAGTATGTACATATGTGAAAAGAGAAATATTCCCAAAAACGAAATATATTAAAATAGCAAGAAAGTTTTACATATTGTTTTCTCAGCAAAAAAAGAAGCTATAAATATAGTGTTCTTCATTCATGCTAAAAGTGCAAATATATACATACGTGTACGTTATATATATAAATATATATATATAGTGTATTCATGAATATATGTACAATCCTAATGGTGCAGAGCACGCCGCTGGCTGTATTTAAATCATCAAGAAATACTTAAATATAGTTAGTTCTTCTAGGTATTTTTCGAGTATAATTCGTAAAACACACCACACCTTCAATAAAATTTTATTAAATTTTGTCAAAATTATATATATATATATTGCTGCTTTATAACCGTTGAATCGATTTTCAGCCGAGCTCCTCCTCCAACTTGTGGTTTTACGTTTTAATGTTTTATATATAGAGGGATCTCTACAGTTTACACTAAGTCGACACCGAACGGCTGATTTTTTTTTATGAGGAGAATTTATTTCATGTCAGAAATACACTCGAAGGAGTTGACATTCCCTGCTAAAGGGCGACCGCAATTAGAAAAATTATCTTGATTTTTTATTTAAATTAACGGCAGCAGCAAAATTATTTTATACGTGAGTTTCGCTTATATATTCTTTCTGTGATAAACAAAATATAATAGTGTTTAACTTCCATTTTTGTTATGATTATAGCAAGTCAAATCTAGCCCAAGAAAATATCATTTTCCATGGAATGTTCAATTTTATTGAGACCGTTGTTGTAAATTTACACGGCAACTAGTAATTTTAAAATTTAATTATCTTAAGAATTGAGCAAAAAAGAACTTATTATTATTTAATATGTTATTAGCGATATACGTGTTTATATATGACTTTAATTACCCAATATTATTGTTGTTTTCTATTAGATTTATATTGGTAAAGTTTTGCATAGCTAATACAGCACTTGAAGCAATTTCATTCACAAAGACGGTAGCGCCGACATTAATTCCTGGTGTAGAACAAACTGTATTAGGATTATACAAGTATTTATGGTTTTTAACTAAAAAAAATTATATTTTTAGCATGCGTTTTAATAATCTCGAACGTTATTATAAAAGAATAAGATTACAAACTGGATTTATACATTATATTCAATTTGGATAGTTACCTTAATTATTATTACTTGGTCTTGTTGGTAGTGGTGGTGCAGTTCCACTTCGGTTAGGTATAGGCGGAGGACCTCGTCTCGCCGGCAATGGAGGAGGAGGACCGATCGGTACCTGTTGTACACCTATTTGCCTTCTAGGACTTTCTGCCGACGTGATATTAGATGTAATTTCGTGGTCCACTGCAGGTGGAAATGGCGGTGGAGGATGCCTAGGCGCTGGTATTTCGTCCTGAATTTCTTCGTAAATATTAGCGCTACCGTCGTAGAAAGTTATAGCAGCTTCATGCTTTGGTGTTGATACCGGAGTCACATTTTTGCTGAGGCGCGGAGGTGTGGGTGGAAATGATCCGTCAGCAATTTCAACTGGTGAAACACCAGAGGACGAATGCATTGACGATGATTGCTGAGTTTCAGTAGGTGACTGCGACTTGGAGGATGATATACTTTCGTTTCCTTCGATATTTGTACCTTTATTGGATGCTCCGATTTTAGTGTTATTTTCATTGGATTGAGATGTTGCAAGTGGTTGTAAAGGTTGTGGCATCAATGGTTGAGGTGGCAAAGGAGGTTTTGGCGATTTTAACTGCAACATCTCTGGCACCACACTTATAACTCCGACGTGTGGTTGGTGACGTGGTGAGTTTTTAGGTGACATTGGCATAGGTGGACGAGCAGGGGCCGGTCGTGATGGTGGCTGTTTAGGACGACGCGGTACATCAGGAGAGGTACTAAATAATTCTGCTTGTTCTTTTGGATTTGAACATAAAGGTATTGTGTTTGTAGTGCATAACTCAATTTCATTATCAACTATAGGTTGCCAATTGGCGGTCTTTAATTCTAATTGTAACTCCAATCCACAAATGCGTATAGATTTTTTATTGCCGGCATGTAATGCTGATTCACCATCCCGAAATGTTACCCACATTGTGTCCTCTACATATCGAACCAGCGTAACCTCGCCCAACTTTGATAACTCTTGAATGAGTGTAGACATAACAGCTTCATCGTAAATGGTAGGGCCATCTTCATCAACAGCATCTTCTTTCACGTTTGCAACAATGGTAGAGTCAGGTGGTCCCAAGTCTCTTATAACTTGTTCGAAAACCTAAATTTATAATGGAATAAAAAAATGTGTAAAGAAAAATTTAAGCATTTATATTTATTTTACTAGACGTATGACTATATACCTCTCGTCTACGGTATGTATCAATTTTAACAATTTCAGCATCTATTATAGCAATAACGGGACGATGATCACTCTGCTTTAACTCTGAACGGCCATAATGAATAAGTTTGCCTGGATTCCACTCAACGCTAGTAACATCTGTTTCGGCAGCTAAAGCTTTACGTCGCCGCCAAAGCACGCGATCGGTCCAAGCAGGAGCTCTTTGCTTTTCCGACGTATCATATTCATCACTAAACAGATCATATTTGTATGTAGGATCAAAATTTATTTCTCCTTCCAGAAAATCACTGAATACATTCCCAGATTCTTGTTCCTTTCGCAACTGATCACTTAATAGTACGGATTTAAGATCCCCATTCTGAATAGCTTCTTTCAAATCTTCCTTTTCCATATCAATTCTATAATTAAAATCGCCACACCAAAAAACCCAGTCATGTGACTTTAAAGTGCGACCCATTGGAAACGCCAACTTTCTTGTTATTTCAGCATAATCTGCGTTACGTTCAGCAACCTATAATAATTTTGTAAAGCGCAATGTAAATGTACAATATAACCCAAGGAACAAAAAATACATTATTACAATATATGTAATATTAACATATTAAAAATTATACATTTTTAATTAGTTGCGTTTAGATGTATATATCGAATGACAGAAACTCACCTGTGACTGACCAGCAGCAAAATGAGCACAAACGAAGCACATTGAAGTTCCATGCAAAACAAAACGTATTGCACATGCTCCCTTATTGCCGGTAGCACCACCCAATCCGGTTTTCACACAGTCAATCGCCACATCACGAATAAACGGCGCATGTTCCGGTCGAACATATATATATAGGCATACGCCGACTAACTGCTGATAAGAGAGAAGTACATAATCATTGTCGCGAGAAATAGTTTTTTGCAACTCTTCTGCCCACATTTTTGCGTTATCTGTGCTGGCAGCAACAATATTAGAAGCGTTTAAGTCCACAATTTCTTGGAAACCGATGGCGTATATATCAACGGGAGCACAAGCATTCTCTGAAGGGTTATTCACATCGACTAAGGCTTTAGCTCGAGCCAAGGCATGACAATCAAGGAGCCAATCAGACAAAGAGTCCTTAAAAACAATACTTCTAAAGTGCTTACCGCCGTTTACATTATAAGTACCCACAGCAACTCGACATGTACGTGGGACCACGTACTCCGCATACCGTTTGCACATTTCTCTCAATACTGTAGTTGGTGCATGCAGCATATTTGATGGCAATAATATACGAGCCCTATCAGCCAACTCTGAAGAGAGTGTTGAACCGACCAATAAAATGTCAATAGCTTCCTGCTTAGAATTATCTAACAAATTATTTTGAATAGTACGAGCTGCAGAGCGCGCGCCGTCCATTAGTTTGGAACCACCCTGTATTGCACCAGTACCTGCATAAATTTTACTAACTTCGTTGCCGTTATTTATCCACATCTGACGAAATATTTCTTCAAATCTAGAAAAGTTTTGTTTTTTCTCTCCTAGCTTTAGAGCTTCAATTTGTTGAATTAGCATGTCTAAACCTAAGTAGGTCTGAACGCAGTTGGTACGATCCAAGCAATCTAGACAATTTGTGCGAATAACACCAAATTGTTCCCGCAACACTTGTCCCTGAGAAGCGTGGAAGTAACCGTAGTTTACTCCACAAACTCCCAAACGTTCTTTAAGTTTCGAAAGGGCGCCAAAGTTTCCACCACGGCACTCCTGGTGGTAATCAAATATAATATGGGGAACATCTTTGTGAGTTGACATATTGTGGTGCCTCTGGAATTCGTTACTTAACATAGCTTCCCCTTCTTTACTACCAATCATTGAAGTACCCAAAAGGTTAATTATAGCCTGATATCCGTAACGTTGTTTCATCATCATCATATGTCGGTCGAATGCAGCAGCTGAAGCCTCAAAACCTCGAGATAATTTTACTTTGTGAGAGCCCACTTGCACACCTGGCTGCTCCCAAAAAAGGGGTACAGATCCACGTGTTTGTATATAACTAGTCACATCACTATCCACATAGATCACCTGCTCTGTTTCAACGAAGTTAGCCACATGCCCTTCGTCATTAGTTCCTTGAAATACAAAAAAGAAATTAGTAATGAGCACTAAGAAACAGTGGTATTGAAATACAAAAAAAATAGTAATGAAATACAAAAAATTTGTAATAAAATACAAAAATGCTGGAAGGAATGAAATCGCGTCAAATAATTTCTTTTATTGACTAATTGAAAGCAATCAAATATCTAAATTCCTTGTAAAACCGCATAAGTATGTATGTACCTACAAACTACATTTTTCTTATATTGATTGGTTTAAAGAATATACGTAACTGTAACTCATGTAACTCACGAAAAATGTAACATACATATGTATGTATATTAAATCAAATAATAATAATATCGATATTTGTAAAAGCGTGTTTAAATGTTTTACATACCTCTTACATTGAATCGAGTTCCTGCACGCTCACAACTTAATCTTGATATAATAGCGGCTCGAGCTTGTTTAGCACCAATATAGACTGTGCGAACCTCTACATATCCACACATTGCCTTCAATAACCAGGAATGGCAATCGACACCAAATCGAAGCATGTGTATGTGCATCATTCGATTCCAAAAGAAACGATTGTCTGTTTCAGATATCTTTTGGCGGCGCTGAGCACATAATGTTATATCGAATTTCTGTAAACAAGAACTCATCGAAGTATTCGAGTGTGCAAAGTAGAATGTGCCCGAGTTCAGCAGCTTGCGGCACTCCGATATTTTGTCTTCATTCGGCGTTGCGTTCTGCAAAGCAACAAACTGTGTCTGTGTAATTCGAAAAACTTCTATATCGCAGATTTTTCCCATAGAAACACATCCTGTAACAAGCACTAGAAACAAAACCGTACTTTCCCCAGCATTTAGTTGTAGGACGCCAAGGCAACCATATGCATCACATAACTTTACATATTGCTTACGTATTACATCTGTTTCTTGATTGGTTAGCAGTGCAACGGCATGGGATTCAAAAAGAATACTATCACTTTTATTTCGATGCTCCAGGAGCACACTATAAGGTGATGGTGGAATAGATTTCTCCAGTACTCGTATGACCTTTGACATAGCCATTTTGAAGGACAATTTTAACGAATTTTTGGTATGCTTATTCCTTTATATTTTCGATATTTTTTTGAAGACCTTAACATACTTTTTGCCTGTTAAAACATCTGAAATATGAATGGACATTAAATGAACACTTCAAAAGTCAAGATTGTCAATTGCACATATCATATCTAGCTCTCATAATTATATTGATATACGCTTTTACATTAAGAAATGCATATATTTCATGTTGCATTTTCCAAGCACCTTTCGAATACAGCAATTTTCAGATTTCACCAGCCTGTGTCTTGCCTATAACAATTCTCTATTTGATTAGCATAGGCACCATTTCCACAATTATAGCTAAACAAAGAAAAATCACCCCAGTTGTTTCATCATGAGATTTGGCGACAATTAAAAACGCCAAAGGAAGGCATATATACTTCACCTGACCATCTGATACTTAATCAAAAACTGGTAAATTTGCACTTCATTTCATTTCAAGGTCTACATAATTAGTCGTCAAATTTCCCCCTCGCTATATTTTGGTCGATCAAATCCCAACCGAACGATCTATAGTAGCATACAATTTGGATTTAAAATATTCCGAAAAGTACCATTGTGGCAAATGTATATACATTGACATAATTTAGATATATATTTTCACCTTAAATCAATTATATTTTCACATATGATATTATAACAAACTTTTATTAAAGTACCATGAAATTGAATATCCGCCCCTTTAATCCTAACACTAATCAACATAAAAGTGATATAGATTTTTCACAACACTTTAAGTTCTGTCTTCCATGATTTAAAAACTTATGCTCTCTTGCTACTGTCAAACGTACTTTAAATCGTATCTAAATATTAACAAAGATAACATATTACTGCACGCTTTACCTTTTTAAACATTGTACAAATAAATTCAAACTTTTAATTTCCCAACTCAAATGTTTTGCAATTCGCAAATTGAATTTTCAGAAATAAATTCGCCGAGCAGATTAAGTGTGGCCAAGTGAATTCGTGAATAGAAAATAATACTAGGGCATACACGCCGAATGTAAAGCAATTATAATTTATTTTTAGAAAAAGAAATGGTACAGATGTTGTCTATTAACATTTTAGATGTCAGCAATGAATACTGGTTTCTAACTTCTAAGTTAGAGCTATGCTCAGCAACATGTATTAATTTGGCCACTTCAATGATTCATGGTACTCTATGAAGTTTGCCAATGTAGTACTATGTGAAATTGGCCACCCCTCAGCTATGTACGTTAATTAACAATTTATTATTGCGAGTATTTCCATATATTCTTTATTTCTCTCCCGATTTCCACAGACAACTCAGTCATCTATTCGTTTATTATATGTATATAATAACGGCGGCCAACATTTTCAGTCACAAATTATTGAAAAGTGAAAATAGTACAACTCTCACTTAAAAAGGTCGTAATGTATTAGTAAAGCGAATTGTTACTTATTAAGTAATAAATAAGCGTTAATTAAATTTTTTGTAAATGTAAAATTGTACAACAAATTTGAGGAATTAAGAAATCACCGATTCTCATATAGATAAAATCGTTACAATAGCTCTGTTTAGTGAGAAATGTCAGTAAGAACTAGCCAGTACCGAAATGTCAAAAATGCGCTCTCTCGGAGCAAATTTCACTGGTTTTTTGTTTCACTAACCGCGATTCAGTAAAATTACTAACAATCGTTACAAAAACTGTTAACCCGGGAAAAAATAATCGAGGAACGGATTTATCTGCAATTTGTGAGAGGTTCGTATCATGTTATCTTTGTTTCAACTCACTGAACAGAGCTACTATGTTATTTGTATACAAAATATGAAATCAGCTGATTACTTCACATTGGATTAAAATCTGTCAAAGATCTATTAATATAATAAAGGATAGACTGTAGCGCCTTATAAAAAATTTTTTTTTAATTAATCTTGAGTTAGTATTAAACCAACTACAGATTTACTATATTCTTACGTGTGCCTAAGGAGATTTAAAAAGTTTCGTTTAATTATTTTATGCCAGCAAAATAGTACATCGTGCAGTATGACGGATACCATTAATAAGGGGTCCTCGACTGAATTCGATGCCAAATATGGAATTTTAGATAAAAATACTCCCCCACGTTCTCTGATGTGTGGCCGATATAAACAGTAAATTCTGCAAAGGAATTCCAATATAAAGTGAGTTAACAATATTTTCCTTTCTATTTACAGAAGTTTCGCCTATTATACTTTGCGTTCGCGACTACCAATAACGCTAACCAGTATAATCGATAGTATAACCAAGGACAAAGACGATTTGTTGTCAGAGTATGGTGAGGTTAGTAAATTATTACATATTATCATACTTAATATTTATAGTATTTACTTGTCTTTACTTTACAATATTTAGGTAAAGATATTTTTAAGACATATTTAGCATGATAAGATGTTAATGGAGATTAAAAACCATTCGTACAATTACATTCTAGGGATCACGAGAAGAAATTAAAAATATTATTGGGTCAATATCAAAACTGAAGTACGAATTACAAACAGATAAAACAATAGAAACTTTCTTTGGAAATGGTTTGTTATAAATAACTTTTTGAAAGAGTTTCTGTTTATTTGATATTATAATTTTTTTTCTTAGAACCCGACAAAGAAATATGGAATAAGTTTATTAAAAGTCTGGGACCTGGAGAAAACAGCTTTTTCAAAACATGCTGGCTGTATGCTGAATGTTATATGTATCGTCGATTGTCCTCCTTCTTCGAAAACTCTCAAACTTTAATGAGCTTTGATTACTTTGCCAAGCAAAAACAGAATGCTCTCATTTCTTCAATAAAATGTGTTGAAGACATATTGCGGGTTCTTCAAAAAATAGACATCACCTTCGAATCTTTTCAATTAATGCTTAAGGTATATTTTAAATGGATTCAACATTTATATATGAGAATTAGTATTACCATTTTCCAGCTTAATTTATGGGGTAATAGATGTGATCTATCAATTACATCCGGAAAAGAGGTTATTCTTGGCGACAATCCCTTTGACCTTGTTCATGGTTTTGATAAAAGAATTATAGTTGATGATACCGTCGCAGTTAATGATTATTTAAAGTCAATAAACAAATACAAACCTAGGGTTGTGGAATTTGTCTGTGACAATGCAGGATACGAACTATTTACAGATTTTGTACTTGCTGATTACTTAATAAAAAGTAAATTAGCGGAAAAAGTACGTTTTAATTTGAAAGCAATACCTTGGTTTGTGTCTGATGCAACCATTAAAGATGTCGATTGGACCCTACAATATTTGCGGAATCACTCCTCACCTGTTTTACGAGAATATGGAGAAAGATGGCAACGATTTTTGGAAGGAAAAATATTTGAAGTAGAGCCATTGGAATATTTCTGGACCAGCCCTTACGAATACTATAAGTAAGAAGAAAAACAGTTTCCCCTTTTTATACAAATATAATTTAATTTATATCGTAAATAAGCAATAGTTTGAAATCATAAACATACATACATATATAATGGTAATTCCAATTGGCAAAGGTGTTAGTATGTGCGATTTGTAGTATATAGTAAAACTTTTTCATAAATGTTTTAGAATGCGCGAAATTAATCCTGACTTGTATAAGCGGCTTTCAGAAGCTCAACTTGTTGTATTTAAGGGGGATCTTAATTATCGAAAGCTTATTGGCGACTTCTCTTGGAATTTTACTGAGCCATTTAAAACATGCCTGCGTGGTAAATTTATTCTGAACAAAATTATCTGTCGTAAACTAATTTGATTTTTATTGTACAGGATTCCTACCAACTAGCATCATTAGCTTACGTACCGTAAAAGCGGATTTAATATCTGGGCTTTTGGAGGGGCAAGCTGAAATTTTATTCGAAACTGACAAAAATTGGATGACGACGGGAGAATATGGTACAATACAATTTGTAAAAAAATCAACTTTGTCTGCTTAAAGGAACAAATACCACAAATACAACACAATAGAGATAATTGGTGAAATTAGTTAAGCAAAGGTAACACCATGTATATTGATATTAAATTCTAGTCCATTGTTATAAAATCGAATAGTTGAATGTACATATATTTGCAAAATATCCATTCTGTATTAAAAATTTGAACATTTTTTTAATAATTATTACTTAATTTTTTTACCTTTAAATCCTACATTATTAAGTAAAATTTATAATTTTTGTCTCTTAATTTAATAACCGCAGTAGCCGAGTGGTTAGCATTGCGTACTGGCATTCGGACGGCTCGGGTTGATATACTGGTGCCACTAACATCCAAAAGTTATGAAAAATTAATATAAATAAAAAAAATTTAATTAAATTTGCTAATTGCGGTCGCCCCTCGGCAGGGAATGCCCACTCCTCCGAGTGTGTTTCGGACATGAAATAAAGGCTCCTCATAAAAAAACCATCAGCCGTTCGGAGGCTGCTTATAAATTGTATGTCCTTCCATTTGTTCGGCCGTTGCGAAGAGCCAATTATATAATTTAATAAAAGATTTCTTTTAATCTTTTCGTATATTGGTTTGATATATTTATTATCTATTATTAGATTAAATTAATATTGACATGGTAGAACCCATTGTTCATTTATTTGTATTTACTTGATATAGAAAAACAGTTCGGTGAGTCAGTGCAGGGCATATCAATAGGTTGTAAATGACATGTAGTGACTAATTGAATGTGGAACGTGCGATGGGTATATCAGGAAGGAGTCACTTATCAATATAGAATTTGATAACTTGGAATTTTTCGCGAAGTATATTTTTTTCGATATAAAACATGTAAGATGCAAAATTCAATTTAAATATATTTTAAACTTATTTTAAAATATATATTTACCTGTGTCTTTTTACCGGAATCAGCACAAAATATGAAGTAGTAGTCCGCTCTTTCTTCCTGGTTGCAGTAATAAAATTTTTTTTTTGGCGAATACTTATATTTTCGAAGATATAGGCGGACAAAGGGGAAATTAAAAAAAAATTAAAAGGTTATATTATTTAAAAGATAGTATCGTTGGCGTCTCTTCATAAAAAACCAGAAAACTAGTTTTTCTTAAAATTTAAAAAATTAAGAGCAAAAAACAGTCATGATTTGTAAGATAAAGATTTTTAAATGATAGCATATTGGTGTAAAGTGCCTTTAACATCAATTGACGACTTAGCCGACCAACATCAGCTTCGTTTTTCAGACCTAGACATGAACATGGCCAACATTCGTTAATAGCTCAATCAAAAAATTGCCCTGCAAGAACGGGCTGATGGGTTCACCAATACACTCACACGATTTGGGGCAGCACTAACACATAAGCAAGTTGTTCTATTTATCTTTCTCTTCTGAGTACATGCAAACTGAAAGATAATGCAGTTGAACGGATTATCCGATTTTTTTGCTCTATTTTTTGAGTAGAACGACATTTTTTCTCGTTTTCTCCGCAATAGATAGAAGTGAAAAATACATGATGAGGATCATGTACAAGCTATGGTAATAATATATTTTGGATTAATTAAGTACTTAACTTTTCATTATTTTTTTTTTACATATCTTTATATATGGCACTGCATATTGTACGCAAAATTCAGCTAATGGAGCAGATTGACTGGAATGGACGCTTATCACTTCGCAGCGACAGCAGATTTAAAAATATTCTATAAAACTGTGTGAGGTACAACTGCATTAGGATATTAATAACATTCTGATTCCAATATTAATTTTTTTATTTTACTTATTCATCTTTATACAAAGGACCTGCGATTATGACAGAGGCGTTCGTGTAGCTGCGTCACCAACGCTTGGCGCTAGTAAAGTCTTCTGTATATGCGGTTTTGCTATTATTTTTAAATGATTTAAATGAAAACGAATTTATTGTTGCATTGTTATTTCTTTTGTTTGCTATGTAAATATGAACATTATTTATGTAAAATATTGAAATAAAGACTGAATCTTAATAATGTTTGTACGTATGTATACATATAAGGAAAAAGCTGATTCCTTCGGTATCAATCCTGTCGCTCATCTGTGTGCGGCATGTACGGCATTGCTGCTGTTTTTTTTTACGTCAATATTATTGTATTTTCTTTCGGCAGCAATGCTGTCGCTCATCTGTGTTCGGTTTGTACTACAAGAATAATGATAGAATGACGTACACGTATACAAATGTAAAGATCACATAATATCATTTCGGCCTTAAGAAAGTGATAGGAAAATCGTTCTACGAGATGACGGGATATGACATCATGCAACCTGACATATGTTCGCTCAAATGACCGGAAGCTTCTTGCGGGAATGTTATTTAAAAAATTTAAAGTTTTTTTATTCCATTTTAAGTGAAAGTTAATTAGTTTATGTAATTTTTATTTTTATTACATTTCTAACGATACTAAGTTTTTGAAGTTCGGTGCTAAAATGTAGCGTTCTTCGTCCGCAAACCACTATAAATAATTTGTTTAAATCTTGCCTCAAAAGTAATACAATGTGGCAAGGTTAGTCTTAGCATTTACATGTCAAACGTTAGAATTAATGAATCTTTCTATCATGTAACGCTTCATTCATTTCATCGTTTGTTTTTGCACACATATTTAGATGCTCTTATCGGCAAACATGAAAAATAAGTTGCGTCACAAAGTCAAGTTTCAAAGTCAACCTATTTGCAAAAAATTGTGCAAGTACAATTTTTTATTTTTTTGAAGTTTTGTGCTTAAATTGAACGGATTGATCATAGCAGAAAAATGGCGAATAGTCCTACAAATTTTATTAAATCGGATCCGGACTGCATTATTGACATACAAACCCCAAGATATTCCTTTTTATCAGCACAATATAAACAGTAAATATATCTACATACATACATTTATTACAAATACTAAATGAAAATAATAATTTAATTGAAAAGTAGAAGTTTCGCCTATAAAACTATGCGGAACCGGCTGCCAGCTATCCTTGAAAATATCATTGAAAATATTACCAAAGACGCTGAAAATATTATTGCTGAATTTGGAGAGGTTGGTACTCGCACGTTTAAACCATATATGTAAGTATGTATGTATATCAGTAGCCACAAACAAAACCAAACTCTTAATTATTAGGAACTTACATACACACTTTTTGCTTTTTTTATCGGAAATACATATACATACCTATGTATGGATGTATGTACATATATGTATGGGTGTTATTATCCACATGGTGATAATATTTAATGCTTCCACATATGTACATACATTTTTGATCATGTATTATTTTAGAAAAATTTGCCACTATGTGGATCTTAAGTAGTCCCTGGCACTTCCAGAGCAATTGAATGAGACGCATACAATAATATCATAATAAGAGAAAAATACATATTATACTAAATTAAAAACGCATACAAAATTTCAGGAGACTCGTAAGGAAATTTATGATGTTGCTGATAGGATTTTAAAGCTGAAATTCAAACTGGAAAACGATTATGTAATGAAAACATTTAAGGGTGAAGGTAATATTTCGTTATGTTGATACATTTGTATATACAAGTGTGCTATGTTGATTTTATCTTATATTCCTCTAATGTCCAACGTACGTGAATTTTTTTCACATCAAAATTTATAGCACGTGACAAGAAACTTTGGAACGATTTTCTTAACCAGCAAAACAACGATTCAAACAGTTTTTTAAAAGCATGCTGGCTATATGCAGAATGCTATGTATACCGGCGATTATATTATTTCTTCGAAAATCATAGAATCCTCAAGACATACGACTATTTTTCGCAAAACAAACAAAAAGCTTTCACCATTAGTGTAGGAGCAATGCTTAACGTTTTTGAAGTACTTCAATCAATGAAATCACACATATCCGATGATAATTTAAAACTTTTATTAAAGGTAGGTAATATTTTATTTCTTAATGTAATAAATATAAATTTGTACTACTTTAGCTAAACTTATGGGGAAACCGCTGTGACTTGTCTATTTCATCAGGCAAGGAAGTGAAACCCGGTGACAATCCATTTGAACTTGCAAGAAATTTAGATAAAAAAATTATTGTCGACGAAAGCTGCAAAATTATTGAATGCTTGAATCATGCTGATCGGAAAAATTCAGTTATTGAGTTTATTTGCGATAATGCAGGTTATGAACTTTTTACTGACTTTATACTCGCCGATTATCTGATTGAGAGCAAATTAGTGAGCAAAGTACGATTCAACTTAAAAGCTATGCCTTGGTTTATATCAGATGCAACATTCAATGACTTCCGATGGAGTCTGGAGTATATGAAAAATCATTCCTCCCCTGTCTTAAGAGAATATGGCCAAAAATGGCAAGCGTTTGTAATAGGAAACAAGTTCGAGTTAGCTAATGTGAACTATTTCTGGACAAGCCCATACGAATATTATAGGTTAGTGCTACTTACGTTTTTGTTTGTCTATGCACAGAGTCTTTGATAAAATATGAATTTTCTTGCCATTTTCTTTTATTGCAAAAAAAGTAAATTCAAAACAACATATAGTAATAATAAATGAAAGCAAATTCCTACCGTACAGCACCGAGGGAGCGCAATTATATAAATGTATATATGTTATCTGGCACATTTTATTATCACATTCAGCCCATAATAATTTATCTTACGATATTACAGAATGCCTGAAATCGACCCGGAACTGCACAAAAGGCTTTCTAAATCTCATTTAGTGATTTTCAAGGGTGATCTAAACTATCGGAAGCTCATCAGCGATTTTTCTTGGGATTGCACAGAGTCTTTCAAAACATGCCTAAAAGGTAAAAATATAAATATATATACATACATGTATAGATTTCATTTAAGAAGAAAACTTAAATTTCACGATGTTTGAACTAAAAAAATTGAACTTTATGCTAATGATATTAAGCATTGATTATTTCAGAATTATATTAATACTCTGCCACATATAAAACGTTTGCAAACTTATGCTTTAATTATATTTTTTAAATACACAGGTTTCCAGCCGACAAATCTTTGCAGTTTGCGCACTATAAAAGCAGATTTAATCTGTGGACTCTTGGAAGGGCAGTCAAAAAGTTTAGAAAAAGAAAACAATGAGTGGATGATCACAGGGGAATTTGGAACTATACAATTTGCAGCCAAATGTGACTGCTTCCATAATAGCGATAGATAGTCAAATTATGAAATTTTTCTATGAAAATTAAAAATATGAAAAAATAAAAGCTTTTTTCCTAAATCTCTCATTAATTTTTTAATGAATTTTCGAAACAGGTTCAAAACACAGGCCGTTAAGGTAGAACAAAATTAAAAAGGTAAGTAAGATTTATTTTTTTTATGGCCATATATTTTTATTTTCTGCAGATAAATTTTGAGAACATCTAAAAAAATAAAAAAATAAAATAGGATTGTTCTAATTTCTTTAAATTATGTATAATCCGTTGACAGTTTTTTTAAAATTTGTGTGAAAACTGTTAAATTAGAGACTTAAAGTTTTCGGAAATGTTTCTTTATTTTTTCTCCCTCAACGGTCGGTATTCTGTACTCTTCTGCTTTGAGAAGAGAAGTCTGGTCCCGAGGGTAGTTTTGTTTTATTTTTAAACTTATTACTTCGATACCCAATTCACAATATTTTTTATTTTTCCTCAACAACCCCATAGAAGGTGAAGTTGTCACATATGATTGCTTGTTCTTCCTACCCAAAAAAAAATTACACAAACAAAATACATGAGAAATAGGTTTTGGCGTTTCGAGCGCTCGTTTATCCAAACAAAAACATTGAACGATTTTCGTTTCTGACTTCTCGAAACTGCATTGAATGTGAATTTGCCTTGAGTTTACACAAACAAAATACATCAGAAATAGGGTTCCACAATACGCACTTTCTTAAACACCAACAAAAAACATTGAAATCTATGATTACGCAAGCAAAATACGTTGGCTTTTTGTTTTTGTATTCTTACCACTACCTTGTGGAATTTGTCTTGAAACCAATACCATTCTATTTTTGTATCTTCAGAAAAGCATTTATTGCTTTGAAAATAAATTGTTTAATAACATAGTTGTAATTCGAATGTAATATACCAATGAACATGTCCTTGTCAATGAAGTTTCAGAATTCTAATCGAATACGTAAAGAACCAAAAAAGCAAACAAAGCGAACTTGTTTAGGTATCTGTATACAAAAAAGAAGTTTTAAATTATTGTGTAAGAATAAAAAAAATATTAAAGTTGCATAAGATTGTTTCGGGTAAGACAGTTTCAAGATTTCAAATAAAATATGTCTTGCATAGTCTGTGAATTTGACAGCAAAAATGGCATATTGAATACAAAGACGCCACGGCATTCGCTTGTATCGGCTCGATATAAACAGTTAAGTTCGACAAATAAATATTAATCTATGTAACTATAAATTAAAATTTTTAATTTCTTTTAGAAGCTTTGCCTATTTCGTATTACGTTACAGACTTCCGCAAAATTTAGCAGAGATTATTTTAAATTTAACTGAAAATATGAATGCTTTAGTTGGGCAGTACGGCGAGGTGAGTGAAAGGCAAATTCCTCTTGTAAAGCGAAAGAAGATCGAATGAAAAAAAAATCACGAAAAAATATATTACCAATTTCCGATATATATAATTTCACAACTTTCAGGAATCTCGATCGGAAATCGCAAAGGTAGTGTATAGAGTAAGTCAATTAAAATGCCGTTTAGAACGAAATGGTCCGTTTCATCAATTTTCTGGAGCTGGTAATGAATGCTAACGAACTTAATTTATGTACATGACAATCTAAATTTAAAATTTCTGAATTTAGAATTAGATAAAGATTTATGGAACGAATTTCTATTAAATCTTGACGAAGGTCAGTCCACTTTCTTTGGCAGTTGCTTCCTTTATGCCGAATGTTATGTGTTTCGACGGTTAGTGTGCTACTTAGAAAATACTGAAACTTTAAAAACGTTTGACTACTATGCTAATAAAAAGCAAAAGTCCTTAATTGCTTTTTTAGGTACAATAGAAATTATACTGTTTGGAATACGTACAGTTGGGACTTCTGATGATGTGTTACGCTTTCTTTTAAGGGTATGTATTATATTTAAATACAATATACAGGCACGTACTTGTCAACTATACAAAGCGCCAATTATATATATAGTTCTGTTTGATGACCTGACCATAGTTTTATTTTTTGCGCGTTCCGTGAGGCGAAACCCCAGTAAAATTAATAACGAGAGACCGCAATTTGACGTTTAACTAAGTTCGGTGAGGCAAAAAGCCAATAAAATTTGCCTCGAGGACACGATTTTGTTATTTAGGTGTTGGCTAATTCGTAGTAACATCAAAGATGACTAGATACGAAACTCTTTACTTCGTAAGAGTGCTCAAAAATCTACATTTTTTATAACATTTCTGAACAGTGCCAACATGGGAGAACGCTCTCAGCTGCAACTTGAGTGATTTTGAGTAAGTTTCGTATCTAGTCATCTTTGCTGACATTTTTCTGCTAACAGAGCTATTTAGTACACATTATGTGTTACATAAAAATTCTAATCATGCATTAAATATTAATTAATTTTCCTTTGTAGCTTAATCTTTGGGGCAATCAGTGTGATATATCAGCCGATACCGAAAAGTATACCGTAAAACGAAAAGGTCCTTTCGAACACCTACGAGCTTACGAGAAAAATATAATAATTGACAGTACGTCGTCGATCATCAACTCTTTAAAAACAGCAGATCATTCAAACCCTGTTCTAGTTGATTTCATCTGCGATAACTCTGGTTATGAGTTGGTTCTCGACTTTATTCTGGCTCATTATTTACTTGAAGCTAAACTGGCAGATAAGATACGGTTTCATTTGAAAGCAATTCCTTGGTTTGTTACGGACGCTACAGCTACAGATTTTCATTGGACACTTCAACAATTGAGGAAACAGAACGGGCGTTGTACCCAAGAATTCGCAAAAATATGGCTCCTAAATTTGAATGAAGGTAAATTCGAAGTCGCTGAGCCTGATTATTTTTGGACAAGTCCTTATGAATTTTACAGGTATGGATGCTTAAATACATAGTTTTTTCTTTGGCTATTGACTGTAAACACTTTTTTTATCCAAAATTCACATCACCCCGCCTTTGAACTGCATGCTTTTGACTAAATATTCATGTATTCAACATACTGCTTAAAAGATCTTCTTAAACATTTCATATATGTATGCGTAACGTGCTTGTTCTTTTAGAATGCGTGACGTCCGCCCAGACTTATACAAAAAGCTAACTGAAGCACACATGATTATTATTAAAGGTGACTGTAACTATAGAAAACTAATAGGCGACTTCCGATGGGATGCTTCGGAGTCATTCATAACTTGCTTAAGAGGTATATATATAGGAAAACATTTTTAATTTTGTTAATGTAAATTATCTTGGATATTGTTTTTAATTCATATTTTGATTACAGGCTTCCAGCCAGCAAATATTTGTAGCTTACGAATAGTAAAAACGGAAATTATATGCGGAATGAGCCCCGGGAAAAATGAAGATCTAATAAAGAAAAACAATGAGTGGATGCTGAGCGGTGAATATGGCACTATTCAATTTATAGAAAATAATTATTGCAGCTGTTCCGAAACTTTGCGTGATATAATGAATCCAAACGTATGTGGTGCTAATTTACATACTACTATATATTCTCATATGCACATTTCTCATTTCCGTTTTACATATGTATATATGACCTTTTTTCAGTAATTAAACAAAATGTCATATACCCGAGAACTTACTTTTACATTGGAGTCGGAAAAACATACAAGTAATACTAACATTCAAGGAAACAAAAAAAATTATATTCAAGAAAACAACAAAATAAAATTCTACAATAAATGGATCTAAATAAAATATAATTTGAGTCCTAAAATAAAACCGCGATGTATTTTAATTTGTTCCACGATGTAGGTCAGCATTTGCCATATTTTCGTTTTGTTTAGGAAAATAGATACGGTAGATCTCCTAATGTAAATATTATCCCAATATTATAGAAAATTAATTTTAATAAAAAATTAAGTTAAATTTTTTTAATTGCGGTCGCCCCTAGTCAGTCATTCGGAGGCGGCGTACTACAAATCGGTATTGCTTCAGCGATTACAAAGCACTAAATATATATACGGATGTATGTATGTATATTGAAATATACACTAACATATATTTTCCATAGACAACGTGCGTGGTGCTTCATTTTCACTGCAATTAAATGGGCTGCATAAGTGTTCTCTCTATAAACCCATAATATCATAAACATCAGTCAATAGATGCTCTTACTCGTTATTGCTCTTACTCATTATTGCACAGAAAATTGTTTTAGAATTTATTACCCTTTTCCCCTGTTGTTAATCTTCTCAAGTTCTTCTTACGAGTTTTGGCGTATTTCAGTCAGTCTCTTTTACTGTCTGCAAAATCATCTCGTTGTGACGGTCGAATGCAAGACTATGACATAGGCACTACTATTGGGTTGCCCAAAAAGTAATTGCGGATTTTTTAAAAGAAAGTAAATGCATTTGTAATGAAACTTAGAATGAACTTTAGTCAAATATATAATTGCCATTTTGTTCGATAACCTTTTGCCACCTTCCTGGCAAATTTAGTATTCCACGCTTTATCTGCAAAGAACTGAACCAAGTGCGATTTTATAGCCACATCATTGCCGAAAGTTTTACCATTTAAGGAGTTCTGCAAAGATCCAAATAAATGGTAGTCTGATGGTGCAAGGTCAAGGCTATATGGTGGATGCACCAAAAGTTCCCATCCAAGCTCACTCAGTTTTTGGCGAGTGACCAAAAATGTGTGCGGTCTAGCGTTGTCCTGATGGAATATGACACCTTTACGATTGACCAATTCTGGTTGCTTCTCCTTGATGGCTGTATTCAATTTGTCCAATTGTTGACAGTAAACATCCGAATTAATCGTTTGGTTCCTTGGAAGCAGCTCAAAATATACGACACCCTTCCAATCCCACCAAACAGACAGCATAACCTTCTTTTGGTGGATATCAGCCTTTGAAGTGGTTTGAGCTGATTCACCATGCTTGGACCATGATCGTTTTCGACTAACGTTGTTGTAAACAATCCATTTTTCATCTCCAGTTATGATTCGTTTTGTAAACGGATCGAATTCATTGCGTTTAATGTGCATATCACAAGCGTTGATTCGGTGTGTTAAATGAATTTCTTTCAATACATGTGCTACCCAAAAATCAAGCTTTTTCATCAGTCCAAGACTTTTTATGTGATAATGAACGGTTTATTTTGGTATATTTAACTTCTCTCCTATCTCACGCTCAGTTACATGACGATCCAATTCGATTAATGCTTTCATTTGGTCATCATCAACTTCATTCGGCCGACCTGAACGTGGCTCATCTTTAAGTGAAAAATCTCCAGAACGGAATTTGCGAAACCAATTTTGACACTGTCTTCCTTTTAAGGCTTCATCACCATACACATCTCGTAACTTTTTAGCAACCTGCTCCGCGTTTTTTCTTTTACGGAAATAATAAAGTAAAATATGACGAAAATGCTCCTTTGTGGGCTCCATATTAAAATTGACGCCAAACAAACAAATGTAAACAAAATTTCGCGCACTTTTTTTCTAAAGCAAGCTAAAAGTAACAGCTAATAACTGAGAGAAGAAAGAATGCAATTACAGAGTCACAAGCCGTTGAAAAAACTTGTCTACGCAATATGGTCGATCTAACTGCTTGTCTCTCACTTGGGTTTTAGCGACTGAGCTATTCGAAAAAATTATAAATATGCTTCACTTTTCAGTTTCTTTTCAGAAAGGGGATCACAGGATCAAAAAATCTATGAAAATTTGTTTGATGTAGGTATACTGCTTTAGTAAATAATATTAATCGTATATTTATATTAATTATAGATAAAATATTGAATCCGTAAAAAAACTATAAGCTACTTTTCTGTTAACTTAATTACATTAAGACGCAGATGACCGCTACAAATATCTATCTTTGTAGTTGCTTACTCCAGTTTTAAAAACAAAAGTAATGGTGAAATCATGACAGGAATAAATTTTTAGATATGTTTTCAACCAATTGACTTTATTTCTTAGCCTTGGTATTGCTAAACTTACTTAATATAAATATATACATCTACGATTCCTTAAAGTTTTGATAACCAGGAAGTTTTACTTCCAGCGCAATATTGTATGGTCTCTTGGTGTTTTTTTATAGTTTAAATATATATATATGTAAGCCTTGCCTCATGGTATTTATTTTAAAGTCGATTGATAAGCATTAACTTAAAACTAATATTTCAAACTTTCCAAAGCATATAATATACTTTGTTCGGGGAGTTTCAAACTTCATTTTATAACAATATAGTACTTATGTAACACAAAAACATATTTTTTATAAATTTTTTTCAAAACCATCTATTGGGCTGATATTATATTCAATATTTATTAACTGGATAATCATAAGTGATAATAACGATTTGTCACATTACAGCTTAAAATTATATATGTTTTTTGATATTCTCGGCTATTATAATATACATATGTATACACTCATACATGAATAAAAACTTTTTATGAATATGATTTTTTTCTTCATTGGGAAGCATACATGTATATATACTTACACAGGTGTATGTATAATTTTTTTTGCAGTTGTGCACTAAAAAAATAATTAAAATTTTAATAATTAAGTTAGAAGAAGAATAGCAGTGATGTTTGATTTGTCATTCCTTTCAATTAATGAAAGGTCAAGAAAACTATGGTTCAAGGGAATTTGTGCATAAGCACACTGGTCATTAAGTATGTGTTTAATTGTGTTTCCTTCTACCACCAGGCAGTCATTATTTTTGTGTACTTATTCTACAGCAAATCCACAAGTTTCCTCCACAGCCTGTGTCAACTTATCACACAATAACTGATAATTTTCATAAGGCGGTAAATCGATTCGATTAAAGCATGTATGAGCCTTTGGTAAGTTTTGTGTCGGTACATCTGTAGTGAGATGTATCGTGAACAACCGCGGCCCAACAGCTCCGGTAGAACCTTGTAATGCCCGAAAACCTTGTAAAGGCACACGAGATGAGCCAGTTACGAATTGCAAGAGACGTGCACGCATTTCCGAAGAGTAAGACTCCACCACCTAAATAAAATTTAAAATTCATATTATTAAAAAAAAAAGAAGAAAATCATCCATTACCTGCCAAAACCACACCACTTGCGACGTCTCTGGTGTACAGTGCTTCAGTCTTGTATTGATGCGCCAATCATTGACATCAATGCTAGAAATTCCCCCAATCACTAACTCCAGCTCACGCTCATCGAACGGTCTCAAAAGCTGACTGGGCACGAGTTCACAAAATCCTACAACACAACAAATAATCCCATAATTTTATAAAAATTTCTAGCGAGGTTAATTTTCTGTTTACCTTTCTGTAATGCCAAAAACTGTTGTTCTATACCCCTCATGAATCTATAATTTACGTAAAGTTTCACATACTCGCGCTTATTATCCTCAGTTACTAGTATGGAGGAACCAGATGGCTTAAGTTCATGAACTACCAATGCACCAAAACTATTGTTTTCAACACTAAACGTGGAATCTATAATTCCAGTTATATTATTCTCTCTAGAATTTAAATAAAATTTTAATGGCTTTTTTGGTAATCTTAGTCAACTAACTTACAGCATCCAAGTTAGACTGCGATGCAATTCAGGATCAACTCCTTCGATATCACTTAGAGTAATTGGTTTGTTTAGGAGTTGCTTATAAAAAGGTGTCGTAAAACCGCCATCTAAGCAGTGTCCATGAAATACAGCTATTCCAAGGATGCGACCAACAAAATGAAAATACGACAGATGGTCTGGATTAACACCTGAAAGGTACATATGAATTTTGGTACTTTTAACATTTCGGATCTTCCAATCAATGGTTTATACATACAATGGTTTATACATATGTATCTGCCAGCTGGTACTGTAGCAACAGAACTAATATTAATTATTAAAATTCGATCTTCGCTTTCAAATAAAGGATGTATTCACCCATATAAATTAAATCTCTGACATAACAAATTTCTGTAATTACAGCCACTGCATACTAAGTTTTTATTACTGTTCTATGACTTACCCGAGTCAGGATTTATTTGCAACGTGTAGTGGTCATCACGTGAATATTGAAATAATCCGTACTGGGGATTAAGCATTTCGCGCGAAAGTAAATGCAGCCATTCACGCGCGACACCGCCATAGTCAAGTCCTTCCTCCCCTTTAAATTTAACCATTAAACGTTTGCGCATGTCTTTAGGTCTCATTTTCATAATCAGTCTGTAACTCTCTTCAAATATCTCGTTGCGTGACACTTCAAGACGACAGTGACCGGACTGCGGTTGCAGTGTCTGTAATTCAGTGCGTAAAGCGCGCATTTTACTTACTAAATCACGTCGATACTTGGGCAACAGCTCAGCACCTTCCAAGAGACCTTGGGGCAAATCTGCAGGTGGTGCGGCGCCATTATTTGATACGCGTTGGGGGGTACTCGAGCCTCCATTGGTACTATTTGCCACTCCGCTACTCCCATTCGACAATGGATGAGAAGCTGCTGGGGAAAGTTGCTGCACAATGCTCCCATTACCCGTTGAAACCATCGCAGCGACCGTTCCAGAACTATTTCCTGTATTCGACAATGTGCCGCGTCGTATCATTTGCAGTATATTGCAATTGAATCGAGGGTCAGTAAACTGAGTTGTGCGATTGTTGTGGTCCACAAAATACACCCTTCCAGAAGCAGTTTTTCGTTGCTCCCAACCACTGGGAAGTGGCCCAATCGCATCAAGAGTTAGATGTTGCGTATCGAAATCGCGTGGAATGCGTGGGTCATGCCACGTTGAAACACCAGTAGGAGTGTGGAAAAAGTACACTTGACCTTGTTGAGTTGTACGCATCTCATAACCTGCTGGCAGATCCATGAAAGGACGCGCTAAAACGTTTGTAGTACTAGTATTAGAAATTGGGTATCGATGACCAGCACTATTGCTATTATTTGAGGTTCGTGTGCTCCGCGATGAACGACGTCGTGATGAGTCTTCCGTTCCACGAGTAGTGCGTCGTTGAGAACGCTGAGCTGGACCAACTGCTCCTAAAACACCAGTGTTTGAAGAGGGTGGTACACTTCCATGACGAGCATCTCTTTCGCGATCTCTATCTTTATCACGATCACGTTCTCTTTCCCGCTGACTATTCGTTAATGGGGAGCTCGCCTGTGTTGTTTGTAAGTTCGAGTTTGCATTAGGACTCTGGTCTACAATTAAATTACTAACACTACTTGTTCCCCCTGTATTGCCATTGACTGATATTGAATTCGTGGGTGCTGCCGATGAGAGGTGCTCATTTGTTTCGACACTCCACCCGTTGATATGGGATTTTGGAGTATTTGAACCGCTTGTGCAGGCAGTATTACCATTAGCCTAGTCAAATCATAAAATTAGAATTTCTTATTAAAAATAATTACGACTTACATTAATAAACAGAATTTGAAAAACGAGGGTGTATAGAATACAAGGTTACGACAGCTTGTTGACGTCACCGAACCATATTCACAGTGGGCGAGGCTTGCTATTTATATTATTCTATAAAAAAATTTCGAATTTTTATACACCTTTCATTTTCAGATAAAGAACAGACCCGTTCGCACGGTCTTTTTTATTATAATTGGTATTTACAATCTATGTTTATAAAAATAATTATAATTACGATTTTTTCGCAAAAGCTGTGTACCGTATTTCAACTACATTGAACAATAAATATAAGTTTTTTCGAATAGGTCAGTCCCTGGTCCACTTCGCAGCAAAAAGCCATTTATGGCCCGTATTTCTAGTAAATCGAACCATATACAAGATTTTTTCAAATGGAGCACTTCCCGAAGTTTTTTTTCATATAAACCTTCCCATAGAAACCATCTGAGAAAATTTCAAGTCAATCGGTCATAAAATTTTTATATAATTTTTAATGTGTTTTATTTTCTATGCTATTCATTTTGCATTTCATGGAGGTGCTATCTATAGAAATTTGTGGTCATGAATAATATTAATTTCACAATTTAAAAAATTTAAAAAAAATAAATTACATTTGTTCAACATAAAACTGTTCAGACCGTTTTAATTGAAAGTGTTATTTGTTTAAAAGTTTTTAATAAAAGGCTTCAATTTTATAGTCAAAATGTTAATCCGCTTTATGGTAGTATTGCTGACGTGACCTTATTTTCTATAAACCTTGTAAAAAAAAAAACCATATCACAGTGTAATTTTTTAATTTTCCTCATAGAATTCTTGTTCTTGCGATTTACGTACCAAATTTTGGTTTTGATGCCGATTTGGGGTAGCTGACAACACTGAACCATCGCCTGATTCTGAAGAGCTATGATCATTTAGTAAAGTTTGTGTGCTATGTGAATTTGAAGATAAATTTCGTGTATTTTCATGACTATCGTTTCGTACACCTCCATACGAAATTATGCCACTGGCAGACATCATAGAAGAAGTAGCAGTAGTTGGAGTTGAATTGGAGGTCGTTATTGTGGTCGAATTTACAAAATCATTTACCCGCCCCTCAGTCACAGCTTGACATGTACCACCAATAGAGTTTTGATTTGTTTGGGTATTTCCGCGTACCTGGTGAGTTTGTTTTTTCGCGCTGGTACCAGCAGGACTACAATTCTCTTTTCCTATTTGAACTGAAACATTTGCATTAATATTATTAATAATACTGCTACTCCCCGTGTTCGATGAAGGAAGCATTTCCGTGGAATGACGTCTTTCGCTTGTTGCGTCGTCATTTCTTTCATTGGTGGAACCGTTTTGTCCATTAAGAAGATTTGTGCATGTAGTAGAGCGAGTTGGTCCAGATGGATGGCGTACGTTTGCACCCTGACCCAATCGTTGGCGATGACGAGAAGATGGCCGATCCCATTGCGTAGATTTTGTGGCATGATTTACATAATAAACACGACCATTACCTGCCCTTCGTTCCTCCCAACCATCAGGCAAACTATCTTCTGACGAATCGTCTTCTGATGGGCCCCGAACATCCCCACTTGGTCCCACTACCGCTAAAGGATTACCTCCACAAGGGCCATCCTTTGACAACAAGGCAATAACAATTTCACCACGAACCATATCATCGTCTTCAGGAGAAAATTTACCCAAATTCAAACGTGTAACTAAATATACAAATTAATTAGTATCTTTTTTTACATGAGGGTACACATTGGCCTACATCCCATTCCTTTCAAGCTCTGTATTGAATGCGAAGGAATACGCACACAACCAAGAAAACCACTCGCTTTATGTATTTTTCGCTGGTTCCATACTGTAATAGTAACAGCATCAGCGCTACCCACGAAAAGGTCGTAGTGAGCATTCCATTTGGGATCTAGAGATGACTTGCTGACATCCGTGGTATAAACCTGTGCTGTGCCATCTACTTGTACCTTAGCAAAAGGATCAGGAAGTCCTGAATTAAGAAATTAAAATAATAACCAGTCAAAAATTTGTATTTTTAATTACAGATAGACAGACTAATAAAATGGTAGTTAATAGATTTTGGGCATGCGGTTATATTGAGATAAGACGGGAATACAGAAGCTAGTGGTCATTAGTGAGAACCTCACAGCAGATACACTTTAAAAAACGTATCGCTACACAAAAGCAGGTTTGTACAGATTATGTCATGTCCCACCAAATACATAAATACTTACGAAATAAATCCTTTCGAGCCAGGTTACGTGCGCACAATACTGTAAATTAATTTACATAAATTATAATTAAGTAAATATAAATTTACAAACATAATGAAAATAATTATGATGTATGGATATATATGTTTATAATATAATATGTGTATTTGAAATGATGTATCGAATTACGTTTCCTAAATTTCTTTTCTAATATTTTTCGCGAAAATCAGAACAACTTTTTTAAACTTTTTTTCAACGAAAATAATATTAAAAAGAGTTTCTTTTTTGCCAAATGAGCTAAATAATGGTTTTGTTGCTAACAACGCAAGTCCACTACAAGAAAACTAATATATATATATATATATATCAATTCATTAATTTTTTTAATAGAAACGATTGAATGCATACAAATTAAAACAATATTTTTATCCAACGGTATATATGAAAGGCACCTTATTTGTTGATGTTTTTTGGAGCATAGGAAACACTGTAATTAATTATATATCTATACATACCAAATATTATTATATTTCCAATTATTGATATGTAGTTATAAGCATGTACTTATGAAAACTTACTTGTTATTCGCACTTTGTGGGCTCCGTTGCGGCGGGGATAATCTAATTTATTCATATTCTATATACAATTGTTTGTTCCAAAAATACGTAACGCTCTCCTCCTTCAATCTTTATTTTTGTAATTGCAAATATTTATACCTGTTTCAAAGAAAAATATTTGATTGTAAAGTAACCGAAATTATTTTTATAAAAACTAAAACATCTAATGATCTAATAAATTATTTAATAAAGGTAACCATCAAAGGAAAACGTGTTCGTGGCAACTTGTGGAATTATGATATGTGCACCCCAGTAATATTAGACAGTATATAAGTTCAGGGAATACCATGAATATGCAAACCAAAAAATATGTAGTTGAATTGACTTTAAACTCATCAGAAATTTTTGTAGGACTACGAATTTAATCATTTCCACCAAAAGAGCTATTAAACTCTTATAAATTCAATATTAAAATCAACGCTCTTACGAAAATAATAGCCCAACATTCATCTAATATAATAAACATATATGTATATGTATATATAATTGGCGCTTTGTAATCACTGAAGCGTTTTTTGGCCGAGCTCCTCCTTCAATTTGTCGTATACGTTTTGATATTTTTCCAACAGCTGAACGGCTGATGGAAGTTAATACAATTAACTTAATTGATGGTTAGCATTGCGTACTGCCATTCGGAAGGCTTGCTTTCAAATCCTTGTGTCGTACTAACATCTAAAAAACTTATAGAAAATTAATTTAAATAAAAAAATTAAGTTAAATTTTGTAATTGCTCCTTACAAAAAACCCACCAGCTGTTCAGAGGCGGCTTAGTCCCTCTATTTGTTGGAAAAACATCAAATCGGAAAACCACAAATCCGTCCAAGGACTGTCACTCCCGCTACATTCCCCAAAAATTACTTTGAGGAATATTTTTGCAGTTACAACAACAACATCGGGACTCCCTCAGAATAAAGTAGTCTAAATATTATTCTCGTATTTTTATTCGCCTGCTGATCGCAAGAGTATTTTTCGCGCATTCTCTGAAAGTCGTAAGAGACTAAAATCTGCTATTCCTCTTACATCTATGGGAGTTGACGAAAAGTTTAGCATACCAGGCCTACAAACATGAAATGAGCGTCTTTTTTTTGAAATGAAATACTAATTTTAAAAGGAAGACTAAACATATTTGATTCAAAGTATGCACCATTACTTTCTACACATTTTGTCCACCTTTCTGGCAACTTGTGGATACCACGCTAATTATTCGTACTTTGAAGAAAACCAAAAATCAGACACATAATTTTCGACTTCTTCGTGGGAATCGAAGTGCTGATTAGCCAATGCGTATCCAACCGAGAAAAACAAAAAGTGGCCGGAAAGACCCAAGTATGGTGAATACCAGGGGTAGCAGCTCCCAGCCAAGTCCTTTGATCGTATCCTGGGCCGGTTTTGTTGTTGTTGCTGTTGGCACAGGCTTGATCAATTTAAGTCGCCGAGGTCATCTAGTGAGAGGTCCAGGAAACGAGCTGTTTCGACAGGTTGGACCAAAGGGAGAGAGGGGTTAGATTAGTTGATTTGAGAGGGCATGTGAAGAGATGGTTAGTGCCGCGCGGAGACTATTGCTAGATTGTGTCCTTTAAATATATTACTCGCTTTCTGATGTGCCTAGGTGGAGGTTCAGCTTCTATTAGGTGCCTACTGGGGTGCTCCCTGCGGTAGCATCCCGATAGGAACTGCTTGCACAGCAAAGCATAATAATCCTTAACTCGTAGCATAGAAGCTTCACTGTGCGAGTGATGCTCCGGCGACATCAGCAGGTTTCCTGTCGCGGTCCTGAGGGCGGTGTTCTGGCAAGCCTGTAGCTTCTCGTTCGTCCCCGGCGCCCCGATCGGTGCAGCATAGGTGCTGCCGACTAGCGCTTTTTAATATTAGGGAAACTCCTTCTGGTGGTGGAGGGAGTTTCGAGAAGTGGGACACCACCCTGCGGAACCCCCTGTTTAATTTTTATGGGTTTTGATGTTTCACCTCGGAATATTACCGATGACTGTCGACCATTCAGGTAGCCCATGACCCACCTCTGCAACCCCGGCAGTAATGAGGATTCCTCAATGTCCTTTAGTAGCACTGAATTATTGACTGTGTCAAAAGCTTTTGATAAATCCAGTGCTACCAGGACAGTTCGCGCGCAGGGTCGGTTTTGGTTAAGGCCATAGACTATCTGGGTGTTTATGGCGTTTAGTGCTATTGTGGGGTTGTGCACTTTTCGGAAGCCATGCTGATGCGCTGCTGGGCGCAAATGGTGATTGAAAGTAGGGAGCAGTAGAACCTCAAGTGTCTTCGCTACTGAGAAGAGGAGAGTTATCGGAGGATAGGACTCTCCTCTTCTCGCTGGTTTTACCGGTTTGAGTAGCGGGACCACCCTGCTCATTTTCCACATCGGGTATCTTAGGGTGGTCAAAGACAAATTGAGGACGAATGAAATTTCCACCCGGTCATCGCGTCTCGTCTTGTTAGACAGCGACTTGACTGTAGCCAACAGCTTGGTTGCCCAGAGGAGAGGTTGCAGGTCCTTAGGTGTTCATCCCACTTTCTCCGCTTATGATTGTTGATTGCTCTTCGAATCTCCGCGTTTAAATCCCTAATTAGTGGATACCCGGGATCGGAGTTTCGGAGGGTGTCGCGCCTGGATGCTAATACCGCCACCAGTGTTGGCGTCAGATGGAGTGGGAAGAGCACTAAAGGCATTCTCAGTGAATTCCGTGAAGCCGGGCCAATTAGCTTTTTTGAAGTTAACAAATGTCTGGTGGTCTGCGGAAACAAAGTCGGGAGGCCTGTCAATAGACATTTATATGGGCAAGTGGTCAGTATATGTCGCTAGACTGTACTGTTTATCAGACCAGCACTCTCAATTGTTATATCCGGCGAGTTTTGGCAATTATCCATAACTCTGGTGGGGCTGTTGTCGTACCTATATCAGGGGTGTATCCTGCCGCGCAACTTGTAACTGCGGTCGATGTCGCCGTCGATAAGACGATACTGCACGGTGTTGTGCATGATGAACGCACCATGGTTTCGCTCGCGATTCTCGCGGATTATGTTGTATCCGTTCCGGTTCAGAAGATCTGATCGAGCGGTCAACTTAGTTTCCTGGATGGCAGGAATTGACAGGTGCTCCCGGCTCATGTAGTCGACTACTTTGTCGACTTTCCCTGGAGTCCGTTGCAGTTAAATTGTAGGACCCAAACAACGCTCATATCATATTTGTTGGCCTGGTATATGAAACCCTGTCTGTTTCTATAAGAAGATTTAAAGAATAAACTTTTGGGAAGCTACTGTCGGTGTTCTCTATGAGAGGAGCTATATAGTCGTATGTAGAATATGTATCGTATGTTGGTACCCCATTTTTTTACGAAATTTTTTTAAATGTTGTTAAATATGATTCAGTTATTGTTTGTGGCGATTTTATTGTCAATTTATCTAGTTGCTCTCTTTCTATGGTCAACCGATATCTTCCTACGGGGTTTGCAGTGAGTGGTATTAACTCTTGTTTCCTGCCTGCATAAAACAAAAATCGGCTTCCGCGAGAGTTTTTTCGCGTCGAATTTGTATTAAAATTTTTTATTAAAAAAATGCAAGTATTTAATAAATATAACACAAATAATCGTACTAATGGTTTCTTTAGGTCAAAAACAGCGACTAAATCGCAGTTTCAATTGCTATTAGAGCTGATGGAAACTCAAGCGACTATAGCCCGAGGATTTTTTAGAATTGGGCTTTATATATGTAAGTTTATGTACTCCTATGGGGATATTGCAAATCAGTCTATTTCGAGTAATAAGATAGTTATGTGGTCATCATAATAAATGCCTCTGAAGCGGGAATTAATTTATATTCTAACGAGTTTCATTTTTATGTAACGTGGAAAAAGGTTTTTTTCTGTATCCAGACAGCCCATTGTTTCATAACTGTATACGTCATATTTAATTTAACTTTTTAGTCAAATAAATAATAAATATGTTGACAGGAAAAAAAGAATATAGAATGGTGGTATTCACAGAAACCCTAAGTATCCTCCTCAAGAAAAAAATCCTTGCCGAATCAAAACATAATAAAATAACATAGGTTGCGAAAAAAAACTAAGTTTTGTTTTTAAAATTTCACATTTTATTCATTTAATTCTTTGTGAAATAATTAGCTCCTTTTTTATTAAAATATGTAGTAATACAAAGCTATGCTTTCTTATGTTGAAGGAATTCTATTAATTTTAATTTTAATTTCATTAAAAAAAACCGACAACTAGAGAGACAAAAAAATGTATAAGATATTAAAAAACTGCTATTCTTAGTCGATTTAGAATTGATAAGATCCTGAATTGGTAATCGTCCGGTAACTAGCACTTTTGCCCAACATATCCTCTCATAACAATTTACGTACAGTAGCTCAAAAATGAACTCGGACACACAAGTTATATGACTTTAAACAAAAAAATATATAATAAAATGCAAATCGGGGCTTTCTGTTTAACATATATTTCTATTCTTCAAGTGTATTTTTCAAAACAACCAAAACACTAAACTAACTTCAACTCGGTCGTATAAAAATAATATGAACATAACAACTTAACAAAACTGATGACAAAAGAGAACTCGGACATATACATAACATATAATTTAAAAATATTATTTAAAGAGAAACAAAATATTCTTAATATTTGGTCGGCAAGCCTTTACTCCTTCTGATAGCATTCAGTCTTCTTGCCAAAGATTCAACTAGCTTCTTGCCTGTTAAAGAATTTATTTTCCCCCAATATTCCAAAATAGCGGCCTCTAGGTCTTTCAGTTTATTTTCTAAACGAGCCCACAGATGTTCAATTACGTTAAAACGGGAGATTGAGTAGGTGTTTCAAGCACTTTAGCACAGTTATACATAAATCATAGACGGACCTCAAGTGCTTTATGCTTGGGATCGTTGTAGTACTGGAAATTGTATTTAATTCCCAACATTTCTGCACTTTGCACTAAATTTTCTTTTAAAATGGTCAGATATTGCTTGTGGTTCATATTACTATTTATGAAACACATATTTCCAGTACCAGCGGCGGGCATACAACCCCTTTACTGAGCCGCCCCGTGTTTAACAGTCGAACGTAAATTCTTTTCTAGCAACTCTTTATTCGGTTTTCTCCAGACATACGACTGTCCATCTGACCTAAGTATATTAAATTTGCTTTCATCTGCAAATAAAGCTTGCTTCCAGAATTGAAAATCCTTATCCCCATGACATTTTGCGAATTTTATCCTTTTGTTTCGGTTAACCTCGTTTATAAATGGTTTATTCCGTGTTACTCTTCCATTATAATTATTTTTTCATAAGACTATTCGGATACTCTCCGGATTACAATTTATATTGAGATGTTGAAAAGCTTCTGCTGAGAGCTTGGGAGCGCTCATGTTTGGATTTTTTTGATTTCCTGCAATATCCACCGCTCATCTGTAGCCGAAAACAACTTCGGTCGTCCAGACTTTTTTTGTTTTCCACGGATTTTGTTTGTTTGAATCGGTTAATCACGTCGTGCACAGTCGAGCTGGGTCTGCTCACGATTTCTGCGGTTTTTCCTATTTCAAAATTACTAATAATTAACTTCTTTACTTCAATTGAACTTTGTCCACGTTGTATACCCATGTTTGAAATTTTCACCTTTTTTCCCAAAAAAAAACTACTGAAATTGTATTTTAATCTATTACTTTTGATTGATATCAAGATGCCAAGCATTCTTTTTTGGCGAAATTTCTAGCATGCCACATGTTAATTTTTTGTAGTAAGGGTATAGGAGACCTATAAACTATTTAATTTGTTTGTTATTGGTATTTTCTAAATCCTTATTGGATACCCTATAGAAACATAAAAAAAAAAATCTTAATATCAATTAGTTAAAAAAAGATCTAGCTTGAAGTTGCATGTTAATAACAGTGGAATGTATGTCCGAGTTCTTTATTGAGCCACTGTAGCGAACATTGATACTATAGTGTGCGAAAATAAATTCGAAAATAAAAGAAAATAAGTTAATTTTATGGAAATAATAAAGTTGCTACTAAGGCGCAAATTCAGGCTCCGCAGTCCTAAGAGTATCATTACTATTGGAATAAATGTAAATATAAATACATACGAATAAACGTAAACGTACCTGCAATATTTGTTTATAATCCTTTGTTCCACATAGTCCTTTTAGGTATTTACATGCATACATATTAAAACATATGTTCATAAATATTAAACATATTCTGTTTTTTTAAATTATCAGTCAATTTTTTTAAGTAACACAAAGGTCTTGCCTATTCGTCTGATGACAAAATATGCTAATACAAAAAACAATGAGCCCACAATCACGAACACTTAAACAATTTAATGATAGGCCTATGCATATTTTAATGCAAATTTTACCATTGTGTGAACAAGTATATATGTATGACTTGCTTATATTAATAAAAAATAACTTAATATATTTGCATTTTCAAATTAAATGATTTATAAAATACAAATATTTTTTTATTTTTAATTGATGCAAGAATTTCTCACTAGTTCGCATTTATGATATACATATGTATATGCATACAAATATGTAATTCATATACTTGTGCATGTGTAATTTGTTCTTTTTGATCCTATATATTTAAGCTTTATGCTTACATATAAAAATTTTAATCTCTTTGGATATTGTGTGGTTTTGGATACACTAATTTCTTACTAACTTAATCAATGTTTTAAACGAATATTTTATATAAACATTAATTACTAGTTGTTAGAGCACAGCAAAATCTCGCAAATGGAAAACGCCATTTTTGTTGAACAATTCCTTATCGGTATTCTTTTTCAATTTTCTTTCGTGGTGAATTTATTTGCGTTTATTGTGAATATTCTAACTTGCTACAGAGAACGTACGTTCTTTGCTTGAACCAATTATTACAAGATCACGCAAAGCGAAGATGTTGAATTTATCAGAGAATATATTGTATAAAATTAATTTACCGTTTTTTATTGTATCGTGGCTTGTATCAAAACATTTATGTCCAGTGATGAAAGAAAAATTCAGACACATTTAAGCATCTCTTCCGAAAACTGTTTCAAACAGTAGAGAAATCCTCACTTATGTGTCAAAGGGATATAAATGAAAAAAAAACGCTGTTTTAATTTTAAATTATTGTAGTTTTATTATTAAAACTTAACAGAATTCAATTTTCAAAGGTTTACAATAAAATATTGGAATCAAATTACTACTAAGAACGTTAGAAGTACTTCTTGCTAGTAATAAAATACTCAAAAATCCTCTAAAAACCCAACCGTTCTGTAATCTTAATATAAAAAAAATGCGGATAATAGAGAACTTCAACTAAGCGGAAACTCTGTATTTGCCGGTTTTGATTTTACGATAACTGTCAAGTGTTTTCCCTGGATGTTTACTGAATTTAGTGTTTGAACTGTCATTTATTTTTGTTTACTATATATTTATAATTGGTGCTTTGTAACCGCTGAAGCGACATTCGGACGAGCTCTTATCCAAATTGTGGTTTTTCGTCCCGATGTTTTTTTTCACAAATGGAGGGACCTACAGTTCATACTCTGGCAGTGCAAAATGCTAACCTATCGGCTACCGCGGCCGCCACATTACTTAACTTACACAATTACAAAAATATATTCATATATTAGCGGTATGTAAAGCAGTGCCGCTGTATATCGATAAGAAAGAAATAAAAATAATAATGACGTAAAGCGGCCATTGTTGCCAATCGAAAATAATGAAAAACATGCCAACTCAACTCGAAACACATTGTGAGTAGTGACCCCATATGCTGTTATGCTCTTCATACCAGGACCTAAGTATAATTTTGACGTTTGTACTCACCACGAAAAATGTAAGAATTTCAATGTTGGCTGCCAAAATTCACAATAATAAGTGAATTCACATTCGTTGCGGATTTTTACATTCATTGATGCAAACAATGCAAACATCAATTTTACTCTTTTTATTTTGGTAATTACACAAATCAAGAACGGTAGCACTAATATCGGAAAGATTTGTTAGAGTTATCAAAATCGATAACATTACCCATATCGACGCGATAATTTTTTCAATCTAAATTCTAAATACTCGGTATCATTTTCTTACTAATATACAAAAATGAATGTTTCTTTGAAACTTGGCAGAAATACAGCAAATAAACCTTTGGAATTACATTTTCTGCCAGCTAAAATTTTCGAGGATGGTACAACAGATGTTGACAATTATTTCAATTCATATACACGCAAAGGACTGGACGGAATTTTGATCAATGCTGTACGAGGTTTTCCATTAAAGGGAGAAATTCTTAAATCGCCATCAAATTACAGGGCATTTGTATTGCAATCATCTGAAAAGCATTCTGAGGCCAAAGTAATTCATAATATGTATATATCTGGAAAATTCGACAACTTTACTTATTGGAACTATGATAAAGTACCAAGTAAAGCGGACACATATAAACAAGCTTTGCAGATGCTTGATATATCCAAAGAGGTATTTTTTGGCCCAATAACTAGAGTAAATATGTTCATCTATTTTTTTACAGCTGTGTGCACCCGTTCTTGATTCTGAAATACTGATTGAAATAGATGGAATGGGGTTGGTCATCGGTGGCCAAGAGAATACAATATGAAATAAGCAACCAAAAATAAACTTATATATCTTTATTTGGAATACATAAAAACTAGAATAATATGGCTTTTTGGTAATTATTTAGAACAGCGGCTTTTGCTAAAACTGTCCAAAAATGATGGGGTTTTTGGCTAAATAGATGTATTTGATGATTATCTTTTCATTAAAAGTGGGGGAAAGCTGAATTTTGCAATAGTTTTATTGTTATTAACATTTAAAGTTACACTAAAATCACTAGCACATACATTACAAACAAATACATGGCTAAAGCGATGTTGCCATATCTTACTTAAAAAAGAGTAATGAATAAGACAAAGTATGGCGAAAGCGACATTGCCATACTGTGTAAGAAACTTAAAAAGGAGTAATAAATAAGGCGGAGCAGGTGTGGGTCCTGCATTGATAGTTTTTCGATTTATTGAAACGAATATAAGCGAAAATTCATAACATGAATAAAAAAGAAAATTCATATTGGCTTGCATGTAAAATAACATATAAATTAAACAGTATTTTTCATAAAGACATTTCATTTAAAAATACTGTGCAAGGCGAAGCCGGTGTTGGTCCGGCCCAGGGTTACAATCCAAAGCGCGGCCGAAGGCCGCCAACTTACAAAGGAGTTTCACTTAAGAGTACTGTGCAAGGCGAAGCCGGTGTTTGTCCGGCCCAGGGTTACAATCCAAAGCGCGGCCGAAGGCCGCCAACTTACAAAGGAGTTTCACTTAAGAGTACTGTGCAAGGCGAATCCGGTGTTGGTCCGGTTACAATTTAAATATGTAAATAATATGAATTTTGAAGATATGAAAATACCTTAATATTTGAATTTTTGAACAGTTTTCGTTTTTGTATGTAAATATGTAAATAATATGAACTTTCGTTTTTATTCATGTTAAGAATTTTTGTGTTTGTTCCTTTCAATGAATCGAAAAAAACAAACTATGCCGGACCCACACTTGCTCCGCCTTATTTATTGCTCTTTTTTGAATTTCTTACACAGTATGGCCACATCGCTTTTGCCATACTCTCTCTCATTCCTTGCTCTTTTTTAAATTTCTTACACAGTATGGCAACATCGCTTTAGCCTTGTATTTGTTTGTAATGTATGTGCTAGTGATTTTAGTGTAACTTTAAATGTTAATAACAATAAAACTATTGCAAAATTCAGCTTTCCCCCACTTTTAATGAAAAGATAATCATCAAATACATCTATTTAGCCAAAAACCCCATCATTTTTGGACAGTTTTAGCAAAAGCCGCTGTTCTAAATAATTACCGGCTTTTTTTATTTGCTACCTATTCATCTGCATCTGCAAAACGTTCATCATTTAGATTCAAATTACGTATTCCACCTTGTGCGTCTTCGATACCATTTCTTTCATTATTTCTGACCGAACCTATGCCATTTTCCAAGTTGTCCTCATCGTCCATAAAATCGCTTTCTTCAGAAATGCTGTCAGCAGAATCAGGATGAAGTGCCTGGCACTCCGACATTGCTTGAAAAATTATTTCAACAGTATTCGCGTCGTCTGGTGTAATCCAACACTCAGTTAAATTTTCATTCTCATCTTCTTCATCCGAAGCATTGCCTTCATCTATATCTACGTTGCACGCATTAACTATTTGTGCTTCCTGATGGCCATCGAGCACTTCATCAATATTCCCATTGCGATTGATATTAGAAGAAGCCCGTGTAACCTTATCATATACTCCCCGCCATTCGAGATTGTGGTCTAACATAAAATATATGCACTTGGATGGATTTGACGATATACCATGCACACTAATTAGTTTCCAAACTAAAGAGATTCCTTCATTCATATTTTCCGCCTGCCATGCAAGAGAGCTAAAAAAAAGTATAAACATTAACACTTATTCAACACATCATCCTCTACTCACTTTTGGCTTATATATAACGCTCCTTTTCCAATAACTTTCTCGCCGATTTTTAATTTTGCATTATTAGCAGTATAAATTAGACCATTTTCTGGTGGGCTTACTTGCGCTATTAAAGCCATTATTTCCAGATATCACGGAAATAATTAAACAATTTGTTAATTAAAAAGCCGGCCCTCACTATATCTTTGAACTGGAAAATATTAGGTCAGTTTAGGTCCTACCTTGAACAGTGTACATATAAGACTAGAAACACTCATGAACGTGTCGGTAATACGTAAGAGGCAACAATTTGACTATTTACGTAAAATGCCGTCAACCATGTATGGTCTCCATTTAAGTTCTTAAACATTTCAAAAACTAGGAAACTTAGACGTTCAAGAGGAGGTGAAAAACCATAAGCAGTTTTCGATCATTTCATCATAAAATATCAATAATGTTGTCTTCAGTATTGTAGAGACTATAAAGTAACTTAACTCCGTATTTGTTTATTTGCCCTTGTCGGTTTTTTTTAACAGTTGTCAAAATTCTTCATGCAACTCTGCGCTTATAAGTAAAATATAGCCACCAGTTTCAAATGGATAGAAAACGAAATCCATCAGGTGATCACAGCTAATTGTCAAAGTGAAAATCTGATAGTTTATGACAGGCAATAGATTTCAAGCACAAGCTCTGTTCGGTGAGATTGCAGTTTAATACAATTAGGTAACCATTGTTGTCTATAAAGCCAACAAACAGAACTGAAATCTGAAAAAATTTAATCAATCTGGTCTATCGACAATTGCAAGCAATCGAAAAAGGAGAGTGAGACCTTGAGTTAAATCAACAGCTCCGATTTGGGAAAAAATTTCGCTTAGAGCTGCAGACTTCAGATAAAACAATGCTTCTCTGGCTTAAAAAACTACCATTAAAATTAAAAAAAAAATTGATCGACAGAACGCAGAATAATTTTTCGAGGGAGATGGTTCTTTTATTCTATGTCAATATTATAGTAAGTTTTTTTTAATAGTTGATTCAACTATATTAAAATATTATATATAAATGAAAGCAATCGAAACAGTTAATTTGAACTCCTCTACCGCCAGTTGCATGATACAATAAGACAACGTGATGTACGTGGTTCATTTCTGTGACCCCTTAATTCAAGGTTGTATTTTGGAAAATCAAGACAACTTCATATTTTCTTAACAAAATATAATATAAGTGTTTTTAGTTGTAACTTATTTTGTTCAGAAATAACAAACAAAATGAAACAATGTCGTGACTCAAAATTTAAGAAATTTTGTGTATCTCACATTTTTAGAAAATGAGACAATGTTCTTCTAAGTCTAGTGCCAATCGCTATTATTTTCTTCTATGGTGAGGTGAGGTGGGAAAATTTATTATGGAGAGAAAATATTGTCAAAATTTTATTGTTGACTGTCAAAACTTATAATTTTCAACCTATCACACCACAGAATGGATAAATCGTTCTCAATTACCATTCTAATTACGAAGAAATCGTTGTCTAAAAATCTGAATTAACAAATCATTTATTGAATTCGTTGCTTCTGTTTTATTGGGGAAACATTAGTAAAGAAAAGTATTTTCTTGAGTTTTTCATTTTGTTTGTGTCAAAATTTACAAATTGTAAAATTTTTCACACCATAGTAAAATTTTCTACCTCATTTTATCATATGAAAAAGAGATACCGATGGGCACACAGCCTAAAATATAATTTTTTAAGCCAAACACTATTTGTACATTGAAAATGGAAAACAATTTGAAATTTCTAATGAAATTGTAATGTCTAATGTTGAAATTATTAGAAGAGACCGGACTTAATAAATTTTTTGTTGGATTCTGTATGCTGCCACTTATATCACCAATTCATTTCAACATATTATGAACTTTCATTCAAAATATTTTCTTTACTGTGCTTCAAATGAAACAAAAAAATTTAGACCGTCGAAAAATAGATTTGACTTGCGGGCCGTGTGAACGGGATAATTCGCACTGTTAATTGATGGGACGAACTATGTAATTCATGTTGCCGTGGAAAAGTTGTTAGCTCTACTCCGGCGTAACGTTAATCGATTAACCCGAACTTCAAGAAGAAATTGTTAACACTAAAAAATTGACTTTAGATATTGTATTTTCCATTATTTCCTTTTTTGCTACAGGAAAAACTATTTATTCTCATAAAATGGGCAAGCGTCGTAAGCAGACATTAATCGACTCTGAAGACGATTCTAGTGATAATGATTCAAACCTCGAATCGGTAATTAAAAAAAAATTTTATTTTATATATTTTATAAAATGTCAATTTTTTAGGAATTATTATCTTTGGCAAAGAAAAAGTCAAAAACTAGTGTTGCACAGAGTAAGATCGCTGCCTTGTCTGAATCTGATTCTGATTCCGACTGGGTTCAAGGTGCTAGCACTTCTACAGCTGCAAAGAAGACACGCATAAAAAAAGTTAATAAAGAATCGGACACTTCTGATTCAGAAGATGATCTAAGCAAAAAGGGTGACACAAAAACTTTGGACAAAGATGTTATTCGAGAAGAAGGAGAGGTTTCTGACAGCAACGAAGAAAATGCAAGCGACTCAATTGATTCAGGGTCATCTGGGCAAAGCTCTGATAGTAGTTCTGATTCGGAATTTGATGATGGATATGATGAAAACCTTATGGGGGACGAAGAAGATCGTAAACGTTTGAATGGGCTATCTGAAAAAGAACGGGAAACGGAGATTTTTAAACGTATCGAACAAAGAGATTTATTAAAAACTCGGTGGGAAATCGAGCGAAAATTAAAAATAGCACGCCGTGGAGAAAGAGCCATAAAAACTAGTCAGAAAAAGACCAAAAAGACAAAGGTGGCCAAAAAGCAAAAAGCAACAGAAGTAATTATGGAACAAAAAGTCACTTTGGTTGTTGAGAAAGGACAAGAGGAAGAAAATATTGGTACTAATATAGAGCCAGAAATTCAAAAACCTCCAAATTTTACGGAGGAAGCTGTGCTCGAAAGGCATTCTTCCACGGATGATCAGAGTGCTGTGGAAAATTTAGATCATAAGGAACGATCCAAAGAGCGCAAAAAGAATGTTGAAATGAATCGGACTGACGACAAGCGTAGTACTGCCATGGCTATGTTAAAAGCGAAGCGCGAGGGAAAAGCTAAGCGGGGTAATTTTTTATTACATCAATTAAATAATTCAATTCAATTTTTCCACCCCAAAGATAGTTCATTAACCAGTCACTGCATCGAATATGATTATTAATATTATTTCGGTTAATGATTTCAAGATATGTATACATCTTAAACACATTTATATATATTGATATATTTGTAATTTTTTGTAATAATACTTAAATATCGGAATTCTGTTCTCATTACCAATATAATTATATTAATTTTCAGAGGAAGAGGAGGCAAAACGTCAAGCGGAACGCGATCGAGAAGAAGAGAAAGAAGAGCTGGAAGGAGTAGCAGGAGGAAAATCAAGTGTAAAACTAAAAGCCTCGGAAATTTATTCTGATGATTCAGGTAGTAGTGATACTGATGACGAAAAGCCATCTGAAAAGCGTTCACGCTCAGCAAGCAGTAGTAAATCTTCCAGCGAATCGGAAGACGAAGAAGACACAATTAGGTCGCCCATATATATTAACACTCGAGAAGAATTAAACAAACTGCGATTATCAAGATTCAAAATGGAACGTTTTATAAATCTTCCAATGTTCGAGCGAACTGTTATGAACTGTTTTGTCCGCATAAGCATTGGCAATAACGGCCAAAAGCCTGTCTATAGAGTAGCTGAGATAGTGGGTGTGGTAGAAACAGCTAAAATTTATAGCCTGGGTAAAACTCGGACGAATCGGGGACTGAAACTTAAACACGGGAATCAAGAACGTGTCTTTCGTTTGGAATTTATTTCTAATCAAGAATTCACTGAAACCGAATACGCCAAATGGCGTGATATATGTGCTCAACAAAATGTTCCGATGCCAACCGTGGACACGATAGAGCGCAAACAACTTGATATTAAAGAGGCGCTCAATTACGAGTTCAAGGATGAAGATGTTGAAAAAATTATTGAGGAAAAAAATCGGTTTCGCAATAGACCGACTAATTACGCAATGAGAAAGACTTGTTTAATGAAAGAACGTGATGCTGCAATGTTACGTGGAGATTACGATGTAGCACAAGATTTAGGCCAGCAAATAGATGAACTTGAAAGTCGTGCATCAGAACTAGACAAAAAACGGTCAAGCAGCATAAGCTTAATATCCTACATTAATGACCGAAATAGAAAACGGAATGTGGAGGACGCTGAAAAGGCTATTCTGGAAGAGGCTCGAGCTAATAAGGGATTAAAAATTTCGGACCCCTTTACACGACGCATAACACAGCCGCGTATGGGTTTTAAAGCCGTTGAGAAAAAAGCAGAACCAACCGTGCAGCAGGCAACAGCTCTGCCGCTGACAAAGCGAAAAGTAGAGGAAAGTTCTACAAGCGGCTCGAAGCCAACCGATCCTAAAAATAACTATAGTCTCTATGCACTACATGATTTTGATATCGAATTGGACGTATCACTTTTGAATGCCGTTCCAACCACTCGATAATATTCAAAATAATTCTTATTGTATGAACCAAGTTAGTGAACTTAAATATATATATATGTATTGTCCGAATATCACTATTAATATGATTGTTGAAATTACAAACAATTATTATTTTAATATTGTATTGTATTGATCTAGGATTTTTTCATTAATCCTCCATCTTTGGTTGGCTTAACATGTAATACTTAACTACAAAAGTACGGTATTGAATTCAAAAGATAGAAAATGGCTGACAGATAAAACGTTGTTTTTTTTTTTAAATTATCGGTTCATTGATTTTTTTAATTGTAATAGATCTGTTCCACAAGAATTTTTCGATTTATATTTATTGTTTTAATATAATTGGTTTTTAAACTTATTTTTAAATCATTGATAGTTGATAATTTCATGAAAGCAAAACGTTAACTTACGTTTCTACTTAAATAAAAATATCAGTATACATCCAATAATTTTCAAAAAAAAAATTCTCATGCGTATAACAAAAAACTGGTATCGACTTGCCAAAAGTATGTTAATAAAAGCTGTAAACTTTGCACCCACGCAAAACACATTTTACTTAAGGTATGCCAATAATTGAGCTCTTTTAATATACGTACACCCAGGCACGTCAGAATGGGAATACTCGACCCCGACATACCTAACGAATGTCCCGCATGCAACGATTCGGCGCCTCATTGCATGCCCCCTAAAACCAATCCCCTCCCCCCCTCTCTCTTTGAGGGAGAAACAACTCGTTTCCTGGACCTGATCTCGATGACAAACACTGTCCTGAGGCTTAGGTGTTCAAGAATTCGACAGCGATAAGGTATGCGGTCAAGGACTGTCAATCCCGCAACATTCCCCAAAAATTATTTTGAGGGATATTTTTGCGGTTACAACAACAACAACATGACCCGACGATAGTCCAGGTGTGCGAAGGCAGCCAAATGTAAATAAGAGCTTTACTCAAAGGAACTGCTGCGATAAGGTTAATATGTAGTAAGTACCGAAATTATTTTTTGAACAATTTCGTAAGCATTGTATATACAGTATATGAGTATCATTAAGTTTTGTTGTTTTCCCTATTGCATCGAATTTTTTTAACCGTTACTCACAAAATTAAAAGCAAAAAACTCTAAGAAGACTTCCGATGATTTCAACCTTCAAGTGCCAGGAATGATTCATTACCCGCCACAGGGACAGCATTGATGCCAAAGCAAATCTGTCTTTATTGTTAGTTGCCAAACGCCATTGCGTCTTAAAGTGGTCGTAGCCACTGTGTGGTATCAAATTTAAAAAACAAACCCAGATTCCTACGGTACCAAAAATAATGCTGGTAGCAAAAGGAAACTAAGTTCGCGCGATGAAAAAAAAATATGCCGCGCTGCGAGTAATTCTATGAATAGTTGCTTCACTCTATCTTGCCTTTCCAGCATAAATGTAAACCGTCAAACGATATGAAGAGCGTTGAAACCAAATGAAAGCATAAAGCGAGCTATCTCGTCACAAAACTGCCCGTGTGCATTTCGCTGAACAAAACATTTTAACAGATTGTACCTTGGTAAGAAATTTCTCTGGACATCCAAAATGGAAAAAAAATTAATCAGAATTTGATTCTAGGTAATTTTTTCAGATGAAAAAAAATTCAACCTTTTTGGGCCAGATGGCTTTAGCGCTAGCAGTATAATGGCATGACATAAGAAAAAAGCCGCTCTTTTTTTTAAAAAGAAAATTTGGTGGAGGAAATGTAATGGTGTGGAGAGCAAATAAAATCGTCCATAATCGAGGAGTGGGGAAAGTTAGACGCTGCGTTATTAAAAGGTTACTTTAAAGTATGAATAAGAGGATTATTGAACTAATAAAAGAAAAAGGACAACAAATAAATTATTAAAACAAGAATATCAAAACCTTCTTCTTATAAAAATCAAACCAAATTGAATGAAAACTCAACGGTATTATAATTCTGCAACACGTGTTTAACTCGTTTTCTCTTTTACTATCTAAAGTTTTACAGTTAGGTCTCACAATTTGCTTTCACAGTAACAGAGTTGCCAATACTCGAGTTACTTAGAAAAAAAGTTCTTTATCGGTCTTATAATATTGTTGCGAAAATGCGAGGCGAATGTCAGATGAAAGAGACAAGCCGATAACTAGACCATTCTAGAAACGATAAAACAAGAACCTTCCATAGCGAACAATTCGATGCTTCTACGCTTTCGTCTGCGAGCAGCCGACTGCTATATAAAGGCGACACTCAGCTGCAAGAAGTTAGTGACAAAGCGAACTGGTTGGCGTTAACATCAGTTAAGTCGTAAAGTGAACGCGTTGGGAATTACATTTAAGTAGAGTAAATTGTGAAAGTTGATGCAAGTGATTGTAGCTAGTAAAGTGTCTTGTAATTGAATTGTGAATCACTGAGTAAATAAAGGACATTAGATAAAATCTTTATTACGAAAGAAACTGCAAATTGAGTTGGCGAGTTTTATTGAACAATCCAGAGATCGTACCCGAAGGATTCGGAAAATAATCGAGGTTGATTTAGTAAAATCGTAACAATATTGCAACAGAGTGTAGTTGTTTCAAATATGAAAATCAATATGTAACATAACGCAACATACAGAACATACAAAATAGTTGAACAGAAAACCGTTTATTTTATCACAGCATAGGCGGTTTTCGCTTTGCTGGTTATGTTAAAAATGTTACGCAACGCGAAAAAGTTTAAAGCCGATTTTGCTGAAGCCAACGTCATTGATAATTCATATTACATAAGGAAGTGAAGTGATGATATTACTGAAAATTGCTCTCTTTTCCCTTTTTCAATAATTTGTTTATAGCTTCTACAAAGAATATGCCTCGTAGGCACCATTTTACAAAACATTATGTTGAGACGGGCTCACATACAAAACCTTGCTAACATTACAGTTGCCACGCAATCGATGCTCGTAAGTATCAAAGTTAAGCTGTCACGCAACGCGGCGTCGAAATCCTATCTGTCATCGGCTTTGCTGTTACAAGATTAAATACCAATGAGAACTGCTTAAAATGTTACGTAATTTGTTGCGCAATTTACGCTAGATTTGTGAATAATAACAAAATTGAAGCAGGACAACTTAAATTTTTTTAAATTGTCTCTTTGTTCGTATAGTGAAGTTTTTGTTTAAACGCCATGTTAGGATTATAATATACCGAAAAAGCAACCCTGGGCTTAAGTGTGCTACCAAGGTAAAAAATATGAAACGAAAACACGTGTTTGGCTCCTCGCGTTTCATTAGTTATATATCAGTTTCCTTACGCTTTGGTAGTTTATTTTTTTTTTATAAAATCTTCGATTAAAACAAATTAAAGTTCCTTTTAGTAATCATGGGAAAGCCAGGTAATAGCATTTCATTATACGTATATTTATATATATATGAATAAAAACAATTATTTGGCAAAGGATTCTCACCACGCGGAGGAGGGAGAGGACGAGGCGATGGAGGATTTGGGAGTCGTGGCGGTGGTGGTGGCCGAGGCGGTGGTGATCGCGGTCGTAGCAGCTTTGGTGGTCGAGGTGGTGCAGGTGGCAGAGGTGGTGGTGGCGGCGGCGGCGGCGGCGGCTTCAGTCGTGGTGGTGGTGGTCGTGGAGCTGGTGGGCGTGGAGGTAGAGGTGGAGTAGGGCGTGGTGGACGTGGGGGTGCATCTGGCGGTTTTAAAGGAGGTAGGTACCGGTAATTTTAAGTAGCCTCAAATATATTTATTTCTATTAAAGGAAAAACTGTCGTTATTGAGCCTCATCGCCATGAGGGAGTGTTCATAGCGCGTGGAAAGGAAGATGCTTTGGTGACTCGAAACTTTGTACCAGGTTCCGACGTATATGGAGAAAAACGTATTTCTGTAGAGGTTGGTGATTTTCATAATATACTATGTGATTATAATACAAGTGCTGTGATGAGGTTGTGCAGGGGTACAGAACATGATAAAATGTGGTCATGAAACTTTGTTGAAAATTAAAAACATGGGTTCGAGACCTTTAAATGTATTTAATACATCAAAGTTTAAGAAAAATGCACTACTGAGGCGTATATCTTTTTACTAATTAACTAATTTGTTAACTAGGTTAATAAAATGCTCTCTTTTTTTTTACAGACGAATGGTGAAAAAATTGAATATCGTGTTTGGAACCCTTTTCGTTCGAAATTGGCAGCAGCAATTTTAGGTGGTGTGGATAAGATCCACATGCCTCCCGGTTCCAAAGTTCTTTATTTGGGAGGAGCATCAGGAACAACAGTTTCCCATGTATCTGATGTTGTTGGTCCTGAAGGCCTTGTATATGCCGTTGAATTTTCACATCGCTCAGGCCGTGATCTTATCAATGTAGCGAAGAAACGAACGAACATAATTCCTATTATTGAGGACGCTCGTCATCCCCATAAATACCGAATGCTTGTAGGGATGGTAGATACAATATTTGCGGATGTGGCACAGCCGGATCAGGGACGTATAGTCGCGTTAAATGCTCAACATTTTCTTAAAAATGGGGGACATTTCGTTATATCGATTAAAGCATCTTGTATTGATTCTACTGCGCAACCGGAAGCGGTATTTGCAGCTGAAGTTAAAAAAATGCAAGCAGATAAGTTAAAACCTCAAGAACAGATTACGCTGGAACCTTACGAACGCGACCATGCAGTTGTTGTGGGGATATATAGACCACCACCTAAAAACGTCGGATCGTAAATGCAATTTGTTTAATACTTCTTTTTTAAGGACATGAAGTAAAACATCTATTGCTGCGTTAAATTCTAAGTTTAAGCTTCAAATAACAACATAATTTGTTATTTACCTACTTAAATATTATTGTGCAGAAAAGGATTTAATTGCCTGCAGAATATAAAATGCAGTCTTAGCTTTTAAGTAATTTAATATGTAAGAATACTTTTCTTAAACCTGATATATTTTTATTAAAGAAGATATTTATAAAAAGAACTTTGTAATTCAATCTGTTGATAAAAGTGTAAGGACATATACTTATATATAATATAATTATGGGATATCTGATAGCCTTAAAAAAGTTTTGATAAACTAGGGTTCGGCTTTATAATAGACAAAATTTAATGGCACGGTAGATAAAGAAAATGTCTATCCGTAAAAAATCAATACATATTTCTGTATTGTCCTCGTAAATTACCAGACCCATTAACCTGGCTGCCTGTAGGGATACTACATTTGGACATGACACCATAGAGGTAGCTGCTATACTTGTCGAAGATAGCTTTAAAATCGACAAAGGTTAAGTGTGCCGATCGTATCTAGCGGGCATTTTCAAGGTTTTTCGTACATTGTTAATTTCTGATAACGAGAAAGAGTTGTAGCCAAGATATTGCGATGGTGACCGGATGGGAGCACACGAGCTTTGAAAGCCTGCAACGCAGTACTCGCCGGTGCGAGCAACAGAAGAGGAAGACTTTCACTATGTTGGTTCACTTGGCGAAAACAAACGAATATCATGCCGCTGTTAACTCGGCTATAAACGCGTAAGCGATGCCAATGCCAATAAAGAAGGAGACTATTGTATATAAAATAAAAATATTCAATATTGGTGATTATTATATTTATTGTAAATAATGAAATAAAATTACTTATCATATTTTCAAACATTAAAAAAAAATACATACAAAAAAATATTCAAAATTGGTGATCTTTATAATTCTTGTAAATGTCAAATAATTTAACTAATTATTGGTATTAAACATATCATATTTTTAATATAGTAAAATTAAAAGAAATTAAACAAAGTAGGTACACTCTAATTAAGCAAAAGCCTATAACTTTCTTGTTCGGCGGCGTTTCCCATATGAAGAGCCAGTCGAGATAACTACATACATAAAGACGAAAAATGTTGAAAAGTGAATTGCAAGTGAACGGTCGATGTTGTTAATAGATTGTCTGAAACTTATAATTTAGCACGAGTTTTCAAACCGATACTGCCAACGGCACCACAACTTTCAAGGTGTTTAAAAAGACACTCTAAGTATTCCTCGCGGTGTTTTATCAAATGCGCTGCGTGCTGTGAGTGCTGCCAACACTTAAAGGTTACTTTAATGTTGGCTCTTTCCCAATTTTCGCGAACTGCATGATTCGATGAAGGCGGGCCAATATTGTCATTTTCCGACACAAAGAACAATGCCGGTTGCTTAATCAAAGTCGAGTGAAACATTTGGCTTGAACGCATATAATGGATGGTCGCTTGGTTATGGAATGTTTTCATGTGATACCTAAAGATATGCATAATTTACTTTAATTAGATTTGAATACCAACAATTTATGTATTAATTTGTAGGAATGTTAATTTACAGTATATAATTACGCAGTGCACTTTGCATACGTGGATTTTTAGGAAAGATTGATTTTGGTACTCCAGCTGGAATTTCAGTAATATCGGCTGCACTGTCCCAAATTTGGCAGACAATTCTATCTAAAATGTCTTTGTAGCTAGAAGGGAAAGAAGAAAGGAAAACTATAGTTAGTGTATTGCCGTTTACTAGCTAAATTTAGTTTTCTAAATATAAATTAATAAGCTCGGATATAGTATGTAAATCTATTGTATTTCTGTGCAAGATGTGGTGACTTGGGACACGGCTAGAATATAAGGAACTAAAGTGGAGCCATTCCGACATGTTCGGTTTTAGGGATTATCTGAATTCTTATTGCAGCATTTAAATATATTAGACGTTCTATTACCCGACCATGACGAAGTCCGATTATCAATTTCCGCTTGCCGACTGAGTTATTCAAATTTTGTAACTTGTAACAATGTGCACTCATCAGCTTCTTTGCAAAATCTAGTCGGATGAATGAATGTCAGGAATGTAAAAGTGCTTACCCGATCCACAAAAGAGGGGACTCCATTACCGGGAGAGAAACCTTCTAATCGCTTATAAGGTCCTATCGAGCCTGTTTTGTGAAAGATCAAAAATCACCGATTCACTGATTGTACCTTATCAATGTGACCTCAGACCTGGAAAATGTACAATTGACCAAATATTCACAATGCGCAAAGTCGTGGAAATGCTGGAGAAAATAATTGGTGCTGCAGATTTAAACAGAAAATGTTTAATTTTCTATAAGAGAAGTACAATCTTCTATAAGAGCGTCAGATGTGAATGGATCAGGCAGTGAACGATTAAAAGACGAAGTGTATCAAAACAATCCCTCTAGCAAACAAAGATCAAAATAAAAATTGGTGATAACGAGCAAAAAAAAGTACCGTGTGCAAAGCCAGTGGCTCCATAAAAAACTCGGACATACATTCTGTTATTAACATGCAACTTCACGCTATATTTTTTTAACCAATTGATATTAAGCACTTTTGTTTCTAATGTTTCTATAGGGTGTCCAATAAGGATTAAAAAATACCAATAACAAACACATAAAAATAGTTTATAGGTCTCCTATACCCTTACTTCAAAAAATTAACATGTGGCATGCTAGAAATTTCGCCAAAAAAGAGGTCGGACATCTGTTAATATTACAGTTGCTTGGCATTTTAAAAAGGGGAATCCCACAATTAGTTTGTTTTCGTTTAAAAATACATATGTAACGTAATAGCTTAAAATAAAATTTCAAAAGTTTTTTTTGAAAAAAAAGGTGAAAAGTTCAAACATGGGTAGATAACGTGGACAAAGCTCAATTGAAGTAAGGAAGTTAATCATTAGTCATTTTGAAATAGGAGAAAGCATTCGGGAAATCGCAGAAATTGTGAGCAACCCCGCTCGACTGTACATGACATGATTAAACGATTCAAACAAACAAAATCCGTGGAAATTGTTTTCGGCAGCAGATGAGCGGTGGATAGTGCAGCAAATTAAACAAAATTTTAACATGAGCGCTCCCAAGCTCTCAACAGAAGTTTTGCAACATCTCAATATAAATTGTAATCCGGAGAGTATCGGAATAGTCTTACGAAAAAATAATTATAATGAAAGAGTAATGTTGATGTTAACCGAAACAAAAGCATAAATTTGCAAAATGCTATCAGAAAGAGTAAAGGCTTGCCGAACAAATATTAAGAATATTTTGTTTCTCTTTAAATAATATTTTTAAATTCTATGTTTTTTTTTTCTTTTTTGTCATCAGTTCTGTTAAGTTGTTATGTTCATATTATTTTTATACGACCGAGTTGAACTTAGTTTATGGTTTTGGTTGTTTTGAAAAATGCATTTGAAAGAATAGAAATATATGTTAAGCAGAGAGCCCTCGATTTCCATTTTATTATATATTTTTTTGTTTGAAGTCATATAACTTGGGTGTCCGAGCTCATTTTTGAGCCACTGTATGTATGTATGGAGGAATTCAATACCTAAACATAAATTTTACGGTCTTCTTACCGATTCATATCACGTGCCATTTGCAACATCACTTCTCCGATTTGGTAAGCGCCCACCGAAAATCCATGAACTACAATAGGTGCATAAAATTTGTTGTTTTCAAGAAATTTGAGGGTATCTGCAGCTACAACCTAGAATTATACTATTATTTAAACACTTTTACGCATACATATTAGATAATGTTGATATAATGAGAAGGTGTAAATGTTAACTTAAAATTAAGCCGGAGTGTTTCCAGCACATTTGGGAAGAATTCATTCAGCATTTCTTGGAGGAACTGGTCGATTTGCGGCCACCACACTTCGAGGGAACTGAGCGAGGTATTCACCACATCTCAGAGGAACCTATCTCATAATGTTTGACAACAAGACAAAACGCATTCATAAACAAAAAAAAACGGAACTATAAATTTATAAATTGACAAAAATCATAAACCATTGGCTCATAAAATTCAATAAATTATTTTACTTGTGCTTGCTTTTTGAATTGTTTTTTTCTTTTTTTGCGAAGAATTCACTTGCTTAATTAATTAGAAGTGGAACACATATCTGAACAATATGTTGTAAGGAAGCTAATATTTTGATAATTTTGTCTAACAATATTGTATTTGGTTTTCGGAGAATACTAATAATAATAATAAGGGTGTGTGTGTGCAAGTGATTCTTCAGTGCTCTGACATTCTCGAAGTTGTGTTAATTGCCTTGTATGTTGCGAACAAATTTTTATTTTTCCTTAGGTGCTTCCGGCTAACGATTTTTATAACAATAGCAGTCGTATGTAGAGTGAAGAAGTACAGGTTCTTAGCTGTCAGAATTTTCACGCCATCATCTGAAATATTTATTATTTGGATTTTATGAACGTTTTAATTTTCCCAACAAAAAACACGCACTGTTTCCGTCAGTTCATTAGTTAATTCGGTATGATTTGAAATTATTTTTCCTTAATTTGTTTAGATACAAACCTGAGTTCCCTTTGCAGGCCAGAGAAGTTGCCATGGTGTTACATGTACGACTATAACATCAAATCCCATTTCTGTGTATATTTCAGCATATTTTTTTAAGTGTTTTTGCCGAGCCATTAGCCACGCCATAATCAGTACAAGTGTATTGCCAGAAGGCTGTTTTATTCTACATAAAAATTGATATAGATGTGTGCCCATTAGTTTTGTTTTTACTTTTTGGTATTGGTTTTAGAAAATGTAGCTCACTAACTCTAAAGTTTTTGGATCCACTTCACCCTTAATTGGTTCCTTACTCAGCAACGTCATATTTTTAGTAATTTCTTTTGTTGCGAGAAAACGACGACTCCAAAATTTCATTGTCGTCTAAATTTGGAGAAAAAAAATTTTATTTAATCGATCAGAAAACTTTTTTTAGCTGCAAAAATAACACAGTGTGAAGTTCGATAAATAGCTACCCCCTTGAGTTAGGGGTTCAAGTATTTAACCGTGGTAAGGCATGCCTGTCCTAAGGGACGACTAAAAATCCAGAAGTTTCTGGGACAGTCGGGTCTTTATACCGGAACGACCCGGATTTTTATCCGGCCAATGACTGTTACTTTTGCGGTTCCAATAACAACTTGAAACTTTGTAACCGCTGAAGCGATTTTCAGCCGATTTCTGGTTTGCTTCTTGTTTTCCCTTCAAATGGAGGGACCTACAGTTTATACTAAGCCGCCTCTGAACCATTATGGGTTTTTTGAGAAGCTTTATTTCATGTCAGAAATACACTCTGAAGGGTTAACAATCCCCTCCGAGGGGCGACCGCAATTAGATTTTTTTTTATTTAAATTAATTTTCTATAACTTTTTGGATGTTAGTACAACACCAGGATTTCAATCCGAGCTTTCCGAATGACAGTACGCAATGCTAACCCTCTGGCTTCCGCGGCTGCGCAACAAGAACAACATTCGATAAACAGCTCTGGCATATTTCTATTTGTGGTGTTCTTTAATACCAAAAATACACTCGCAAATTAATATAATTTTCTATAGTTTTCGCCCTCCATAATCAAATATTCTTAGGAAAATGTTAGGTTGAAACGAAAATGTTAGGTGAAAAGGTTAGCGAGCCGCTACAACAACAGGAAAATGTTAATTTTTGGCTTACTTGATTAAATAACTTAGAAGACCCGTGCAGTAATGGTCTGTCTAGATTGGAAAAATCTCTGGAGTTATCCATCGATCTGTTATTAAACTGTCTTTGTAAAGTACTAAGATGTCTGTGGCTATTAACTTGGGATGCAATATTCATATTGTTACCTGAAACATTTTTAATTCATTAAGTTTAAATTAACGAGATAATGATAAATGAAGAAGGAAGGAAAATTAAGTTATTATGTAAGATATTTTTACCACTTAAATGTACACCGGTTCCACGTAGTCCTAATACTCCTGTTGACTTGCTTCGCCCTTTTAATAATGGATACATGAAGTCGACGCCAACCGATTTTTTTACATAGTAAAATTTCGAAACTTTTAACGTTAACAATCGCAAACAGCGCACGGTGTTAGAAGCACAATGCATTGTGAAAGCCGTTTTGTATACACGGAACGATGCACACTGCAATAATATGGATATTTTTTAACAATTTGTGTACATGTGTCTTAATATATGCACAAACATATTTTTAAATAAGAAAAATTCTATAACAACTTTCCAAGTTTTACATGATTTCACATGCACGTATTTTCGTCCCTAGAAGACTACCAGAAGAAATAAGCACATTTACAGCTAATTTTAATAATATATCAAAATACATCCAAACAGAAAACAAAAATCAAAGGTTGTAAAAACCAGTGTGCTGAAAAAAAAAACAATAAAAAACTAAAATATGTTTTGTTTTCTTTAATTTCAGTTGATATTTAATTCGTAAATGTCAAAATCTGGATTTTTTGAATATGTTATTGTTTTTTTTTTTTTGTATGCGAAAAAATTGGCTGAGAGTTTATGCGTTTTTACCTTTATGAAATGCTCAAGTATTGTGTTTGTGTACTTTGGTGAAATCAAAGGAAGAACAAGTAGTAATATGATGTGACAACTTCAACTTCTGTAAATTCACCTTCAATTCAATTACTCCTGCTAATAGATAAGTAAAATTTCCTTTATTTGATTCGCTTGTTCATTCGTAATGTTTTTAATCCGAAATTCGCAACCCTGAAAAACATTAATATAAAAACCTATTTTATCTTATGAGTTTTTATTAAGTTCATTATTATTTTTATGTATAAATAATTTAATTACGATCTCATTAATTAAAGCTTTTTCTTTTAATTGTAAATTCAATTACGAGCACAATATCAATCAATAATTTCATTTTTGGTATGCAATTCCCAACGTTCTTTTGTTTTACTTTGTCCACATATGTATGTACGTCCATACAAATGTAGATTGGGAGTATTTTGATTGTATGTATATTTAAATACATATATATATGTATATGTGCATACTAAAATGCAATAATTGGACTTTGAACTTGTAGCCGCTGAAAATACAATAATGAAAGGGGAAAATAAGTCTATAAGTGTGCTATCAAGGAATAAAAATTATAATTTTTACATATGTACACAATTTGTAAATACACATACCCATCTGTTCAAATTTATTTCTGGTCCATCAATTGCTTTTAAATTTTAATTTTTAAATAGACTGATACCAAGGTTCTTTAAAGCACTTATGCAGTAAGGTTTGTCAATTCAAAATAATTTTTTTACCTATGTATGAACATACATAAATACATATATTTGTTTTGTCATCAAATACTGAAGGCAATTTTCACTAATAATTTGTTTACCTATGTATGAACATATATAAATACATACATTTAAGTATATTTTCATATATATTTATTTTTTGGCATCAAATGCGGAAGGCAATTTTCACTAACTATAGTTCTATTAATGTGTAAACAGCACTGCGTCCTCAATTTCTCGAATATTGCATTGAGTAGCAGCACTTGCATTCCTTACAAACTTGTTTTTGCACACCTATACCAATTGTGGCGGAATATGCATGTTTCGCTTCATTTATTCTTAATTAGCGCAGTCACGTCTGCCGTGTAACAGTGCTGAGAGGCATTTAGTATTTATTCATTTTATATTTAAAATTGTGATTCGAATCTATTTAAAGCTAAAATCAAATTGGCATCTAACATCTGGAAAATGTTCATAAGTGAAATCTTTAAACTGAGTATATAACGAATTTGTGTAAGTAAATTTCTTCGAGACATTACGCTATCTGGCAACTTCTGAAACTAATCTGAGCCAGACGAATTTATAACTAGAGAACAGGAAAACAAATACAATATTAACAGCAGAGAACGTAACGTTGTATTTACGTTCTCTGTTAACATGCATGCATGATAAAATTGGCAGAAACAGATATTTTGACGTTATCAAGCATATTTTGTCGAGGTAACAAGATTTACTTTGGTATCAAAATTTACCATTTAGAAAATTTTGTTACTATATCGTATTCTGAGTTCCCTGCAAGCTTTTTTTTGTTGCTTAGGTATATATTCCAAAATTATGTTTAAATATTTATGATTGAATAAAAACATATTATTTATATTGGAGTCCGCCATCTTCCATTTCGATGTGAATATTCTTCTTTTTTACAGTTGCGAAAATGCGAGGCGAATGTCAGATGAAAGAGAGAAGCCGATAACTAGTACATTCTAGAAACGATAAAACAAAAACCTTCCATAGCGAACAAATCGATGCTTCTACGCTTTCGTCTGCGAGCAGCCGACTGCTATATAAGGGGACACTCAACTGCCAAGTTAAGTTAGTTACAAAGTGAGCTCGTTGGTGTTAACATCAGTTAAGTCGTAAAGTGAACGCGTTGGGAATTACGTTTAAGTAGAGTAAATTGTGAAAGTTGATGCAAGTGAATGTAGCTAGTAAAGTGCCTTGTAATTGAATTGTGAATTACGGAGTAAATAAAGGATATTAGATAAAATCTTTATAACGAAAGAAACAGCAAATTAAGTTGGCGAGTTTTATTTAACAATCCAGAGATCGTACCCGAAGGTCAAGATATTGCCACTTTAAAATTATTTAATTTATTAATATTTGTTTTATTTATTTAATGTTATTTCCGATAAATTTCAGAAAATATTGTGTAAAGCCTTTGAATTTCTTGTGCGAATGATTTATTAATATTATTTTTTTGTTTTGCATAGAAGTTGGAAATTTATTTTTCAAAATATGAAACTGGTAGCATGGAAATAAAGCAAAAGTCAAAAAATCATTTTTTATTCAACATTTTTTATATTTTTTTTTTTAATTTTGAGTTGAAATTTTATTTTTTAATGTATGAAACTGGTAGCACAAAAATAAAGCAAACGTCAACAAATCTTTTTGTCAGATGGTTAGTATTTTTGAAAAAAAGAAAATGTATTTCTTTATGAAATACAACCATTGCTACGTATTTTGATTTTGCTTTAGTGTAGCGGCTGTCATAATCAAAAAACCTTAATTGGATTTTTACATCATCATTTTGGAAAACAAATATCCCAACACTGTCTATCATATTTGTGTAATTTCAGCGCACCTGTGCATTTCGAATGAAAAAGTTGTTTTGACAGTATTGGCGTAAAACTTCTTAACATATTTTTCTGTGATAGCATATACAGAGAACTTGTTCTGAGTTTTCTGGGCTATTTCGCATCATTCTATTTTAATCCAATTGCAGAAGCAAAAAAATGTTTCGCCAATATTGTGGTGCTGTCAAACCAGTGTATGTCAAAGTATAATAATGCCTTTGTGGTGATTTTGTGAATATGAACATTCACATTGTTGTTATTGATAATTATTAAAATTGCAGGATACAAATGCTATGTCTCCGCACTAATCCAGCGTTTATATCGTATCAAAGATTTATTTCAAATAAGCAAAAAGCTGCAACTACTGAAGACACTAATGAGCCAATAAAGTTCTTTGGAAGTCAAGCCGCATCATGGCGTGCTCGTGATTCAAGAAGTGGTGGCTCTGAGGACACATTATGGTTTCAGCCTTACGTAATTTCAGGAAGTTTAGCGATGTTTTTATTGTACTTTTGCGTATTTCGGGAAGAAAATGATATAGACAAAAGGCTGGAGGGGAATCTGTTTGATCAAGTCGCGGGACTGGAAGAAGTACAACTTACCGTTAATTACAAGTATAACAGGGAAAACGGCCTGGATACTTTAGAAATAGAGAAACGATTATCAGAGATGGGAATCGACATTAAACAGTTGAATTGAGGAATTGGTACAATTAGATAATTGCATTGTAATTAATTTGTGCACTAGTATCGAAAAAAAGGTGCTAAAATTTCACGCTACACAAAAAGTGTATATAATTTACATAAAATAAATTCTTTGTAAATTTCGTTTGCATAAAAGTTATTAGTTTATTGCTTTATTTATAATTGCTTCAACTGAAGTCTCAACTTCGTGGATCAATAAGTGACGTTTCAGTCGATAGTTTTCGTAAAACCTTTGGTTGCATAATGTGCATTGCAATCTTGGTGCGTTGTGAGTACGAATATGTACATTTAAACTTGTACTACTCTTATAGGACGCTCCGCACAAATCACAAACGTATGCACGTATATCGGAGTGAGTTACCATGTGTATGTTGCGATCAGTTTTTGTAGTACTTTCATGGGGGCATACAGTGCATTTCCAAACATGACTTTTAGTATGTCTATTTTCATGATGTTTCCAGGTAGAAGCATGAAGAAAATACCGTTTACAATAATTGCATTTGAAAGGCATTTCACCTCCATGTGCCTGGTGGTTGTGGACTAAAAGCTGATTTTGCGATTTAAACTTACGCTTACATTTATCACAATGGACTAGTTTCAAATGAGTGTGAGGAAGAAATTCAATTAATTTTCTAAAATAATCCGGATGTGCACCTACATAACCATTATCGCTGGAACGACCTTTTATAGGTAGCTCTTTCGAACGGATAAATTCGCATTCGAACCATCGAATCAAGAATAGGATACTTGATCGTGCTAATTTAGGTGATATACGTAAATTAAAGACATCTGCCATTTCTTTACAAATTTCTACCGCACTCTCATCTCTTTTATCCTTATGTCCAAAGTAATAGTGATGGGGATTCCACTGACAAGGATGGCGTTCAAAAATCTCAATAAAGCCAATCACAATAGACGGATCTGTAGAACGCAGCTTAAAAAAACATCTCGAAGAAGTCCTTATGTCCTTAAACAGAGGAAATTAGGATAAGATATTAACGTAACGAAAGAACAAACTTACTGTTTGGAATTTGCACCTGTTTGTGTTTAAAACTTCAGATGTATTAAAATCATTGCCAGGATCGTTGTATGGATAATTTTTTACCGCATCCTAAATTAGACGATTGTGAAAAAAATAACTCTACAAGCCTCGATATTTTATATATGTACCTTTAAAACTTCCGGCAAAATTTCTACTTCTAATTTCATTATTGTATCTCCATGTGAAGGAAAAGTTTCTCTTTCATATATCATTCTGGTATCATTGACACAGAAAGTGTTATCCTCTCTTTGAAATGTTCTTATTGCTTCAATTCGGTTTCCAGGGTTTTTTTTTCTAAGTATAGAGTCTGTCGAGTCTTTAAATTTTAAAATATGTTGTCCATGCATGGCGCCATTATATCCACTAATATTTGAGTTGCTTATTTCCGAATAGTTACATAAAGCACCGATATACATTATAAATTAAAAATAAGATACAAATTAGAAATGTGAAGATTAGATATAGGAAGAAAGGATTGATTTTTGAAAAAAAAAACACGAAAAATGGATCTAATTGTGGTTTGTTTGCCGATTTCAACTTACATTTTTTAAGTTAACTATCGTGTGAATTCAAGATAAACTAACCATCGTATTAGTTTTGTTCGGTGATCTGATGGGCAGTAACGCTAGTTACTGAATATTACCTAATCGCGTTCGGTGAGGCAAAAAAGCAAGTAAAATTTATAATACATCAAGAGAGCGCGTTTTGTCAACGACCGCCATCCTAAGTACACGGTGGGGAGTTTTCATCATTGTAAAGTCTACAGATAAGACTGTACAATGATTTTCATATAAATGGTACTCCAATAAGTTTGAGAGAGTTGGTACGGAACGAACCTTTACGTTCGGCAGCGTTTCTAGTATTAGCAAAGATAAGTATTAGTCTTGGTTGATATTCCGGACAGAGACTGAAGTATATACTTTTTCTCTTTTGGACTTTTAGCAGTCCACACTCCACAATCACCAAGGCAAATTTATAGAAGTTGAAGTTGTTAAATTGTTCTCAAACAAATTACTCAAACGATAACTTCGAACTTACGATTACACAAACAAAATATATATATAGATAGACTGTAATCATCAGAGAACCTTAAGTTATTTTTTTATTGCTTATTATCATCGTTGCTTATTATTTTACATTCTCTGCTATGACTACACTAACAAACCACATTTTCTGTCTTTGTATTCTTGCTATTACCATCGCAGAGGCTGCAGAGAACGTAAGTACAAAATTAATTTAATTAAATTGTTGTTGTTGTTGTTGTAGCGGTTCACTAGCCCCGCGTAGGCACTGGTTTGATCAGTCTAAGTCGAAAATTGTATTTACGTTCTCTGACAGAGCTGTCACCAGCTTTTATACGTTATTATATGCAACTCTGCTCTTGTTTTCGTCCAAAATTAGGATCTCAGCTGTTATAATATGTGACGTTTAGCAACAATTTCCTCTTCTTCTTTTTGAACTTCACGATGTATTTTCATGATTCTTTCTAAAACTTCGAAACATCACGATGTTACGTTGTGTAAAATATATACTCCATAATAATGGAGCTTCTTTACTTAATCAACATAAATCATTAATTCGATATAAGCATTTGCTAGCTGGTAACTTTCAAAAGGTTTGATTTTGAATTGGGTTGTACTGTGTTCGGAGAAAGTGAAATAGTATTTATACATATAACAATAGAGCTATTTGCGTTCCATAAGGAGGGAATGGCAATTGTATTTAAAATCGAATCTTTACATATAATAATTATAATAGGCTCGATACTATAAGTTTCTTATTGATTATTATTATTTTGATATTAAGTTAGTAAATCAACAATTTTAATAATACATTACAGAGTATTAATTTAGAAGCTAAATGGGGGAAAAGGTTCCTAACTCGCAATAGCAGTACACAGAGGAAGAAGGAGAAAATAGTAGGTTCGTGGCTACTTTGCTGTGGTGGTATGGTGTATGTGGCTGTTGCTCTTGGTATGATTAATGAAGTATACACAATTATATAATATGGACTAACACTAAAATATAATCGAATAGGAGGGGTAACACGACTAACGGAATCTGGGCTGTCAATGGTAAATTGGGAGTTGCTCGGGGAGAAAAAACCTTCCACCGCTGAGGAATGGAAAGTGGAATTTTCGAAATACCAAAAGTTTCCAGAATTTAAACTGTAAGTATTATTTCATAGTTTACAAATTTATTAATATGTGCATTTCGTAGAGGTGTATTTCATTGTTATTATTGGCTTAATGTTCCAGTTTAATTAATAATACAATTTAGATTGTCGGCACGGTTTTCATGCGGAAGAATTATTTTGGAAATATTTCCGCTAAATAGATGCCGAAACTTGTTTATAATAAATTTATTGTATAATTCTAAACTTAGTGAAGGCGGCTTCTGTTATAAATTATTACTCGTATTTTCAGTTCTCTGATAAAGTGGACTAACAACATAGCGGTGAAATGCCTCCGTAGTTTACTGCAAATTGGTAGAAAAATTCAAAAGCTTGTTTGACATCTCAGTCAAGAGAACTTAGAATTCCGAATCTTAAAATTGACAAAATAATACTTTTTCGACCATAGTAAAATGTAATTTTAAAACTTATTCCAAAAATTTTTCTTGTTATAAATTTAGTTCAATATTCCTGCATCTCCATGTAAATTAACAAAATATTGAATTCACAAAAATAATATTATGTAATGCATATAATTTACTTCAACTGGCATGGTAATCAAATATTTAAACTTTTTATTTTTACAGGAAAAATAGTTCAATGTCTTTGGACGAGTTTAAATTTATATATATGATGGAATACATTCATAGAATGTGGGGACGTGGAATCGGTGCTGTATTCTTGATACCAGCTGTTTATTTTTGGAAACAAGGCTATTTCACCAGTACTACAAAAAAATACGTCTTGTTACTTGGTACATTAATTGGTTTACAAGGTCTTATGGGTTGGTACATGGTTAAATCTGGACTGGAGGACAAATTTCAAGATGTAAATGATGTGCCTAGAGTATCTCAATATCGATTAGCTTCCCATCTCGGTGTTGCGTTTGTTCTGTACAGCTTATTTTTGTCATCAGGTTTGACAAAGTTAATGCCTCCAGTCAGTATTATCACCACTTCAAAAAATCTTATGCATTTAAAAAAAATTGCACATGTATCGAAAGGATTTGTTTTTTTAACAGCGATATCAGGAGCTTTTGTAGCCGGACTTGATGCCGGCTTAGTTTACAATTCGTTTCCGAAAATGGCCGATAGGTGGATTCCTGATGATGTTTTAGCCCTTACACCAATCCAGCGAAATTTTACAGAAAATCCCACAACAGTGCAGTTCAATCACAGAGTTTTGGGTATAACCACTCTTTCTTTAGTGTCTTTATTATGGATATATTCAAGGAAGTGTATTTTACCAAAACGAGCGTCGTATGCCATAAATGCCACTATGTTAATGGCCTGGTTACAAGCTACTTTAGGAATAACTACTCTATTGAATCATGTGCCGGTCCCCCTTGCGACGGCTCACCAATCTGGCTCCTTACTGCTGTTATCGTTTGCTCTTTGGTTAAGTCAAGAACTACGTTTATTAAAGTATATTCCGAAATGAAGCATATGCAACTAATAAAATTAAAAAACATACATATATACGTACACTATAAATATAATGTAGGAGGCTATAGTTTAACAAATACTATTATGTATTCACAATTGCTCTTAAGAAATCTGAAAATAATTTTTGTTTTTGTACAAGACATTGCCTTCATTATGAATTTCATATATAAATTGTTTCATAATTATTTTTTTTTTTACTTTGAAAAGATACGATTTTGCCAAAAATTGAAATTAGCACAATAATAAACAAATAAGGTCAAGTTAAGATAGGCCGTTATTATTTCGCTGGTCTTCCTGTAGGGAAAATGTAAGTCATTAATAGATGTTTAAAGAATACTGCATATTTATCGATAATAGTAGTTTATATATTTTACTTCTAGTGAGGTCGAACAGACGAGCGAATGGTAGCACAGCTTGAAAATCTTGGTTTTCACCTGTAATACAAAAGTGCAAATAAATATTAAACAATTTAAAATTAAATAATTCTCGTTGAATTCAATAAAAAAATATCCATTACATTCAATAAAAATTTATAAATTATTTAATATACAAAAAAAAATTTTCTTCAGTTGATCTCTTTTTAATTTCTTTTCATTTATTATCTGACTCGGATAATTTCCAATAAAAGTACAAAATACAACGATTTGGTCACAATTCGCATGGTTATTAAAATGAAATTCCTTTACTGGCGTATTTTATTCTCAAGAATTTCAGTAGTTCAAGTTTGAATTACTACTGAAAAATCGAACAACATAATTGGGATGTCAAGGGGAATTGGACAAGGTGAAATTATTACGCCATTATTTTAAGTTAGTTTTTGTTTGTATGATTTCCTATTTTTAAGAGAGAAACTCTAGAGATAGGTAATTAAATTAAAAATTCTCGTTGAATTCAATAAAAAAATATCCATTACATTCAATAAAAATTTATTAATTATTTAATATACAAAAAAAAATTTTCTTCAGTTGATCTCTTTTTAATTTCTTTTCATTTATTATCTGACTCGGATAATTTCCAATAAAAGTACAAAATACAACGATTTGGTCACAATTCGCATGGTTATTAAAATGAAATTCCTTTACTGGCGTATTTTATTCTCAAGAATTTCAGTAGTTCAAGTTTGAATTACTACTGAAAAATCGAACAACATAATTGGGATGCCAAGGGGAATTGGACAAGGTGAAATTATTACGCCATTATTTTAAGTTAGTTTTTGTTTGTATGATTTCTTATTTGTAAGAGAGAAACTCTAGAGATAATGGAATCGGAAGCCACGTCATTTTAAGGCAACTGAGCAAATGGAAAGTTGGCTCAAAAATATACAAATTCATTAAATCATGCCTCTCCCCACGCAAAATGACTGTCCTCATATGTAACGTCCGTCCCGATTTACTTCCCCTTTATAATGGCTATCAAATATTTATCAAGTAAACGCTCACTCATCGGCCCGGCTCTACTGGTAAACCTAACCAGGTCTATAATCTCATAATTAATAATCGGATTAGAAATATATGGACATTACTCTAAGACTCACATCAAGATGCTTGCTGCACCTTACCACTCTGCAGTTCGCCGCTCTATTCGCGCATTTCCGGCATCTCCACTAAAAAACATTTTGTCGGAATCTTAACTACCTTCTTTAAAGGACAGTGTGGAAGACTGCCTATGTTACCTTTATCCAAAACTTATTATGGACACCAACATCGTATTGAAACAGGATTTTCTATCAGCCTTATCTAAAAAACGTTCGCCAAAGGAACCATCATCTATTTACAAATGTGCCTTATTTGCGAAAGACAATGCACTACCGCAAAAAATCCATTTCCCTGGGAGAATCAAACACCCATCGTGGAGAGTGAATGAATCCTCTTTCCTCTCCGACCTAGTGGAATTATACAAAGTCAATACGCTCAGTTGTGTGTATAAAGCCCGCTTCATTGAAGTAACTACCCCCTTCAAATCAGCTGGCTGGAAGCTCCTTTTCACGGACGGATTCAAAGCATCTTACACATTCTTCGCCGCAGTCAGAAAAGATAAAGTACCTATTTCCTATGGGCTACTATTTTCATTTTGCTCAATATCCACAATAGCACAGCTGAAGCCACAGCAATTCTAAATGCTGTTTAATACTCACAACTAAATAGAGGAAAATACATAATCTGTACATGCTTCATGGCGGTAAAAAAAACCCCATTAAAGCAAACTACATCACAAGTGGAATAAGGCTGCAACTACCCATTTCCATTACCAGCCGTCCATAGGTGGCGACGAAAAGGCGAGATGAACACACGAGTTATCGACGCCGCTGAGGGCGGCGATATGTTGCCAGCTGCCTGTGTGTTTGCACACTTTTGAACAAATTCATAATTTTCGTCAACAAATTTCATAATTTGTTTGTTTGAACATAAACACAAGGCAAATATACATGATCTATATGGTAACAAATAATTAGTTACGCATTTATTTTTCATTTCTTTTGAACAAAACTACGCATTATCTTCGATTATTTAATGTTACTTTAAGAAAGGGTATACTGGCAACCTTGTATAGCAACGAAAAGTGAGCCGAGCCGGTTTTACGGAAAAAAATCAAATCTTCGTTTTCTGCGGAACAACCGTCACTAACGGCATGGGCAAGCGGTGACAACTTTGTGTTTACATGGCGCTCTCATAAGATAGGTTACTATGGACGGCTGGTACGCGCGTTGGGTGCAGCATAAGAGATGAATTAATATCCCTCCCTAACAAACTCAAATTAATGTGGACTCCCAGCCACACAGGCATCAGTGGAAATATCGCTGCGGACGCAACCGCAAAGGAAATGATCCTAACTACTACCATCACCTCTTCGCATTTGACAAGAGGCGACATCTACCGACTAATCAAACATAAAAGAAGCACATTATTATCCCTCGACTGAGTAAATTAAAATCATCATTATTCAAGGATTAACCCAAGTCGCACCAAGAAAGATTTTCTTTCAACCATGTCGACCAATTTAATTACCCCGTACATCAGACTTCACATCGGTCACTGTATCATAACCAATTCACACCTATTGAGCGGTAGTCGCCAAAATCAATGTCCCTTCTGTGATTGCACCGTCAGCATTAATCACCTACTTATCGCCTGTCCTGCGTCGGAAAACTCAAGAACAAACCACTTCAACAACGAAGATCCGGTTCAATTATTAAGTGTACCATCAGTAGCAAACATCTCTAAAATTTATAATTTCCTAAAGGAATCCGATCTTCTTCGCCGCAAGCCGAAAGCCTATGTTGCTAGCGCTGCGTGCCATAGTTTCCATAATAAATTTTTGTTATGTAAGCTTTCATAAATAAATAAATAAGAAAGGACCTCTCCGATCCATTCGGTACGGAAACGAGGGCTAGACGAAATATCTTCTTTCATCAAACAAACAGTCATCGCTTTCGCGACTTGGCTACACGTCACTATTAACAGTCATAACTTCGAGCTCGTAGATAACTTCGTCTATCTATGAAGTAGCGTTCACACCATTAATATCAGCCTTGAAATACATAGCGGAATCACTTTTACAAGAGATGCTACTTTGGACTGAGTAGGAAATTGAAAACTTGCTTTGCCGCGTATAGATTAGTTAACGGGAAGTTCGGGATCCGAGCTGTTTCAACAGGCTTAGAGCAGAGGGAGAGGTGCAGTGTTAGGCTTCTTGTAAAAAAGGGGTTAGTGTCGTGTGGGGACTTATTATTTGGGTATGTTGGGTAGGAGGTTAGATAAGTAGGAGTTTAACTGGCTATGATATCCAGACCTAAGTTGCGCCCTTGCGTACGTTGCCCCATGCTCTAGTAGTCAGCCTCCGCCTATCTCATTATACTCATTCTGCTGTACGGTGTAGAAGCGTGGCCGATGTCGATATCTATTTAGTTAGTTAGCTGGCTTTGGGAGTCTTATACATACATGCGAGAAATGGTTAGGTATATAGGAGCGGCGGCTAAAAGCGCAGGAAGTTCAGTGGTGTAAAGAAATCGATAGTGACAATGTTGGTATAAAGTGAAGAGGAGTAAACTGTTTAGTTGCAAAAGAACAAATTTTTTGTAAGGCACAGACTTAATTAGTTACAGAAACGAAACAACAAAATTTTGGGACAAAAATTTAAAAAATCCAACGAACTGGAAATTTTCAAGGTTTATTTACCAAAAATCATTAGAATATTCTAGTGGCAACATTGATAAACGGATGCATTTTATCAATTTGACAGCAGATTGTGTATTTCATTTTATTTAACAAACAATTATAAAGTGAATGAAAATATTTTTCTTAGCATAATGGCTCAGAATGAGTTCAACACGTTTCGTAGTTATGTTAATATATTAAGTGATCCCTCAGCTAAAGAGGAAATAAAGTTTAAAGCAGCACAAGAGCTTAGTGAACACTTTGAGTTAATTGTGCAAAGTCCTTCGTATCCTGCATTCTTAGAACTTGCATTAAAAGTATTTATAAGAATATTGCAGGATGGAGAGCCACAGTTCATTCAAGAAAATAGTTCCCAGCATGTAAGCTTATTTAAAAATCTATAATTGTGTCAATATTGAAAGCCTAAAAGTGCTCTAGCTTCTAATATATTACTAAAGCGCCATTCAGGTTGTTAAAAATCGCTACAGAATGGTCCCATTTCTGGTAGAATTCAGTCAATTTAAATATGTACTGTAATTGAGTTTTGATCTCATTGAATGCAGACACTATTAAAATTAAAATATTCATTGATATACATATTAAAAATTATTAAAGTAACAATTTTATTTCAGATCAGAAAATTAATGTTGGAAATGATTCATCGGCTACCTATTAGCGAGAATTTACGTCAACATGTAAAACCCATAATATCTGTAATGCTCAAAATATTAAGAACCGACAATGAAGAAAATGTGCTGGTTAGTTTAAGGATTATAATCGAATTACATAAACATTTTCGTCCATCATTTAATCCAGAGGTAATTTATTGCAAATCCTTCAAACACTATATTTACTGAAACACACACTATACTGAAATACATTTAATATCCATATCTTTTCCTTATATATGATGTACTATATAATGCATTGATCTGATAATTTTTCCAGGTGCAACATTTTCTACTGTATGTAAAGGATATATATACAGAGTTGCCAAACCATATGAGCAAAATATTTGAACAGAAACAGCAGCCGATGCGTGTAAAAGATCTGAAAGAATTAAATATTGAGCACTTATTATCTATAACCTATGCGCCCAGAACAATTCATGTTGAAAATTTACAAGACTCATCACCGCAAGTTGTATGGTCTAAATGAGTCATATGCAATAATAAAAGATTTTTTAATGTTTATATCTTTTTTAGTTTAACCTTTTACCTAAAGGAGTATTGTCATTAAGAGTTTTGCAAGAATTGCCTATAATTGTTGTATTAATGTACCAGATATATAAAACAGCAGTACATCAAGAAGTTTCTGAGTTCATTCCATTAATTATGACAACGATAAACTTACAACCGTCAGCACAGCAAAGGTATTATATGTACATTTATAAGGTCATATTAAAAAAAAAACATCTGAAAATTTAAACTTTTAGAAATTCTACGGATCTTAATAAAGAAATATTCGTTGATTTTATGGGCGCCCAAGTTAAAACACTTTCGTTTTTGGCATATATTGTTAGAATATTTCAGGTGAAGCTAATAAAAAGTTTAGAGGTCACAAATTAAATAATATGTTAATTGAAATGTTCCAGGATTTAATAATTACACACTCAGCATCGGTTACTAATGGAATGCTTAGTCTAATGGATCTCTGTCCAAAGGAGGCTGCTCATTTGAGGAAGGAATTGCTGATAGCTGCTCGTCACATTTTCGCCACAGACCTTCGGCAAAGTAAGATTCTTTCTTATGTTTCTCCTTATGCAGTTAAACAGAGCCTTCTTTTAGAATTTGTACCCATAATAGAAAAATTGTTCAATGAAGATCTATTAATTGGAAAAGGTGTAACGTTGGAATCTATTAGACCTTTAGCATATTCAACATTGGCGGATTTAGCTCACCATGTTCGTCAAAGTTTATCTCTTGATGTGCTTGAGAAAGCAGTAAATCTGTTTTCAAAGAATGTACACGACGAATCTTTAGCAACTGGCATTCAAACCATGTCCTGTAAATTATTATTGAATTTAGTAGATTGTATTAGGCAGCACAGTGAATTGGATGCTGTCAAAGCTAGAAACATATTGGTTTCGTTGTTAAAAGTGTTTGCCTACAAATTTAAAACTATAGCGAAAATTCTATTGCCGCCAATCTTTGATAAGTGGTAAGTTTTGAGCGCATATTATTTGGCTACATTAACCGCATGTGCAATTTAAATAGGAAAAATCAATCTTCTACACAAACGGCACATTTATCACCTGGATCAACAAATGTATCTAACAACAATGGTTACGAATTTAAAGACGGAGTTGGGGTAAGTTTAGTAATTAAATATCTTTGTAAATGTCCTATCTTAAGTAGTTACGGTTAAAGGATAATGGATTAACAGAACCAATAAAGTCGAACGTAACTGGAAGCTATTTGATTTGCCCGGCCAATATAGTAGAGTATCGTGGTTTAGTAAAAACATTGGTTGGAGGGGCAAAAACTATTACTTGGGGTTTTATCAGTTCCAAGGTATGAATGATATGTATGTTTGATTTACTTCCTACAATTAAATTTGTTTTTTTTTCTTAGCCTGTTTATGCTGAGGTAGTGAAAACTAATCAAGAAAAGTTATTTGATTCAAATGAATTAAGAATATATATAGATTTGGTGTACTGGGCAATGGAAGCTTTGGATATATACACAATAAGTACCGCTAATAATAATAACCAACAGAGAACATCAAACCAGGGTCCACGCACTAAGGAAGAAAAAGAAGTTTTGGAGCATTTCAGTGGCATTGTAATTATAACAATTTGAATTTATCTAAACTAGACCTCCAGATTTTTACACTTAAGGGGTGAAGCCACTCTATAGGTTGAAAAATAGACGCATTTTTTAAATTTATTGTAGGAATATGGGAAAGGAATAGAACTTCTATTTAACCATTTCATTGAACATATATTGAAGTGATGGTTGAATAAAAAATATTATTTAATTATTATTTTGTTACAAAATGGCAGTGATAAATTCTATTATTTAATCCATGTTTTTTGCAAAGGCGTCTACGGGAGGATTTTTTCTAAAGGATGAGACCTAGAACAGAAAATTAAAAAGTTTTATAATCTACAAACAAATGGAAGTACGTACGGACTTTTTTAGCTAATTTTTGTGAAAGCGGCACGATTTTTTTTTAAAGATAGCTTTTTCACTAAAATATACGCACTAAATTATTAAATAAAAATTTTACATTTTATCGAAAAATGGCTACGTACTTCCATAAAAATGTATTTGTGAAGATATCATGAGATAAATCGAATAAAAAATACTTTTTCCAAAATCCTAGAGTGGCCTTATCCCTGAAAATTTCCGAGCGCAAGTACTAACAATAAATTTTAGCTATGACGTTTATAGTACTTGTACTCGATACCTGGGTATCTAGAACCCTAATTAAATATATAAACACGTGTGTGATTTGTATACCCGACTGTATTTTTTTATATTGTACCAGTTAGGTTGCGTATACGTTAACAATATAAAATAATTTAGATTCGTAGATATAAACATGTACTATAAATCTTTATAGAATAACTAGACGAGATAATTTAGCTATGCCTGTCTGTCGTTCCGTCCTTTTGTCGGCTGCCAATGCAATGAATATTATGATAAATGAAAGAAACTTGATTCTTATGTTCCTTGGCCATTTATCAGACCATAGCCATAACTCCTTACTTGGTAAAAATATATAAATCATCACAAATCACTAACTAAACTAGTTACAACACACGCCATGTGCAAGCCTCATATGCTTATGTTCAAGTATGTTTCAAATGTACAAAAATAGGCATAACCCGGTGAAAATAATACAAGAAATGAGCTTTGATGCAAACTTTAAATTGTTCACATACATAAGTCTATAATTTAGTACATATAATTTATGATGGGCTTGACTAATTAAAGTTTCAACCATGTTCTGTCGAATTCGGAATTAAACACGGTATTTCTGTATAACAGTTGGGTATCCTATGTTCGGTTCCGCCCGGACTTAGCTCTCTATTTGTATAATGATATATATATATATATGTGTATATGTATATATATATATGTATATGTATATGTATATGTATATGTATGTAATTTTAGTTCCTAATGATGCACCCGCAAAATTTCCAAGAGGTATTTGCTACAACAATTGACTTCATGGTGAATCGGATTGCAAAAAATTCATCCCTTCAAGTCGTTGCAAACTCATTTCTCGCCAACCCGACAACATCACCTCTATTTGCAACTGTACTCGTTGAATATTTGTTGGGAAAAATGGATGAAATGGGTGGACCGGATATCGAGCGATCAACTTTATATTTGCGATTGTTTAAATTAGTTTTTGGTAGTGTTAGTTTATTTCCAGTAGAGAATGAGCAGATGCTACGCCCACACTTACATAACATCGTAAATAGATCTATGGAACTGGCACTAACGGCTGAAAATCCATATAACTACTTTCTTTTGTTACGCGCTTTATTTCGATCTATTGGTGGAGGAAGCCATGATCTATTATATCAAGAATTTCTGCCCCTATTACCGAATTTATTAGAGGGATTAAATCGTTTACAAAGTGGTTTTCACAAACAGCATATGAAAGACCTTTTTGTTGAGCTCTGTTTGACTGTGCCTGTGAGACTGTCGTCCTTATTGCCATATTTACCAATGCTTATGGATCCACTAGTATCTGCTCTCAATGGGTCGACAACATTAATAAGCCAGGTAATTTTCAAATAGTAACAGCGCTTTTTATCCTTGTTTTATTATGTACGTTATTTTTTTTCTTATTTTAGGGATTGAGGACGTTAGAGCTTTGTGTAGATAATCTACAGCCAGATTTTTTATATGATCATATTCAACCTGTACGTGCATCATTAATGCAAGCTCTTTGGCGTACATTGAGAAATCAAGATAATGCTGCACTTGTAGCTTTTCGTGTACTTGGTAAACTCGGTGGTGGAAATAGAAAAATGATGACTGAACCACAAACATTACAGTTTAGAGAGAATGATGCTTTGCCCACTGCCGTTATTACCTACTTTCAGGATCACGAAAAGCCCATCGATTTCCCTGTGGAAAAGGCAATTGAAGCTGCTCTTACAGCTCTAAGTTTCAAAACAACGGATGATTTTTATCGAAGACAAAGCTGGGAAGCTATACGTTGCTTTTTAGCAGCATCTATTAATCTTGACGATGATAAATATACCTTGCAGAAATTGTTCACTCATAATAGCTTCACTGAAGGAAACATTATGGTTACCCCAATAATTCAAAATAAGTTCGAGGAAGATAATTCACGTAAAACTCACCAGGTTGCATTGACTGGAATGTTAGTGGCATCGGCAATAAAAGAACTACGTGAATCTGTTTTTCCAGTTATGGTTGCGGTTGTTCGCCATTACACTATGGTGGCAATAGCACAGGAGGCAGGTCCATTTCCGTACAAACATTACCATAGCTCACAAGGTGTGGATCCCCTTGTCCTAATTGACGCCCTGGCCATATGTATGGCCCATGAAGAAAAAGAATTGTGTAAACCGGGCCATCTTTGCATGGAATTGATTTTGGAAACAGCAAGCACAATCATGGGCTCAAAGGATAGAGCTTGTCGTTTGCCGTTGATTCAATATCTTGTTGAAAAAATGACTGCTCTCTGCTATGAGCGACCTTGGTATGCTAAAGTTGGCGGATGTAAAGCAATTCAATTTTTATATCAGCATGTGTCACTGAAATCCCTCTACCAACACCTCTTCACATTTTTAAAGGCTTTTCTATTTGTTTTAATGGACTTGGAGAGTGAAGTATCTAGTGGTGCAATTGACGTGGCGAAGACCAATTTAAGAAACATGCTTAAAATCTGTATGGTTCCTCTTGAAAATGAAAATAACAATGAAGAATTAATCACTTTTCAAAATAAAGCAATGTATGAAATTGTACACGAGCTTGTTCGTCAAGTGACTAGCTCTAACGCTTTGGTACGCGAAGAAGCTATGTCTTCACTCAATTTTATAGCCCAATTACAAAAGAAAACCGTCTATGAGATAATGGATCCACACAAAGAGGTTTTAGCCGATATAATACCCCCGAAAAAACATTTGTTAAGACATCAGCCAGCGAACGCACAGATTGGTTTGATGGAAGGCAACACATTTTGCACTACACTCGAGCCAAGGCTATTTACCATAAGTATGTGTTTTCTTTATTCGAAAAAAATTAGTTAATTAAAATTTATATTCTTAGACCTTACAAATAATTATCACCGGTTGTTTTTTCACGAGTTACTAACGTTGAGTGAGGCCGAAGATGCAACTCTAAACAAATTGGATTGTTATAAAAACGTAGCAAATCTTTTACCTTTACGGAAGAGTGCTTTAAAAGCATTAGCTGCTTGCCATTACATAACCGACACTCAATGCAAGGAAAAGATTATAAATATTCTTTTTAAAGTTATGGAGAGCAATAAAGAGGAGTTGCAAGAAGCAGCGTTTAATTGCACAAAAGTTTTTATATCCGGGATTCACATTGATAAAGAAAAGGTATTAATTTAACCGTGTTTTAAATTTTTTCACTAAGATTGATAAAAGCTCCTTCATTTGAATAGTATGTATTTGCAAACTGTGATAATTAGGGACACAAACAGCGATGGTTGTTAAATACAATATAATAATCTGGCTAAAATATAATTATTATTTGTGTCTGATTATAAAACTTATTAAATTTGTAAAATTTCATATTAAAATACCAGCTATTGATAAAAGTGGTAAATCTAGGATTAAATCTATGTATTTGAATTTAGTTTAGTTAATTATTTGTTTTCGATTATGCATTTTTCCCAGGTTCATGCTGGGATGCGACCTTTGCTTCTAACTTTGGGCGATCATCGGAATCTTTCGTTAACTGCAACCAAAAGACTTTCATATTTTACACAATTGTTTCCTCAAATGTTTAATGAAAAATTAAGTGAACAAATATTACAGCATTGTCAGAAAATTTTAGAAATGTCAATTTCAACTCACAAATCTAGTACGAACCAAGGAGGCAATTTTTTTACGATAACCAAACGAGATGAGTATGAACAGAAGGTAGTGACCTTAATTGAGATGTTTCATCAAATAACAGCTGCTTCGCCAAAGTACATTGATAGCCTGTGTCAGCTTGTGTTGAAAACTGAAAAAAGTTTGATGATTGAATCATCAAGCCCATATCGCGAGCCGCTGATAAAATTTTTACTTCGATTTCCTTCAGAAACCGTTGATTTATTCATTTCTGATGTCGTAATCGCGAATGCCCAGTGGAATAGGTTCTTTCTGTATTTACTAAATCACAAATGTGGTCAACCATTCCGCACGGTTATTAAGACGCAAAAGTGTAACGTTTTGGTCAAGATCATTAATGGTGCAATGAGCTCAAATTCACAAGGTGATCAATTGCAGAAATACGAGGCCTTGCATCAAGCAGTGCTCTTGGTTTATACATTAATGGAGAATGACGATCAATGGATTCCTACACAAACGGATATTGTATTAGCACTGAAAAAGTTATGGGAAACAAGTTTATATAGTACATGTAAAGATAATGTGACTTGCGATTTGTGGCATTTAGTTGGGATGATACTGTTAAAATATTTTTCACACAACACTAATGATATCGATTTACTGTTTCAACTACTCCGATCGCTTTGTTTACATTTCATACCTGACTTTCACTTTCTAAGAGAATTTTTACAAAATACCGTGGCTCAAAGCTACACAGTGGATTGGAAGAGAAAGGCATTTTTCCATTTTGTTGATAAATTCAATGGAACTACTCTTTCCGAAGATCTTAAAGCTAAAATTATTACATCCTTGCTTATACCTTGCTTTGTGGTAAGCTTTGATAAAAGGGAAGGAAATAAACTGATTGGGGCACCACCGACTTCATATGCTGATGATGATAATAATGTGGTATCAGTATTTATCAGCAAAGTTTTTGACCCTGATAAGCCATACGCCAATGAAGACGCAGTCAGAATTGCTTTGCTACAATTTGCTTGCTTACTTGTTGAAAGAGCATCACAACACATTCATGATGGTGATGCTAATAACAAGCGACAGGGTAACAAGCTACGTCGGCTAATGACATTTGCCTGGCCTTGTTTACTTAGTAAAAGCTCAGTAGATCCTACAGCCCGATACCATGGACATTTGCTCCTGGCTCACATAATTGCTCGACTGGCTATACATAAAAAAATTGTATTACAAGTGTTCCTGTCATTACTCAAGGGGCATGCTCTGGAAGCTAGACCCGTAGTTCGACAAGCTCTTGACGTTTTAACTCCTGCAATGCCACTGCGAATGGAAGACGGTAATACTATGCTGACTCATTGGACTAAAAAAATTATTGTTGAAGAAGGCCATTTAATGCAACAATTATTTCACATCCTTCAACTAATTGTTCGCCATTATAAGGTAAGGTTATCAAAGTACATATCTATATAAATCCTCTCTTTATTAAATGGTTGGACTGATTTGGATTCGACCTATTCGAAATGATAAAATTTAAGATGTGATTTGGATTAAATTTGTTAAATAGTTATTTTTTTTTTTACTTACCTCTCTACTGATTAAAATGTAAATTTGCTTGTGTAAGAGCAGCTTTAAAGTATTATTAATAACAGTCATACATATATATTTACGGTTCGTGCTAAAGAATCTAAGTAACATTTTTTTTGATATTTAAATCTAAAAAGTCAGACAGAAAGTATTTACATAGGCATTTCAATTATAAATATAAAAATGTGACTAAAGAATCTTAGTCGCGCACGATAAAAAAAAATTAGCATACTCGTATATGCAATATTTTGTTCCATTACAGGTATATTACCCAGTGCGGCATCATTTAGTGCAACATCTTATTAACTATATGCAACGTCTCGGGTTTCCACCTACTGCGTCATTGGAGCACAGAAAATTAGCGGTTGATATTGCAGATGTTATAATCAAATGGGAAGCACAGCGCATTAAAGACGATGAAAAGGATATAAAACTAGAGGATGGAAGTGTAGAGAGTGTTGGTATCACTGCATGTGACGGAGCTAATAAACGTTCATCTGACGAAGGGAATGTACAGAGAAAGAAAGCGAACACAAATGATAGTTCACGAAATCAAATCAGTCAAAGTATTGCAATCTTAGCAGATGTTCTTTTCGCGTTTTTTGTCACATTTTGTATTTCTTGTTTTATCAGGTACATCTGGTATTGCACAAAGTCAAAAGATAGACGATGGTTACCGTTCAATAGAAAAAAACCATTGTGACACAGTGCTCAACTTTCTAATTCGCCTCGCATGTCAAGTAAATGATAATCAGCCTGCAGTCATTTCTCCCGGCGAGGGGTTGTCTCGAAAGTATAATAATATATTCATTTTAAATTATCCATAATTAATTTATTTAAATATATCTTTAGATGCGTGATACTTTTAAAGTCAGCTATGCAAAATAAATGGCCTCAACCTTTCGAACTTAAATTAAATTGGTTGGATAAGGTATTTATGACTATTGAAACTCCAACGCCAAATCTAAGTAACATTTGCACTGGATTGGACTTTGTAACATTTTTAACAACAATTTTGCCTGCGGATCAGTTACTATTAACTATAAGACCACTTCAAAGAGGGCTTTCAAGTTGCATTATACACCAAAATACGCGAATAGTTCGACTTATGAATGCATTTCTTACACGGCTTATGTCTATATTTCCGCCAGATATTAATCATAAACACGAAGACCTTGATGTGTTATATAGTGGTATAAGTAAAATGATATCTGAAAACTTGACTTTGTACGAAAAAAGCCCTCAGCCCAATCCCCCTTCCGTATATGGAACATTAATGATATTGAAAGCATGTTCGGCAAATAATCCAAGTTATATTGACAAACTTATGCTCCAATTTATAAGAGTTTTGAATCGCTTGACAAAGGATCACTTAAACACTCAAAACACTGGCCAGCCAGTTACATCTAATGCGGATAATGTGGAATTGCTTGTCCTATCGTTGGAATTAATAAAAAATCGAATTATTATTATGGGAGTTGAGGTGCGAAAATTGTTTATTGGAAATATTCTGGTTAATCTTATAGAGAAAAGTTTGGATGTTAATGTTTTGAAATCCATAATACAAATGCTAGATGAATGGATAAAAGCGAAGGAACAAAATCCCATAATGCAGATACCTTCTATAAGGGAAAAATCTATTCTATTAGTTAAGCTAATGCAATATCTGGAAAAAAAGTTTTCAGATATAAAAAACTTGAACATCCAATTCTTGGAGATAGTCAACTACATATATCGAGACGACTATTACAAACAAACTGAGTTGACAGCTAAACTAGAAGGTGCTTTTCTAACTGGCCTTCGTTGCCAAGATCCACAAATAAGAGCGAAATTCTTTGAGATCCTAGATGCATCAATGAGAAGACGACTTCACGATCGTCTTCTTTATGTTATATGCTCACAAGCCTGGGACTCTATTGGTTTACATTACTGGATAAAACAGTGCATTGAGCTGTTGGTATTAACTACAAACACAATGACTCAAATTCAAAATTCGAATGAGACACATAAGGTACCAAGTATTAAGTCAGTAATAAATTTGGCTGAAGGGCAGGATAAAAGTAGCTTCGTAATATATACGTCATCTCAATCTGATTCCTTCGATTCTACGCAAGTTGAAGATAAGGAGGACATTTTTGACAACGATCTTGAGGCTAATTGGAGTGTAAATCGTCATAACGAAAATGATAAAGATTATCCGAAGCGGAAATTGCAACTTCTCATAAATAAGCAAATTGAATTTTTAGAAGCTAATCGAAAAATTAATACGGAACAATTGATTATAGCTATTGCTCAACTTTGTCACATGGATATTCAGCTAGCTGAAAACGTATGGTTAATTATTTTTCCTAGAATATGGTCAATTTTTGACGAGGAGCAGCAACATTTAATTGCAAGGGAACTCGTGCCATTTCTCTCTTCTGGCAGTAATGTAATTCAAAAGGACTGCTTTCCTAGTGCTCTTAACACTTTTGTAGAGAGTTTAATGCATTGTGAACCTCCAATATATATTCCACCATATTTGATGACATACCTTGGCAAAGCCCATAATCTGTGGCATCGTATGACTTTAGTATTAGAAGAACTTCATCATGGTACTAGAAAAATATCTCTGGACAATTCGGATCTAGATCAAAGTGAACCATTTTCAGTCACGAAAAAAAATCTAATATATGATTCGCTTTCTCAAATGTATGCTACTATGCATGAAGAAGATCTTTGGGCTGGCCTATGGTTGAAATACGCACATTATCCTGAGACAAATATTGCCATAGCATATGAGCAAATGGGATTTTTCGAAGAAGCTCAGGGAGCTTACGATTTGGCAATGTCGAAGTTTAAACATGATCAAGCAAATGGATTAATTAATACAGATGTGAATAGTGAATTGCTTTTATGGGAAAGCCATTGGATTCGTTGTGCCAAAGAACTGAATCAGTGGGATATTTTGTTAGACTATGCTCAAACTAATAAGGAAAAAAACATGTTTCTCATATTGGAAAGTGCATGGCGAGTGCCAGATTGGAATTTAATGAAAACTGCTATCTCTAAAACGGAGCAGTCTTTTGCAAAGCAATTCGGTTATAAAATTCATTTGTACAAAGGATTTCTTTCAATATTACATCAGGAGGACCGTCAGCTCTTGAACGTTGAAAGGCATATTGAAAATGCTTCTGCATCGTGCATGAAGGAATGGCGAAAACTGCCTTCTATTGTTTCCCATATACATTTACAATATCTGCAAGCTGCTCAGCAAATAATGGAATTACATGAAGCTAGCACTATTCATCAAGGTTTAATTCAATCACGAAACAATTCTATTCACGATATGAAAGCTATTGTGAAAACATGGCGAAATCGTCTACCTGTAATTGCAGATGATCTATCTCATTGGAGCGATGTGTTCACTTGGCGGCAACATCATTATCAAATAATTACTCAGCATCTTGAGCAGCAGTCAGATCAGACTAACACTATGCTTGGAGTACATGCTTCCGCTCAAGCAATAATATATTTTGGAAAGATAGCGAGAAAACATAACTTGACTGGAGTTTGTCAGGAAACTTTATCTCGAATATATACCATACCGTCAGTTCCGATTGTGGATTGCTTTCAGGTAAGGATAAAACCATGTTTTGATAAATTATTAATAATTTAAAGAATATATTGTACATTTGTTATAAACAACTGAAAACAAATTTAGTTCAGTTGACATACCTGGCTTTTTCAATGCGTGAGAAGTTATTCTATTTTAAAGTAAATGTTTCATCCTCGATTAATGCCCTGATAAAGCAATTAATTAATTAATTTTATGACAGCACGAATTAATCGAAATCGATATGAAAATACATCTTCACAGAATTGCAAGCTAAAACGATTCAGATTTTTACTTTTATTATTTACGTATTTATTACATATGTACATTTGACTATCCTGCAAGAAGGCTTCCGATCATTTGAGCCAACATATGTCAGGGATACATGATGTCATCTCCCGTCATCTCGTAGAACGATTTTCTCATCACTTTCTTAAGGCTGAAATCACAAATGTGATGTAGAAATTTGTATACGTGTAAGTCATTCTCTCTTCGTTTCCTTGTGAGTTTTCCTCATTCTTGTCGGACAAGCAGAACATAGCTGAGCGACATCATTGATACCAAAAGAAAACAATATTGACGTAAAAAGCGCAGCATCGCCATACAAGCCAAACACAGATAAGCTATAGCACAGATTCCGAAGAAAATCAGCTTTGAGCAAAACTTTCCCACATACATATATACATCCATACAAACATTATTAAGATTCAGTCTTTATTCCAATATAGCATAGAAAAGAAATAACAGTACAACAATAAATTCTTTTTCACAAATCAGAAAAATATTATAAGCAACACCGTATATTCAGAAGTCTTTAATAGCGCCATGCGTTGGTGATGCAGCTCCTTAGCTCTATGAAGGCCTTCGACATAATCGCGACTGCTTTGATGTTTATAGACGTCTAAGCAAAATAAAAAATGAATGTCCGAATCAGAATGTTATTAATTCCTAAATGCAGCCCTACCTCGCAAAGTTTTGTCAAGCACTTCTGCGACTACTTCAAGTTGAGAAGCGTGCATTCCAGTCAACCTGCTTCATTAGCTGCGTTTTCCGTAAAATATGGCGTGGCCTTAAATAAAATGTAAAAGTAAAGAAGCTTGCGGTGATCATCATACTTCTATCTGCTACGAAGAAAACGATAAAAAATGGCGTCAAATGGCTTTCTCCTCGAAATTAAGAACATAAAATAAAACGAATAATACGTTCAACTGCATTCTCCTTTTATTTGAAATGTTTATGTGTTAAAGCTGTCCGAAATAGTGTGAGTGTATTGGTGAACTCATCAGTCCGTTCTTGCAGGGAATTGTGATTTCAATGAATTATGCATTATACCTTAGGTATTGTATCTAGGTGAAAGCGAAAATAATTCTCACTACGAGATGTGTGATTTATTATTTGTACACAGCGATCTTGCTCAATGGAAAACCCTTACCTATAAGTATATAGGAATTGTAGAAACACATTTATAGCTTTGCAGGAATTGAGATAGGCTTATTTTTTAAATTGTTTATATTAAATAGAAGATTTTTACGAAAAAAAAAATTAACTTTATTGCGAGAATTGTGCGATTGTATCGATTGATACGAACAAATCTTGTTAAAACAGTTATCAAAATCAACTTCTTTTCGCTTTTACCCGAAAGGAAGTGTGCTATTTAATCATAACAGGTAGTCATTTGAAAATTAACCTTAATTTGGTAATTAATAGACGTTTTTAGTTCCTAATGAATAGAAGAGATCAAAGGTTCAATTTGTTTTTTGTATTACTTTTATTTAGAAAATACGTCAACAGGTGAAGTGTTATTTACAAATGGCGGCTTCTTCAGGAAAATCCGAATTAAATGAAGCGCTCGAAGTAATTGAGTCAACAAATTTAAAATATTTTACGGGAGACATGAATGCAGAATTCTACGCCTTGAAAGGTCTACTTTTGGCTCAAATCGGACGATCCGAAGAAGCAGGTAAAGCTTTCAGTGCAGCAGTCCAGCTTCATGACGGGTTAACAAAAGCATGGGCCATGTGGGGAGATTATATGGAGCAAATGTTTTTGAAAGATAGACAAATGGTTCTAGCAGTAAGTGCTATAACTTGCTATTTGCATGCTTGCCGACACCAAAATGAATGCAAGACCAGAAAATATTTAGCAAAGGTATTGTGGTTTCTGTCCTATGATAATGCGAATGGTAGTCTCATGAGTACTTTGGAAAAATATGTGGTCGGTGTCCCACCATCGTATTGGCTTCCGTGGATACCCCAACTACTTTGCTGTTTAGTACAATACGAAAGCAACGTCATTTTGAATCTTTTGAGTCATGTAAGTGTATAATATACATGAACAGAATTAATGATTGTTTTAAAAATTGTAATTATTCCGGCAGGTTGGACGCTTATATCCGCAAGCTGTTTACTTCCCAATCCGTACCCTCTATCTTACATTAAAAATAGAACAAAGGGAAAAGCACAAAACAGCTGAACAGGCTGGGTTTATTGGAAAGCTTCAAAACACGGTAGGTAAAAGTATAAGTCAAAAATTAAGTTAAATTTTGTAATTGCGGTCGCCGCTCGGCAGAGAATATCAACCCCTCCGAGTGTATTTCTGGCATGAAAAAAAGGCTTCCATAAAAAACCATCAGCCGCTCGGAGGCGGCTTAGTATAAACTGTATGTCCCTCTTTTTGTTGAAAAAACATCAAGACACAAAACCACAAAATTGGAGGAGGAACTCGGCCGAAAATCGCTTCTGCGGTTACAAAGCGACTTATATATATATATATATATATCTAACCCTGTCATCACAAAAAAGGTCGACATGTTGAGAGGCACTCTTTTTTCGGTCGATATTGCTTTTAATCCATGCTGATATTTGAATGCTTTTCAGTTCAAAAATATGCCAACTATGAGGAGTGTACTAGGTGTTTATTTTACGCTTGTTATTTCGACTTGTGCTCTTCAAAGAGGTGTATAAAAATCGGTCAGAGTCGACTAAATTTTGGAAAATCGGAACGCTTTCATCCAATCAGACTCTGCATAACAAATATGTTTTTTTTTGTTGTAGTGGACAACAATTTCGAATGATCCCTCTTTAACTGCCTATTAAGTTAAGCTATTTTAATTCATTTTTTATCTTTTTCAGGCACAAGACAACCAAAATTCGGGGCAAACACTGAATGCCCAAGCAACCTCTGGATCAACTGTCAACCCAATCAAAGCAACACCTTCCATGTGGCGCTGTTCAAAAGTGATGCATGTTCAACGGGAAATTCATCCAACAATTCTCAGTTCTTTAGAAGGAATTGTTGACCAAATGGTTTGGTTTAGAGAAAGTTGGACCGAAGAGGTTCTGAGGCAATTACGTCAGGGTTTAATTAAATGCTATGCAATTGCATTCGAAAATAGAAGCGCTGTTAATGAAGCGACTATTACGCCCCACACTCTCCACTTCGTTAAAAAGTTAGGATCTACATTTGGCATTGGTATCGAGAATATACCGGGATCAGTAGCCACCTCTACTTCAAATTCCGCAGCTTCTGAGTCCATAGCTCGGAGGGCACAAGTAACATTCCAAGACCCAGTGTTCCAAAAAATGAAGGAGCAGTTTACTAATGACTTCGATTTCTCAAAGCCCGGAGCTATGAAATTGCATAACCTAATATCTAAATTGAAAACGTGGATAAAAGCATTAGAAGCGAAAGTGAAGAAATTGCCAACATCATTTCTTATTGAAGATAAATGCAGATTCTTGTCAAATTTTAGTCAAAAGACAGCGGAAGTGGAATTACCCGGCGAACTATTACTTCCTTCATCTTCTCATTATCATATTCGCATAGCAAGATTTATGCCGCGAGTGGAAATAGTTCAAAAAAATAATACTGCAGCAAGACGCTTATACATTCGTGGAACTAATGGAAAAATTTATCCATATTTAGTAGTTATTGACACTGGGCTCGGAGATGCGCGGAGAGAAGAACGGGTACTACAGCTAATGCGAATGCTTAACTACTATTTAGAAAAACAAAAGGAAACTGCCAGACGGTTCTTAAATATGACGGTTCCGAGAGTAGTTCCCATATCACCACAAATGCGTTTGGCTGAAGACAATCCGACTAGCATTTCTTTAAAGGAAATCTATAAGAAATGCTGTATGAAGCTAAAAATAGATCACGATTTGCCAATTGTTAAGTATTATGATCGCCTTTCTGAAGTTCAGTCACGTGGAACTCAAACCACACACACAGTATTGTGTGATATATTTTGTGAAGTTCAGACCACCATGATACAAAGTACCTTATTCAAAAAGTGGGCTCTCAATAGATTTCTTTCCTCTACTGACTTCTGGCAGTTCAGAAAAATGGTAAATCAATGACCAGAAATATTATGGTTTATAAATTTTATTTATAGTTATAGATATGCAGAAACCAATGGAATAATTTGGCAAAATGAAAATTGATTCGAATTTTAATTTAAAGAACTAACACTAAAAAATTGTTGAAAGTCATTGTCTCAAAAGATGTTATTGATATACATTTTTACATAATACCACTCCTATAATTTTAAACTACGTTGATAGATGAACTAATTAAATAATTTTTACCTCCTTTTTAATTATAGCTTACACTGCAGCTAGCTCTCGCATTTTTATGTGAACATGCTCTACATTTGACAAGGTTGAATGCAGATATGATGTATATACATCAAGACTCCGGATTAATGAATGTTTCATATTACAAATTTGATATTAACGATGAAAAGGAAGAACTTGACTCAAATAGGCCCGTACCATTTAGACTTACACCAAATATAGCCGAATTCGTAACAAATATTGGAATAACTGGGCCCATGTCGGCAGCTATGGTGGCCACGGCACGGTGCTTTGTGCAACCGAATTACAAACTTTGTTCAATTTTAAAGACTATTCTCAGAGATGAAATAATTGCAGTACAAAAGAAAAGAATCAGAGATAATAAACTTGTAGAACCGATAGCGGATTCAGCCATTGATATGAATGCAATGGATAACACCATCAGCTTGGTCAATAAAGCTGTCGCTGTAATTATGTCGCGATTGAATGCCATTTCATACTTTGATAATACCGAATCTAAAAAAGTGTCTATTTTAATTCAATCGGCAATTAATCCAGATAATTTATGTCGGATGGACCCAGCATGGCACCCGTGGCTATAAATACAAATCAATTATTTTAATATTCTTATATTTAAGAACTATTTTACAATAAAATAATAGAAATGATCATTAATAAAGATGAAGGAGTGTTTTATAATTATTTTGTACGGAGCGGAGTTTCGTATTCACATAAGTTCTATATTTTTGAAGTTAAAGATGAAATCATTTCATTTTCATTTGCAATATTCTAAGCTATGGAATAAAAATTTAATAAATTATCATAAGATGTAAAATACAGCAGTTCAATATGACGAAAGTTAATGTTTAACAATGTTCATCTTTTATACGCGGTAAATCGTCTCCTATATTTTTTACACACTCACGCGGATAGTAAACGAAAATGGTTCAAGCTTTTGTAAGTAATTTATGTTTGAATTTTATAATTTTCAATGTTAGCTCAATAACTGATTTTTATAAGCCGAAGATTTTTTAAGCTAACTTATATAATGTACAGTTGGATTGTGTACTGAGGGCTGTAATTACGTCTTAACGATATATCTATATATACATATATAAACCATCAATTGTTTCTTATAATAGTATACTGCATGATAAAAAAAAAGCAAGGTATGTTATGTGTGAGTCGAGTTCAGTGAAACTATCTTCTTTATTCTATCATGGTATACTGTAATCATAATTCAATAAACATGATTATGCTACAACGTCAACAACAACAAAGAATATTTTTTCGCGATTTATTAACTATCTAACAAATGGATTTTTTGACTTTCGCTTTATTTTGTGTCGCCAATTTCTATCATATAAATTTCCAACTTTCTAAAAAAAAGCAGAGAAGTAAATCGTATTCACAAGAAAATCCAAATGTTTCTCTTTTTATTTTCACAAATTTTATATTATAATTGTATATGTACATATGTATAAGTTTATTATAAGGGACACAACTAGGATTTGTAAGTCTTACCTTAGTAGGTTTAGCCACCATCTAATAAATTTGTGTGAAATAATTTTAAAATTTCACCATTTAATGTTTAGTTCTTTATTAATTATTAATTTTGGTTTTTTAAAAATTTCGGGTATCGCGTGGATTCTGGCCACTAAAGATTTTTTATTTCCTACCTTAGTGTTCATAGTATAAAAACACATCTTTTATGTTTAGTTATATTTGGAGATCTTATAATTTTTCTTGTATATGTATATGCTGTTTAAGTATTAAAATTGAATTATCTGTAGGGCTTTATTCTTGTGTATCTTGATGAGTTAATAAAAGTCGAGTTAATAGAAATTTTTTGTCATGTCCCTCTAATACCAATTGATTCTTCAAAACCTCAACCATGTTTTTATTAGCATCAGACACCGCGTAGAAGTAATAAAGTAATAAAGTCAATACGAAAAAGCAAGGTATAACAAATCCTGGCGTTCCGAAAAAGAAAACAAAATTTTTGAAAAAAATTGGCATTCTCATAAATGAAGACAAAGGTGCATCCCAAACTGTGTTTAAACCTCTAAACGATCCACATGATTCAGAAGGTGATACTTCAGCGAATGCATAGGTTAATACAATTACGGATACAACAAAAGATATCAACAAGACAGACATGAAAAGCGAATTAGATCTTGAAGTACCATATAGTATTTTTGTAGGTTTCGAATTAACGAGACATTGAAACTTTTTAACGTAAAACATTAGAAACATAATTCCTAATACTAAACCCGGCAAAAAAGGCATATAAAAGCTTCCAATCCAACAAATCGTTTGCAAATATACAATATCCAGAGCATGTTTTGATAGTTCAAACTCTTGTTCACAAGCAAATTTGACGATATTATTATTAAAGTATATTGCCAATATAGCACGAGGGAAGTTGAAGCAAAATGTTACAAACAAATGACTAACAAAATCTGTTAAAACAAGTTTGTAAAACTGTTGACCAACAAATGTTTCCCAACAATTATATGAAGTAGATCTTGAATTTTTTTCCGAATTCGGTATTACGATATAATAAAACCGACTCAGTAAAATAAAAAGAGATGCGAGTCGAAGAAATATCATACGGATAAGACTGATTTTTATCACAAACAAGGGAGAATATTTTTCAAAATTACACAAATATTTGAAAAATACTGGCATAATAAGATTTAAGCAAACAATACATATGTAAGGTGCGAAATCAAAGAACAATTCAAAAAGTTGAAGTGAGGAGCTTCGACTAGCATTAACAGAATCAAATGGATTTTCTTCTCCATAATCAACATTACTAAATTTACCATGATCTCGTTTCAAACTGATATTAAATAGTAAATATATTACATAAGCTGAGAGTATTAATGCTATAAAAACTAAGAAATTAATTACAATTCTTATCATGATAACTTTTAACATGTAATCATTTGAACGATTATTTCTTTCTGTTTCTATTCGTTTAGAGTGAATGGAGCTTTTTAGCTCATTAAATACTGCTTTATGTTTAATTATACTGGATTTTTCATTGTGAATGCAAAAGTCCCAGCTACCAAAAGCTAAGTTACAATATTGATAAAATTGCCATCTTCCATTTATAAGACGATCTTTGAATTCACGCGCTGATGCTTTAACAATAAAAATTAAAGTTGTTGCGAAATAACCTAATACAGCAAATATATATGCAGAAGATAAATCATAATAAATCTGATAGCTGTTTTCGTTTTGAGTAGAATTATTATCATCTTCAAATGTAATACCAATTGTTTTATTAGAATAACCTCCATAAAACATCAAAGATACCTCTAGTATCCCAGTGCCTTGTACTATGTCGAGAACATCAAAAGATCCTCTATTCAAATCAAAATAAGTGTTTCGTTCATTATCCTCAGAAGGACAATTTTTCGAGCGATTTAGATTTTGCGCTAGCTTACATCTGTCCACAAAATTTTGGTATGTGAGAATATTTGGAATGATTACAAATATTATTATTATTAGGAATGTAACACAGTTAAGGTAAAAGAGCCATCGTAGAAATGTGAAATATGCAGCAACGCCACTTCCAAAATGTCCTTCAATATTTTTCAAAGACGACTGCCATAATTTAATAGCAGCATTGAATTTGGACCATTCTAATGCTATTTTTTGCCAAGCTTTGCGATGTTTCCACTTAAGTTGATTAAATCCTTGAAGTCGTAATTTCGTTGCACTCTGAAAATATGAATAACTTAACTTCCACTTGAAAGTCGGAAGAATTCGTCATACCTGCAAGTCCAATTTAAATTCTTTCTTTTGATGCATCGACAGTGGTAACTGCTTGATTTGGAACATCTCTTCCCAGATGTGCTCCTCATCATTAATAATTTGCGACAAATCTGGCAACAATGAGAATTGTCCTTCATTCTGTTGGTAGGTTCTTGGAGCAGTTGATGAAAACTGTTGCCAGCAAATTTTCTGTTTTCGGTCTTGATGGGTATAGTTTCGTTTTGTGGTACCTAAAATGTGCCAAAATAATAGATACGTTAGAGTAAAATGTAACAACTTGCTATACTTATAAAATGAACAGCAATATATCAATTTTTTAATAGTTCAATAATTTAGGTGTTAAAGCACAAATTTTTAAGTAAATTGTTATATATTTGCATGGAATTTAGTGTCTTTTCGAACATCTAAACAAACGATTAGCATGTACATTCTGACCTAGCCTGTTTTGTTTTGACGGTAGTAAAGTAGTTATCGCTATGGGGTTCTTAGCGAAACCATCCCAATCTGCACAATAGTTTTCCTGATAAAATTCGCAACCAGCTTCCTCCCAACCATTTGCTTTTTTTGTTTTCTGCTTATTTTTTGAGGCGTCGGACATTATCAGATATCCAAGATTAAGAATCGCAAAAAAACTTCTTGTTTGTATTTATTATAGATGATGCTGCCATTTAGTTTTACGAATCTACGATAAAAACGCATAACTGTCCTGCCATGAACGTTTATGAAACAAATATCGTATTTATATAAACAAGAGCGTTGCCGTGCTTGAAAAAATCCAGAATGCATTGGAAAAAAAGCACCATTCACTTAAACTAGAAACACTGACGCTCGCCTCTCCTCTGATTGCTAAAAAACATCGTTGCAAACATTCGAATGGAAACATTGTGGATGTATATTGTCAATGATAAAAAAACTGCTGATTACTGCGTTGGAGCTTAGTTGATAAGTGATGCCAAATTTAGTGCATCCTATGGTAATTAACTACTGCTGCGGTGATATTCGTGAGTGTCCCCAGTATTAGTGTGAGTTTCAAATCTCATAAATACTTACGTAGAGCGTAATATCTAAACAAAACTCAGAAATTTTCAAAACTTGTCTTCAATAGCCGCGTATTATTTAAAATAACCAATACCGCTCAGAACATAGTATGTTATAATTGCCTGCATGGACTTTGGCTACCTGACATGAAGAGAGTATTTGACATAAAACTTCGAGGTCAAATCCGTATAGATATATTCATTCTCTCTTGCGGGTTAGGAGTTTAAGAGGCGGTAGACATGCCTACGATAGTCTGGTCTTTATACAATAGCCGGATTTTTATCCGGCCAAGCAGTCAACCCCACAGTATTCCCTGTAAAAAAAAGTTCCACGCTTACAATTTTTTTTTCGAAATTCTTTGACACCAAGAATTTCATATATTTTAAATACATTACTTAAAAAATTTGGCGCATTCCATTACATTTGACGCATTAGAATTTACAAATGTACATATGTATGTATGTATTTTACAAAATTATTTTTTAATTGAATTTATGGCTTATACATCTATATATTTTCTTATTAAGTCTTCTAGTTTTCTAGAATCTTGGGCGAACTTTCTTATTCCCTCTGAAAGCTTTTCAGTCGCCATAGCATCTTCATTAAGCATCCAGCGGAAAGTCGCTTGATCTATGTTAACTAGGTCTATGTCGATTGATTTGGCGTTTTTAACTGATAACTGTTCGATAATAGGCTCATCATCATTCTCCAATTCTTTCAACAAAGCAGGACTAATTGTCAAGTAATCACAGCCAGCTAAAGCTTTTATCTCCCCAACATTTCTGAACGAAGCACCCATGACAACTGTCTTGTACCCATATTTTTTATAATAATTGTAGATTTGAGTAACCGATAGAACACCGGGATCTTTTTCTGGTTGAAAGCTTTTAGTATTAGTATTAGCAACATACCAATCTAAAATACGACCGACAAAAGGCGATATTAGAGTTACTCCCGCGTTTGCACATGCCACAGCTTGCGCAAAAGAAAATAAAAGCGTTAAGTTGCAATGAATTTCATGTTCTTCTTCCAATATTTTGGCTGCTTGAATGCCTTCCCACGTAGAAGCAATTTTTATAAGAACGCGATCTTTCTGAATTCCCATTTGCTCATATAATTTAATTAGCTTCAAGGCCTTTTCAACACTCTTTTCAGTGTCAAATGATAGTCGGGCATCAATTTCAGTTGAAACTCTTCCTGGTATAATTTTCAAAATTTCACAACCAAAAAGTACACCCAAGTAATCTATCGCTTCCTCCACTCTTTCATTTAATGCGCTAAAATTTAAGACTGTGATTTAAAATGTTTAAACTGAAGTATGTAGATATATTCAATCTTACCTTCCAATACTTGTACCATAATTTATAGCTGCTTTCAAAATGTGGTCATATTGTTCCATTTGCGCTGCAGCAAATAATAATGATGGATTTGTCGTGGCATCGGTAGGCTTGTACAATTTCATAGCTTAAAAAACATATATTATATATAATAATTCGTTTGCTATGTATTAAAAACATGTTATATATTAGTTAAAAGCTAATCCAGCACACATACAAATATTAATGAAAACCTCGTAAGGTCTATTTAATTTGCAATGGTCCAACATTAAATGTTCGCCTGATTAATGCTAGCCCTGAATGAAGATGTCCTCAATAACCTTTTCCATTTGCTGACCTTAACATTGTTCAACATGTCTGCCATTCACTTGACATTCAGTTGACTTTGCTTTAACGTTAGAGTTTGTACTGATAAGGCACTTAGAAACACGGCAAAAGCAGCTTAAAAATAAGTACCAACGTAAAAACACCATTTACCTTCAAAATCTCCAGTATCAGCTACGACAACCGTAATTTCTTTTAACTGATCCAGAGTGGATAATTTCTGTTTCTTTGTTGCTTCCATGTTAATAAATAAAAACTATTATTTCTAAGCTTCGCTTATTAATTACAATCAAAAAAGCTGTGCTCTGTATTCACTTGTTGAAATAGAAATGAAACCTACCCTGCAAGACGGAGGCAACCATTTCACAACTAATATCGTACGATTTCGCCGATTTACCACTACATCCACAAAAACCATTCGTTCCTATAAGACGGTTCCTGTAGTAAGACGAGTAACATATATCAATTTTTATTATTTAGTATGTTAGAAAGAGATTTGTGTATACACATTAATTCAAAAGTGGCTTTTGGAAATTTTACGCCATTTACTTTTTCAATTTAAGACGCTAGCAGAGTTCAAAAAGTGAAAAACCAAGAAACAAGGTAAATATGTCTACATATGTATATGCGAATGGGCATGTATTGCGCATATTGTTGCAGTTTTTCTTCTATGTAATATCAGGTTGATTGAATGCATTCAAACCGAGTAGCGGAGTTCAAACAGCGAAATAAGGTAAGTTAATAAAATCTGCATATACGTACATATGTATAAACATAAGAATAATAATGTACATAGTAAAATACTATATATGGCTTCCACATCATCGCGTCTCAACTGGTTGATCATTCTCAACAACAACACTCCTTTGGAAGAATCGTTATTTAAAGAAACCCTTCATCAGAAAACCAACGTGAGCTCTACAGGAAACATAAAAATTCGACATCTGAAAAATATGTTAGTTTGCTAGGTAATGATTACTATTTACTAAGGTTATATTTAATACATCTCTAGGTGAAAAAGTGGAGTATTTCGAGTAGGTGATCTCAGCTGTTTTTTGACCAGATAATAGTTCTTGTACTTGTAGGACTGTAACCACGACCCAAGGTGTGTAAACCGTAATGCAACATTTGGCTCTATTTTCAAAAGTGTAAATAAAAGTGCAGTGAAAATATTAATTGTGTATGTATGAGCTAGAGTGCATATCTATTTATATCCATGTGGTCCAAATAGCAATGTTGTATGAGTAATCATTTAACTTTCACTAGTTAAACTGAATTTTAAAGGAAAGTTTATTTAAACTTATTTTAGTTAAAACAAATTTATTACGGAGAAACTGTTACATTTTGTGAAAATTTTAAACTTGTTCTGCTTGTGCCAGGCATAAATAAATATGTATGTGCGTCTGCAGCAATCGACCATGAATGTGTTCTAAAAGAAAGTTTATTTAAATATCTCTTACCTCATTAAAATTTATTTTTAAAAAACTTCCTTTTTGAAAATTGTACACTATTGTAACGTATGTATCAGGCATACTTAAAAAACGTATGCGAATAACAATGTTCTTTACAAAGCTTTTAGGGCGATTATGTAAATAATATGAATTTTAAAAGAAAGTTTGGTCGAGCTTTAGTAATTAGCCGCAATTGATATTACAAGAAAACCACATGGAATTTAATATATTATAGTTTATTATTTATTTGTTGTTAAAAATTTGTAATTTAATCACATCAGTTCTTTATGAAGTATTTATTTAATTTTTGATATGCATGTACTAGGCATTCTTGGAATATTCAGTGTTTAAATCAGTCTTTCAAATGCGATTTATAAAGATTAATATCAAGCCGTAATTTTTTCAATTATCCTTCTATACCGGATATTATTTTAACCAGTTTTAGATTTAAGCATTAAAGATAAAATGCTTTTTAATAGATAAATATTAAATTGTCAATATAATACATGATAATATTTATTCGTATTGTGTTTTTGTTTATTTCAGAGACCATAGGTGTGTTTCTTCTTCTTAACTGACGGAGATCGCTTACATGATTCAAACCGAGATAACAACATTGCCGATTCAGCCAGGTTCCACTGTACCCTCCACCTGATCTTTCCAACGGAGTGGAGGTCTTCCTGCGCAGCGGCTGTATTTGTACCATTGTCTATTAGGTATTACAGTGAGTTGAACTTACAAATTTTTAAGCAGTTATTTGAAAAGAACTTTTTAACTTTGGATATGTAAATTCTTACTATTTATAATTTTAATAAACCAATAGAAACTTGAAAAGTACTATTTTTCATTTCAAAGCAAATATCAGTAAAAGGTCAATACCTTATGGGTAGCAAAAACATGTACAGATACGGTAACAAAAAATCCCAAAATTGAAGAAGGTAAAAAAAGACATTCCGGTGTGCGAGTGAGCGAAAAAGAGAATCACACGTAAGTGAAGCAAAGCGGCAAAATTCGTTTTTCCCACTGCTAGAAGAAAAGTAACAAATGGAATAACAAATGCATGAAACAGATAACAGTTCGGTTCGGTGATTATATGGGCAGTAACAATTTTTACAGAACTTATGCTGCAACTACCAATCTTACATACTTTCCGTCCATAACAACCTATTTTATGAGAGCGTCAAGTAAATGAAAAGTTGCCACCGCTTGTCGATGCCGTTACTGACATATATACTTGGTAATTGAAACGCTTTCTATATGATTTGCAATATGCTTGTTTGAATTTTATCAATTTCATTTTGGTGTTCTGTGATACTTAGAACTTTGTAAGAGAGCTTTCTTAATGGTTTCAAATATGACAGCCGGCAAGATTATAAATATTTTCATCAGATAACACTCACATTTATTTATTTTTTATTTACAAATAACAAAATATACATGCAGTGCTAAAAATTAATACTAATTGTTAGAATTACTGATTGGGCTCATCCAAATTGCAAAGTATCTTATTTACTTTACAAAACAAAAAAATATTCATTCGAAATCTAATTTGTTTAATAAGTTTGGATTTGAAGCTAATTCGTCTAAGGCTGGATCCGCATATGCCAATATATTGAAGTCGTCCCCAATTTCTGCTGTTAAAGATTTTAAGAGATCATCGTCATTTCCGTCACCCAAGCCACCTAAAATATCTCCAAATGCTCCATTTTCATCAGCATCCATTTTTTCCAGCTCAGAATCTCCACTATCGGAGGCCTTCATGTCTTTGCGACCTTTAGAAACTTGTTTATTCTCATTGCAAACAGTTTGTTGTTCTAACTGAACAGATTCTAAGGGTTGGCTAGTTTTCGATTCTTCAACCCAACCGTGCTTGTTTCCAATATTTGTGAATAAAGCAGGCTTACTTGACCTGGGTAGCAGTTCATTTGTTAAGGAATGCTGGTAAAAACTATTGGGAGAATCCATGGAAACTGGATTTGAAATCCAAGGATCTGTAGTTGTCGTTCTTAATTGTTGCTCCTTTAGAAGTAATGTTCTTAGGTGTTTGTTTTCGGCGGGATTGTCTATAGCTAATAAGAAAACAATAGAAAATTATTGCTAAAGCTTACTTAAAAATTTCATTAAGCATACTAAAAAACACTGATTTTTTACCGTTTTGTTCTTTCTGACTAGGTTGTTGTTGAGTTCTTTTTTGTAAGACATCTCCGTTATGTACAACTTCTCGTTTATCAATCGAAACCATTTCATATGCTCCGTTCAAATCATATGCATGCCCTGATATTTTATTTATAGATTAAATAGATTAGTTTTTTATTTAATAATGTTTGAACAAACCTCTATAAGTCAAGTTGTTATGTGATTCTTTAGCTTTTGCCTGATGCTGTTTCCATATACGCTCTTGTTCTTGCTCTTTAAGTGACTTTTGATTAAAACATATCCTTTCTTGATCCTATTCATTAAATAAAATAAAAATATTTTATGTGTTTTAAAAATATTGCTACGATTTTTTATTGTTAAAAGGTAATACCTGTTGCGACCTACGCATTCTGAGAGCGGATCTGTTATCTTTCGCTTGCTGTAAAAATGGAGCTTTCTTCTCATTAGAAAGAGACCTCCATCTTTTAAGAATCTGCTTACAGCGATCATTCCAGTTGGGATAAATCTGTTTTAACTCAGGATGCCGAGTATTTGCATAAAGTACTGCTGATATTGTTGCCATTTCTCCCAGATCTGTAAAGAAGTACATATTTATATAATATACACTAAGAAACATTCTTTTAAACAAGTTCACATCAATTTAATGTATTAAAAAAGGAATATTAAAAATAATCGATTTATTGGCTATGTCTACCTTCATCTCGTCTCATCTTTTCAGCAGTTTTTTGTGTGCCAGCCGAATCTGTTTGTTGTGGGGCAGATTTAATTTGTGGTTTTTGCAGTTGTTGAGAATATTGACTATGTGGAATCACCATATTATCAGAGACAGCACCATCGATTATATGTGTCGAATTGTGAATAGGAACATTAATCGGAACCATTTGTATTTGTGATGTTTGTTCTTGGCTTTCTTTCAAATCAGGTTGTTGTGAAACAAAAGGTGTATTTGTCCCATTTTCGTTATTATTACGAGTCAATAAATTGACATCCCCTATTTCCTTGGGAAGTACAATTGTCCTATAAAGATTTGTCCCAAAATGGAATATTTATGGTTTCATATTAATTATCCAACAGTTCAATCATAAATAGTTCTAATTACCTAAAATCTGCCGATTGTAGGGACTCAGAGTGAGTGCGATTTACTCCATGGTCATCCGTAGCCGCAAGGATCTTATGAAATTAACAAAAATATAGAAAGTTTTCCTTTAAAATCAATTTAGAAAAACATATGTATCTCTTACCACATTTCAAAATAAAATACAATTTTTTAAAATACACCTAATTATTATGCCTCTGCTAAACTATTAAATTATAATAAATTTACCTTTACAAAGATAACATTATGAATAGAGATTATATGAAATAAATATCGCTGAAAAAAATTTTATATAAAAATAACAATTATGGATTATTTTTTCTGTTAAACATACATACCAAAGATGTGCACCGGTGCCTGATTTCGGCATTACCAGCGTACACTTCTTTTTTATTGTATCTGTAGTAGTAACACCACCAAGAATATTGTGGTGGTTTACACAAAGGATTCAAAATGAGTGCGTGCATAAAGCAACAAGACAATCAAATTTGAATGAATTAAATTAAAACTCGAAGCAATAAATCCATTAAATAAAAAAAAACAGCAAAGAATTAATCTTGCTAAAAGCGAGTTGAGCGCTCGATTACCAACAACACACAAAATATATTTTCATTTTACGAGTTGTTGTGTGTGTGCCTTTGGAATTTTATAGTCAAAATGTTAAGCTTTTTATTGGTAATTAATGCAGAATTATCTTAAAATCTTGGCTACCATGATTGATTTTGCTGCTGTCGTAACGTTCTATTCTATAAACCTTAATATGTATCTAATAAAGTAGTTTGAAATTTAAACTAAAATAAAAATAAAAATTGTATTAAAAAAATTTGGTCACGGCACCAATGTACAATAAGTATGTTACATATCAAAGCACATATAATGGAAAAAAATAACATACTCACTTGGCCTTTACCATTAGAATTAGTAATAGATGTACATGATTCATTTGAAATATCCGCCGGGAAAGCTCCTGTCATTGGAGTATTTGAAAAACTTGAATCCCTTAATTTGTCCTCGGTTTTATTGCCAGTATTATTTGTATCAAATTGAGATGTGCTTAATTTGCTGTTACTCGAAGTTTCTTGTACTGTGATCGAGTTATACACGTTAATTTCGTTATCATTATCAATAGATATCGTTTTATTCACATTTAAAATTTTATTGCAATTTTCTTTTGTGCTGATATTGGTTTGGTCATCGTTAGTGATAGTTAAAGCCGTTGGAGTTTTGGGGGATGGATTAAGTGCTTCTTCATGAAAAATAGCTTCGTTAAGATCAACCAGCTCATCAGATATGTCAGAATCCTCACAAGCTAATTGATTTTTTACCATCGATTCTAATAGCGGTTTGCCAAAGAAGGCTTCCTGCAAATAGGCTGGATAAGATTCACTTAAACGACTTTTGACTTTTTTCCGCACAGCTTTCTTTCGTTTTTCAGGATCCATAGAGCTGCAGTTGTTCGAATTAAGTGATGATTCGTCTTTTTTTACAGTACGATTCCGCACACTAAAACCACCAATACCAATTTTTTGTAAATTTCTTTGGCGCTTTTTTCTTAATATAGCGATGCCATCATCATTTGTTGAAATAGAAAACCCTTCTGGTGGACTATTATCGGCACCCAACCATACCATTCCGTCTTTATACTGATCGATATCCTTTTTTTTCATTGATTCCGTTTCCAAAAATTCTTCTGAAGGGACATTCGAATTTGAACCAGCAACAACGGACTCAATAGCTGCAAGTATCCCCGACTCTTTATTTTGGGATTCATTGGTAGCACGCATTTTTCGTTTTTTCTTAATATCAGATGAAAGCGCCTTAATCATATTTGCTCCTCTTTCGCTCATGCTAACGCCATCTACCCAAAATGTAGCTTCTGCATCGTTATTTTGCTTACTACTACATTCTGTTAATGAAGGCATCGTTTTATTGATAAATAAAGTTTTTGAAGATAAAAACTGAGCTAAAGATTTGTCTTTGGGTCGACATAAAATGCAATGATATTCAACGTTATCACATATTTGAGCTTCTTCCTCTGTATTTATTGAGTCACAGCGACAATGAAGCCAACGTTCACAATTTTTGCACTGAATAATAAGCTCTCCATCATTGTAGCTCTTAAAACAAGCAGAGCACACCTCTCGACTCGAACATCTCCCACATTCCAATAATCCGTTATTGGTATTACGTCTCTGTTGATTTGCACCAGGGGATTGGCGACCACATTTTTGACAAGCGGCACACCACTTACATTTCCAATTTCCATGTGGCACCGTTTCTAAAGGAGGACTTACACAGTAAATGTGATATGATAAGTCACATTCGTCACAAAGAATTAGACGAGCCTCATCGTTTCTTTGGCCACAAGTTTCACATACAGTGCAATCTAGACATCTCCAACCCTTTTCTAATATCACATCTGATATTTTTGTGTTTACACAGTATGGATGATAGCATTGTCCACATTGTGCACAAGCAATGAGTTTACTTTCTATGTCAATGCCAGCAGAACCACACATTACACATAAATCTTGTGACAAAAGAAATTTATCCTTGGCAGAACATAGTAGTATTTTTCTTTCCATGGACAACCCATCATCAGACGTTTTATTTCCAGAAAGTGGTCTGTCGCCATTTGACGGTATATTTATGTGATTCAATAAAAGTTGACGTCCTTTTCCTCGAACTACATTACGCTTTCGCCCAAAATGTGTTAAAATATTATTTTTGTGTCCCATCAATTTTCCACCCCGGCCGCGAAAAAAGATTTTTTTTCGACAAATTTTAGACGAATGCGATTCTAACCCAATGAAGTCAGTCCCAGATTCTTTTTGAAAGTTTTCAAAATCAATTTCTTTAATGAAATTGTCCTCTAAACCTTGAGAAAATACGGCTCCTTCTACGGAACGAATTTGATGAAGTTGGTTAGTTGTTGCTTTTTCATTTTTTGATAATAATTTACATTGAGGACAAATGTAATCATAATCGGGATTACTTTCCTTTTTCTTATGATAAGCTATCAGGTCGGCCTCTTCGTCGCATGTACTATGTACAAACCTTTAGAAATTGATTTTTTTTAACAAATTACTGGATGCATGAAAATAAATGAGATAAATATTTACCTGTGACACAAGCTACATTTAACCATTTCTTTATGGGCCGAAGCACGATAAGCTTTATGACAAATGGGACAAGAAAAACCTTTGTTTCGTTGTTGATAGCATGAATCACAAATTGTGTAGTGACAATGCCATCGTGATGAGGTCCCGCCACCTGGAGTTCTTGAGCCACAGTCTGTGCAAACTCGGCACCGCTAACACATTTAACAAGATTTTATTTAAATACGAGTATATGTACATACATACATATGTATACAAAAAAGTACTTACATTACACTTCCACCCATATTTGGGCAAAGACGAAATTGTAGGACGTAAACATGTGTTATGGTATAATCGTTGGCATTGTTCACATTTAATGAAACGGCCTTCAGTCCCATCACCCTCTCTACATATCTGACATTTACGACAATTTGAACAATTCCAGCCGGCTCGAGTTTCTAAAAGTTGTTAAACACGTGCTTAATTATTTTCACAAGATATATTTTTATTAGGCTTTTAGTTATAATTTTTCCTTTCAAGTAGTAGCATGTTGAGTACAACTGAAACGGTCGCTGTTTTATTACTTCTTATTTTAGGTCAATTATCAAACTCAGTAGTTTAAGCGAGTGTTCTGAACTGATCGTTTATTGGATTCCTATCTAATCAATAAAATTAACTATAACTTCTTTTACAGACTCACCTGGGGTATTTATAAGACCAACGCAATTGGTGTGAAAATGTTCACCACAAGTTGAGCACATGACCATCTTCGTTATCTCAGCCATGGTAGAGCAGTTATGGCAGGTGATGTTAGCATCTGGACCTTTAAAGGATTTAATTAAAATAACATTCAAACTGAAAACTTTTCGAAATTTTCTCTGTTTTTAAGGGTATGATGTTCGCAATGTTCATTAGAGCACAATGAATATTAAAAACAGTTAAAACAATGGGACCCATATTGATTTGAATGTGCTTATTCATATAAATAAATTATAACTTTAGCCAGGAGGTTGAGGCTTGTTAATATTAATATAAAATCATAAATGCTATGTTATGTTATGTCAAAAATTTACTTACATATAACCGTAACCTGTTCAATGTGATCCACACAGAACACCGTAAAATTATCCATAATTTGAAAGCTGCCAGACGCTGCAGCACATGGTAAATGGAACACTTTTGAACAACTCATTTTACATGTAACACTAGCACCATATTGCCCACAAAATGAGCATTTTTGAGTTAGACTTTTAGCAATTATCATTTCTATGTTCGTTTTCAAATCATTAGTTTTTCCATACACCCCTTGAGACCACATTAGACACATACGATGTAAATGTATATAAGAAACATCAAAAAGAGCCTTCAATGATGTTTTCTCAAAATGTCCGATTTTGTCCAGTTCATTGAAACAGTCATTCTGTACTAGTTTTCCTTTACACATACTCTTACTACGGCGAAAAGCAACATGATCTGCAGAATTGTTCCTTAAGCTTTCATCAAATTTGACTGTATTTTCGTCATAAAATTGCAGAGCCTTTTCACAATTATCGGGATCAACTTCCCATTTTAAAAAATCCCCCTGTCCCAAAGAAGTTTTTTCGTCTAGATTGCATAAGCAGCATATTTTTTCGGGACAATTATATATATTTGAAATATCATCAAAAGCGTTTTGGGCCTTCTCATCAGGATATGCAATATTGGAGCTTTCAGAAGGCGACAATAGTGCTGGTATTCCAACGCGGTCACTGCACTGATTTTGTTCTCCCGGAGACTTCCGCTTTAGTATACCTTTACATTGGGGTATATCCTTCCGTGGTCGTCCTGGACCTCGTTTAGATATATTTTTACTGTCTGCTACTGACAAAAGAGGGTCACCATTTTCCGAAGAACCTTGGACATATAAGTCCAAGTGAAACATGTTCTCATCATTACCAGTAGCGGGAGATGATCTGTTAGAATTCGGTGTTGAAGGTGCAGCTGTAGGAGATATATGCTTTTTATTAAAAATATATTTAAAAAGGTGCGTTAGCGCAATGCAATAATGACACGAATATAACCAGACTATTACTATTTTTTCAAATTATTTCTATATATGTTTGTGATCGCTTATTAAGTGTATTTTGATTGTTAAGATATAACTTAAAAACAGAACGCAAGTTGTTTCTGGTTTTCCACTGATATACATTTTTGTAGATTTATTTGTAAAAGAAATTCGATGGAAGATTAAACATTACCAGATGAAACATTATGCAATGCATCCACATCGTTTTCCTCGCACTCTGAAACCACATCCATTCTTAATTTAAAAAAAAAAATCTATACTTATCTACACCGCAACTTTTCTAAATTAATATACAAGAGATACAATTTATTCAATAGTTAAGCGGGACGCTTTGGAAAAGAAACTATACTGCCATATTTCACATCAAAACTTTTTTGTAATGTATTAACAGGGTGATAGAAAGATATTTGATAAACGTTTACTAAAAAATATTTATTTTTGAATATTCTATATATAATGACTTTTGAGCTTATCTGTGTTATTTGAAACTTTAAAGAATATTATAATCTATTAAGTTATGTCGAAATAATTAAAAAGTTAGTTTCAAATATTGTTACTTTCCTAAGGGAATTTATATTATAGTGTACACCCTCATTAATATTTCCAAAATACATTTACCATATAAGGCGAGATAAATTTGAACTTGTGGAATTTGTGGCTCGTTTTTCAATGATTATAACAATTTTAATAAAATAACCAAGTTTTGTAAGAGCAAGTTTTAACATAATTGAATGTGTACTTATTTGCATATTTTCACCATTTTGAACTGCTAAGAAAAGGGTAGGCTACTCTTCGAGCTATATTTTCAAGCTACTGGACTTTACCATATAAGGCAAGAAATCGTATTTAATCTGTTGGCGACTTTTGTTCATGAACACTCGTTATTCAGTATACTACATTCTTAAACATGACATATAACAAAAACTTTACGTCCGTTATGAAATCCCCTCACCAAATAATTTATATTGAATATTAGTTTAATGAATATTGATAGAAACGTAATAAAACATATTTAGTGACGCTTTGCATGTTAGACGCATATGGAATTCTTTTAACCTTTTAGGATCAGTAATGGTTAAATCCCCTTTTTAAGCTTAACAAAACCATATTTTTTTCTTATTTTTTTATTTCTACTGAAGATACAAAAAAGTAGAACACTGTATATTTATTGACGATCTGTGGCGCGCAATTTTTCTTCAACTGCTTCCCTGGAAGCTTCAGAGAGGTCAGTGGCCTGAATATATTTTTGTACACCCACCAAAGATTTTTTAAGCGCATCAAATGAACTTGAGTACAACATCTTCTTCTTTACCTATAAAATAAAATAACTTAATATTTTTTTCTACTGAATTCGTAATATCACCTTAGCAGTATCCGGGCACCAAGACATCAAGAAAAGCTTCTGCTTCTTTGAGCTCTCGGATGTTCCTTGACATTGATGCATATATTCAAAATCAAACAAACCATAGCTGAAAAGTAGAAAAAATTAATTGTAAGGAACTATATTAAATAAACAAAATATAAAAAAGATGTTTCAACTTACCGGCACTCCCCGGGGCCGCATTTTTGAATATCTTCCAGAAATTGGTCGTACTCGGCATTTCGGTCGCCAACTGTTTCAACATCAATTTGTTTCTCGTCTCGTATATAAAAAATTACATATCGATGTTTTTTATCCTTTTTAATTTCTTCGTATGTGGTTTTGCAAACATCTGACACAGTAACACCAGAAGCCTAAAATTTAAATATATGAAATAACATTAAAGATTGTTAGTAAATGTATATATGCTCGCAAATATACATAAGAATATGTATGTACAAATGAACAGAGAAAGCGGTAATGAACTCAACAGCCACCGTGCGCAAACCAACCGAAATTTACATACATACATACATAAAAATATACCTCTACGAATATGTAGCTCTGATTAATTATGAGGTATTAATCGTTTTAATTTTATTTAAATATAAAAATTTGATGCGGTCATCCAAATACTAATTTAAATGTATATATATATATGCAATTATTTACTCATTAGTATATCTTTTCTCTGGAGGAAACTGTACCCAAGTCTTTTCAACTATCCACAGCGATTGATTTTTGAATATCTTAAGAATAAAAACATTGTCTTACACATAAAAATAGAAAAGTATAAAAATATACTGGTATATGCCCACATACACTTACAAAAGTGTTTTTATAATTTTTTTTTTTTGGATTTAGAAGCACATTTTCTCTCAAATATTTTAGGAAAATTAATTATAAAATAATACTTTTGAGAACATTTGAAGAAATTGTGACCTCCCACCAAGGTCGGGAAAATTTCCTTACCATTATACATACTATTCCGACATAGCTTTGAACCACATGGTGAAAAAATGTTCCGAATGCTAAATATTCATAATGTTCTATTTAATGTATTTGTTGGTAACACTAAATCTATTTTTTTTTTAAATTAATCATATTTTAGTATATGTATATGCATTTTCCTATTTTTCTACACAATAAAGCTAACGCATTGACGAATGATTCATAACTCATACTATTACTCTTTCGCGGCCTCTTATAATTTCGCCTTACGATAACAGAATTCTGAACAATTTTTTGTGGTAAATATGAAATACGTATATATACCGAAAATACATGGCAGTTGGAAATTACTCATACTTTTTAATACCTATACAAGTCAATAAGTTTTTGATTATACATATATGGCAAATGCGATTTTGCAAGAATGGAAAGTTTCCTTTTTCCGGCTTTTGCGTTACCCGAAAAGCAAGCATATTAACAAAATTTTCACTGAAGATATTAAATTTCATATTTCGTATAAAGCTTACGTTTTTTATTTATAGCTGAATAATATTATTCTAAAAAGTGGTTTTAGTTTTTAATGTAAAATAAATTAACCAGACATACCATTTTCTTAAGTTATATGCACGGAAATTATGAAAAACGTTTGATATAATTGCACCAACTGCTTTCAGAACGTACAAATGTACACACGAATACCAAATGGGTATATGTGCATGAGTTATCCAAAATACATGATTACCATGTTCTTTGCAAAAAGGGTGTTTCCATTCCAATTTCCTCCGTTTCAAATTGATGTCTATCGTTAGTCATAATCGATAGGTGTACGCACAGCAAGAGCACAAATAGTATTATATATTATATAACATGGCGCTTTCACTGTGTTGAGACTTAACATTCAGTCGCAAGACAAGAATGTGTTTTAGTTCTTAGAAATGCAGTCTGTTTGGAGAGAGTTCAATACTAAACGAAATGCAATTGAGCGTGAAATGAATTTTTTTTTAATTTATGCACAGGGCTTATATTTAAGAATGTCTTCTTAAGGTAAATTTACACACGGAAGTAGCACTACTACAAAAACAAAATTTACATGTAATTTGTTTGTGTAATCGAGCGTTCAAAAAGTTAAAACCTATTTCGCATGTACTTTGTTTGCGTAATTTGGTGAAATAGAAGGAAGAACAAGAAATCATATTGTTACGATTTTACTAAATCAACCTCGATTATTTTCTAGATCCTTCGGGTACGATCTCTGGATTGTTAAATAAAAACTCGCCAACTTAATTTGCAGTTTCTTTCGTTATAAATATTCTATCTAATGTCCTTTATTTTCTCCGTAATTCACAATTCAATTATACTGCACTTTACTATTTATAATCACTAACATCAACTTTCACAATTTACTCTACTTAAATGTAATTCTTCACTGATGTTAACGCCAACCAGTTCGCTTTGTCACTAACTTGACTTGCAGCTGAGTGTCGCCTTTATATAGCAGTCGGCTGCTCGCAGACGAAAGCGTAGAAGCATCGAATTATTCGCTATGGAAGGTTCTTGTTTTATCGTTTCTAGAATTTACTAGTTATCGGCTTCTCTCTTTCATCTGACATTCGCCTCGCATTTTCGCAACAATATGAAGTGGCAACTTCTTCTATAAATTCGCCTTTGTCTCCGTCAAATTAAGTCTAGTAATATTTCGATTGACATGATAATTGTTGTACTGACCTAAACAAAACCTGCATCAAAGACAGTTTCAAGAAATTTGATTTTTCGGGTTGACTTTACTGTATAGACTGGTTTTTTTTCGCGCGGTGTTGGTCCGATCCAGGGTTATAATCTAAAGCGCGGCAAAGCGAAGAATTTCTGCATATTTTTTGTTAATATTTAGATTATTTAGATTGGCAGGTAGGCGTTGCCAAATTTTTGTAGCGTGTAGTAAAAACCAAACTGACTAGCTACATATATACGAAAAGTGTAACTTTAAATGTTAATAACTTTTAAACTATATATTTTCGTACAAAGTATTTTATATTTGTGATAACTCTAGACCTCCTACTACCAACAGTGATCATTTTATGAAGAAAAACCACAGGCTCTATGTTAAAGTTTCCCTCATAGTACGACTAATAATTATGTGACCCCTCTAACGGAATTTATAGACGAGCGCTGTAAATACGGAAAGATCCCAAATGGAGATGTTCGAGTAGCAATTGCACGCTTAGGTTCGATTTCACAATGTCCGACTAGCTTAACCTTTAACCGGAGGATAGCTAACCGTCAGATAGACTGATGTGACATTCTCGTTTTCACCAAGTTCCGGTTACTTACCTTCTGGTTAGTTTGATCATTGTGAATATTTTAAGGTAAATTCACAAATTCACCATGTGGACACATCAAAACTGCATGACAGCTGGTATTTACTTACATTTTTCCACTCGATATTGTTGACATCATGCAGTTGCTGGCAAACTATAACCACTACCACCCAATAAAAAGGACAGAACAGACAGCTATTATTAAAAATAATGGTGTCATGTCCAGAACCACTTCACCTGCATACAAAGTCCATTACTTCCATTTAAAAGTACCCTTTTCTGCTTCGATAACTTTCGGCATTTCCTCTCCAGGTGATTGGATACTGACATGAGTGCAATCTAAACACCCCAACACCTTTGGAAATGTGCGCATTGTGCTCTCAATTTCAATGCGCTTTTCGGTATTCTGAGGAATGATCGGACGAGTTCCGCGGTATCAATGGATACTATTTACCACCCGACTGACAGTTGCTACTTTTATTGCGCCCAACATCGTAACATAAATTAAAACACCTCCCGATGCATAAAAACGTAATGTTAAAAAACAAAATTTCCGCTGCTTTACTCCTGCAAAATCAAATAAATTATCAGCAAAGAATTTTGGAACCTTACCTTTGTTGCTTTCTCTTGAATGCGGCAACCAATAGTTTCGTTTGCAGCTGTACGCGGGGAGCTTGAAATGCCGTTCCACAGATCCATTATACCGAGTTGCTGATGAGTGCTCTCATGCAAGTCAAGTAGAAAATCGTTTCGATGTCTGCTGTGATAAGCTTTCTTTGTGTTTGTTGACGGGAGTTTTTTGCTGCGCAAAGGCGGCTGTGTATCCCTTCTGCTACAAGATAGTGGTCCGAGTATATGTTGGGTTCTCGGAGCGTATGCACGGCAAGAACACTGAAGGCATAATTACAACATGATCGATCTGCTTTTTAGTTTTCTGATGTGGGTAGAGACAAGTAGTATGTAACACGCTTAAATCACACAGCTTTGAAGGTCTGAGTGGATCTTTACTTTGCGTTGACAGATTGAATTCTGATATATAGCTCTTTGATATTAATCGTCCCTATCTTGATGAATTTTGTCGTTAATATTTTACTCAGAACTAATAATCAGTATTTTCCGTCTTTTATTATTTAAGAAGCTGATTCATAAAGAAAAGTACCATGGAAATATGATACGTACATACGAATATCAATTGAACGACAGCTCTCCGTCACTAGACTAAGGCTGCAACTACCCATTTCACTTACCAGCCGTCCATAACTGGCGACGCCAAGGCGAGATACATACACGAGTTATCGACGCTGTTGAGAGCGGCGAAATGTTGCCAGCTGCCAGTGTGTTTGTACACTTTTGAACAAATTCATAACTTTCGTCAACGAATTTCATAATTTATATGCTTGAATATAAACGCAAGACAAATGTACAGGATCATTTCTTTTGAAAAAAACTACGCATTATCTTCGATTATTTAATGTTACTTTAAGAAAGGGTATACTGGCACCCTTGTATAGCAACGAAAAATGAGCCGAGCCGGTTTTACGGAAAAAATCAAATCTTCGTTGGTTTTTGCGGAACAACCGTCACTAACGGCATGGGCAAGCGGTGACAACTTTGTGTTTACATGGCGCTCTCATAAGATAGGTTACTATGGATGGTTGGTACGTGAGTTGGGTAGTTGCAGCATCATTCTAGTATAATAACTGAAGCCATAAACTAGTTTACTTTTAACTAGCTATTACTTTTTTGATGACACAAATATCTAGGCTCATCCTCTGTAAATGTGGCAAATATTCATTCAATAACGTCAATGGTTGTCAGTTCTTCTATAAACCTTGGAGGTTTCGCTAGTTGAGGAAATTGTAAGCTCGCAGATGGTTTAAAACATGCAATGTTTCGAAAAAGAAATAGTTTATTTTTAGCAATATTATTTATAATATACATATATCGAAATAATTTGGAGTTACTCTGTCTTCGTAAATTTGATTGCAGAATTGATGACACTTCGTTAACATATAATTTCAATTTTATCTTCCGAGGTGCGAATGATATGAGGAACAATTTTAAATATATCAGGTTGCATATAGGATGGTAGCCATTTTTCGCAAAATAACTTAATATGTCCTATATCTGAACTACAATGAGCTTCAAGAACGCACAGGACACAAATTTTATCGTTCCATAATGAATGTGGCACACTTATTACTGCAGCGTCCTTTATATTTGGATGTGTTTGTAATAAAGCTTCGATTTCGTCACTAGAGATAAGGCGACCGGACTTTTTAACAATACCTCTGTCTATTCGCCCTAACAATCTAAAACCGCAATCTTTAAATTCAGCAGCAATTCCTGTTTTAAAGAAGCCTTTTTCAAAACAAGATGTGGTATCCTCTTGATGGATATATTTTTTAAAAATACTTGTGCCAGACACTTGCAACTCGCCAATCAAAGTTCGTAATTTAGTATTGTGCAGCACAGCTTGTGACCTATTATTTTCCGTATGTTTTTCAAAATCTCTTGCGGTAGCTGATAATATGGTTTCACCTTTAGTATTTACAATACGAATTGTTATTTGCGGTAATGGTTGAGCAAAAGAACTTTGCATACGATGTCTTCCTTTAACTTCTAAATGTGGATTACTCATGATATGTCCAGTTTCAGGTGTTTCATAATACCGAATAAGCTCATGCCCCGTAATTTTATTCCAATAATAAAACGTATTAATTGGCAAAGGCAGTGGTCCAGACACCATTATACGATAATTACGTTTGCAATAGTTTTTAATATATTCACTCATTCGGGGATTCTTAGAAAACAATTGTTTATATGCATGAATAATTTTACAAAATGTTGAAGGTACCGCAGTCAAGCTATTGGGCCGGTCCTTATTATGAAAATGTTTACCAAGAATTATATTCCATATTTGAAGATAATCATTACCCCAATAAAAATGAATTTTGGCACCAACACTTAAGAAACACATTAAAGAGTGAACACTGTAGTTAGTATATTCTGCTGGCAACAGATTAAGTAAAAAGTCAGATGATTTGTAATTCCACGCTCCTAAAATTATTTTAATTCGAGATTGCAAATTTTTATGTGTTATTATACATCCTTTTGGGTTTCTTTTTTCATCACTACTATATACCAACATTGCTGCGGAGCAAGAATAAAAATCATTATTTAAAGTGCCTTCAATAAAAACTTTATCGCCCACTGTAAACAGCATTTTTTCCAAGAAGTGGTCCGCGTTACAATGGTTCGGTATAAATGTTTGATCGATTATGATTAGAGGTATATCAAACATATCAGCAAGCTTTTTGGCAATAATTTCATTCAACTCCGTACCAATTATAATTTTTGCGTTGGAGTCGCGAATAATATATTTAAGTTTTTCTATGGGAAGTTTGCTTACAAGGGGCATAAATACTTGTCCTGACATCCAACATCCCCATTGCGTTAACGGCAACAAGACGTCACTTTCACAAAAAACTGCTACGTTGCAAGATGCACCACTGCCTTTAAAGAAAATAAATTGCTTATAATTTAAAATTGTGGATCCTATAATTGAGAGACCAAAACGAAACGCAACGAAATAACTATACCTAGTGGGATGAATATCAAATTAATAATACGAATGCCTGCAAATAGGATGAGTACTTGAAAACTTGAAAATGCTTTCTTGCCTTCATTTTGAATGAATTTTGGTTTGTTGACAAGTTTGTTTTTACTGATCAAATTTTCCCAGCAACGTCAAAATTTCGCTCTCTCGATGCTAATTTTTACCGAATTTTTGGCTAAACGAACACAATTTTTGTCCTACTTGCTGGCTAATTTTTATTGCATTGTATTTTTAAGTAAAGTGTCTTATTCTCTCAATTTCGTAAAACAAAGTGCCTTGAAAGAAGAAGGTTTCAGGGTTAGAAACGAATTCAACATTCAAAATAAGGCTAACATACCTCGGTGAATGTTTAGGGTTGATAATGAGTCAGATTTCCAGCTCTTAAAAAAGGGAGAAGTTTATCCCATTTACAAACTTCGGTACCTTCTTCACCGTCATATTACCGTGGAAGAACCACATAAGCGAACATAATTGTCAAGAATTTGGACATATGAAGCCGTATTGCGCTTTAAAAAAGTATATGTGCCATTCCCACATTTCAAAAGACTGCATGAAATCTAAAACAACCCCTGATTCTAAAAAATGTAGCAATTGCGGTGAAAATCACACCGCCAATTATAGGGGATGTCCAATATATATTTCTCTAAAAGGCAACGGCAGTAGAAAGGCTTCTAGCAACATTCATGCCTCTCAGTCCCCCACTCAGCTTCAAGCAAAAGCTGCCGAAACTAAGCCTACCAATGGCAACTTTGTATGCCACACCCAATCTTTAAATGATGTACCTCAGCTCCCTACGCAAGAAACGTCCACTCCGTCCGTTCCGTCTGTTTACTCGCAAGAACATATGACATCAATGCAAAGTTTGATGCAAGATTTAATTCGAAATCAAAATCTTTTTCAAGTGATTTTGTCTAAGCCATGAACGACCTTAAGATATATTATTCGAACGCCAACGGCTTGGTCCAACACGAAAATGAACTTCAACTCTTCTTAGAAAAAGCAATAGATATAATTCCAATCTCCGATACTCAGTTGACCAAATTTAACAACTTCAACATTGATACATTTTTGTTTTATGACACCAAACACCCCGAAGGAAAAGTGCGCGGTGGAACTGGAATACTTATCAGGCAAAAAATTAAACATTATGTAATGGAAGTGTACTGTAAAGGCTACCTTCACGCTACCTCAGTTCATATATGTATATGATAATTCTGGTGGAATAAACATTTCCGCCATTTATTGTCCGTCCCGATACAACATATCAGAAACTCAATTTACTGATTTCTTTTCTAAACTACGCGTAGGTAAACGGTTTCTAGTAGCATGTGAATACAACTCAAAACATTACTTCTGTGGATCTAGGCTAATATCTCCAAAGTGTAGAAAATTATATAAAGCCATTCAAAATAACGGTTCGACGTTATATTGTATCTACCGGTCAGCCAACATACTGGACAACTGATCTCAGCAAAACCCCAGATTTGATTGACTTTGGAGCAACTTGTGGTATCAGTAGGGCACAAGTAAGCGTAAAACCCCTTTTCCATTTATCATCTGAACACTCACATTTTCTATGTTCCATTAGCATAATTTAAGTTTTCAATGACTTACAGTTAGGCTTAACCAATAAATTTACAAATTGGCTTAAATACAGAAATCTAAAATCGCTCATTCCTCTAAAATCAATAGTAGATGTCAACAATGCTTGATGGCTTTACAACATTATTACATTTTCTAGCAAAAATTCCAACGCACGGCCCATCTAACACACATAGAAGACAAATTTGCAACGATCTTTAGGGTAAAGACATTACAAGTCTGGTAACCAAAAAAAGACAACTTAGGAAATATTGCAGACGTTTCGTTCTCCGACCTTAAAAATGAGCTAAATATATCCATAAAAAAGCTTCAGGATGTCCTGAAACAAAAAATAAAGGAAAACTAATTTCAAAAGTCCGTACCAACCCTTCAGCTACTTCTCATACTAACTACTCTTTGTGGCAAAAAGTTAAGAGTTTTAAAAGTCCCGTCATTGTGACCCTCCATTGAGAACTCACAATGGTGATTGGGCTCGAAGTGACCAGGAAAAGGGTATCACATTTGCCATGCATCTTTCCACTATATTTACACCAAATATTGGATACAAATCTCTTCCACAATTTCATGCAGATCCAGATGAAAATATTTTTCAATTTATTTTTAAATTATTTAAAGATTTTATTTCTAACGACATAAATAAAAGACGGCTCCTGGATACGACAGGATAACGGGTGATATGATAAAAGAGCTTCCAAATGGGGCAATTAAACACATGCTTTGTATATTTAAAAGTATATTGAGACTACGCTATTTTCCTAAATCCCGGAAGCTTTCGGAGATTATTATGATCCCTAAACCAAACCAGGGCCCGTCTTATATTTAATTTATACGAACGATCTTCCCACATACCGAAACCTCATCACATCAACTTTTGCGAATGATACAGCAATACTTAGTGTCCATTCAAACCCCATGACAGCCAGTTACATATTACAAGAACATTTTAAAGTAATAGAAGAGTGGCAAACAACTTGGAGAATTAAAGTCAATGAGTTTAAGTGTATACAAGTAGCATTTGCCCTAAAAAATTCGTTACCTACCTGGGAGTTACATTAGGTAAAATAGTCACCTGAAAAAACCACATAGACAAAAAGTTTACTCAAACCAAATTAAAAATCGCGAACTTGCACTGGATTGTGGGCTCTAAGTTCAAACTAAGTCTAGAAAACAAAGTTTTACTTTTTAATGTGCTTATAAAGCCATCTTGGACGTACGGGATCCAGATTTGGGACTTAGTATCTAAATCTAGCCTAAATAGAATTCGAAGACTGCAGTCTAAAACTTTAAGATCAACTTGAAAAGCCCCTTGGCATGTAAAAACTCCACAATTCACAACGATCTCGGAATTAAAACTGTCAGCGAGGAAGTAGAGAAACTACTCAAAAATTACTCATTAAGGTTATCTAACCACCCAAACTTTCTAGCTAAAAAATTATTACAGCAGAACTACCCCAAGCGATTAAAGACAGAGGATTTACGTTTGAACTGTGACTAAGGGCTCTGCCGCATCCAATTTTTCAAAAACGGCATTGCGCTCCGTATATATCCTTCATGATATTATAATTTACTTCAAATTACCCTTATGATATATCTTTTGTTAAATTTTAAACATGAGTGTTTGGTATCCCTAATGATATCTATATACACACATTCTTTGATAAATCTAAGTTATTTATTGTACTTTGCTTCCTTTGTTAATCTATACAGTGGTAATGATTAACTTGTTCTAGGCATAAGAATTAGCTTTAAGATTTTCGAAATTATTATTAGTTTTAAAAAAGGAAAGATTCAATAAAACATTATACAAAAAAAGTCGTTACTTGCTGCTTTTTACTGACATTTTTCAACGAACGTCAATAGCTTGAAAACAACAAATTGTCAACAACAACGAAATGTCTAAATTACGCTTTCTTTGCAATTGCTAATACGTTTCGTTATGGAACTGCTCAATTTTTATTCTAGTAATGTATAATATTAATACAATACAATACATATTTATGTATATGTCTATAAGTCTGAGTTTACATAAGGATACTTTTTGTCGCTTATTAATTTCCCTTTCGGTGTCCGGTTCTATTTTCTTGATATTTGTTTCTTTTTCATTCGTTCTTCGTTTCAAAAATAAAAGCACTATGTGTGTAAAGGAAGACACATCTTTTATATATCAATTTATATATATATTTTTACATACGATTAAACTTGAACTCTACGCTTTCAAAAATGTAATCTAATTACAAACATTTACATATCTCTTCCTTTCCACTATCATCAATGCCAATCTCGACGGCTTCTACAATACATTCTAATATTTCTTGCATTAATTAAACTTTATATGCAAACTCCATCATCATACATATGCAGAGGTATATATAAGATGTTTGCATGCACATTCATATATGTAAATATTGTAGTAAAAAAAAGCAAATTTACTTCATTTATTCGCATACACATACGAATAGAAAAACAATACATGTCGAACGAGCACAGCGACAAGGGGCGCTGTTGGCTTCGTCGTCGCTCCTTCCCTACAAACGAGTGTTTCGTCGACAAAAAGTATCCACGTGTAAGCTCGGACAAAGTAATACTTACCACAAATGTTCGATATCTGAATAGATAATCTTTTCGACCCTAAATAAAGTTGCTGATAAGTATATTCTGTAACGGAATTTTGAATCGCAACTTGATTGTGATGAAATAACGCCTCTTTAAAAATTGGTACAACATCACCATTTCGTTCCTCATTCTTGAAATGCACCCGCAACTTTTTAAGTTCATTAAATGTCTGCAAAATTAATTATTTTCAAATAAACAATATATACATATGTATGTATGTTTAACAGAAGTGAGAACTAGACGAGTTCATGTGAAGCTCTCCTTACATTGATCGATTTTTGTCGAAAGGAACATAGATTGGAAAATCAACTAAGCAAAGCCAGTAGCAAAATACCATGATAAGAGTAATAGCGCGAGAGTTCACAAGTAATCTATCAATTAATTGGAGGTGGCTTAGAATAAACTTTGGGAGCCTCTATGGAGTATATTAAAGCTTTTGGGAACAGTCGTGAGAGACTATACTTAGTTCATACCCTCCCTACCTCATATACGATTCGCTTCAAATATTTGAAAATGTTATCGTTAAAGTAGTTATAAAATAAAATTTTACTTCGTTTTTACTCGAAATGAAATGTTGCCGTTAATGTTAAAACAGTAACTGATAGTCGGCCTTATGCTGAATATTGTTTACGTCTTCGCTGACGATCGTCAACGTTCATCCCATCGTTTTTGTGTAGTTGTGCTACGCGAAGTTTCGACAATTGGCACATTATCCACTGATGGAACATCTACTCGAGAAGATTCCTCGTTTAGCACTTCAGGAACTCTCTCTAAATCTGTTATCGTATTGTTGCTGCTGAACTCGCGTTCGTTTTCCATGTTTTAAAAATATCTTGTACCATCCGTCGGCGGGCAGGAGATCCTACCGCATTAATTTTTGTGGCAACAACTTTCCCCTCCTCTTTTAAGTTGTATAGGGTAACTTTTTTTTGGAAACCCCTAGTCAAACGTGGCTTATTTTCCAATTCTGTTACTAGAATCTCAAATTGAGCGCTTGTCGTTAGCTGCTTTAGTTTCTGCATCCTCTGTTACGTTGATGGATCGTCAATAATTGTTAACCGCAACAGCGTCGTCTGACGATGCCATTGACGATGGCGTTGAACGGAATACCAATGTTAACGTGTCGCCATTTTCACTGACGAAAACGATATTGAGCATAAGACCAACGGTTTTTATGAGGAGCTTTATTCTATGATTTTATCCGGAGGGGTTGAAATTCCCTGCCGAGGGGCGACCGCAATTAGAAAATTTAAATGAACTTTTTATTTTGAATAAATTTTCTATATTTGAACCCGGGCCTTCCGAATGGCAAAACGCAATGCTAACCACTCGGTTACCGATCCGCCCTAATGTCATATGCATACATAAAAAAAATTTAAGCTTTGAAAATAATATTTATTAATATTAAATGTTTTCATTCGTTTATAAATATTTTTCTTAACTACATACTTCAATGCGGAATAAAAACACAAATCACTTCGAATGATAGTTACTTAAATGCACATTTGCTTCTTGTTCTTTAGCGATTCTTTCGACAGCCGGTCCTACCTACGAGATTTGACCCAGATTTTATCTGGCCAAGGGCTGGCACCAAGTACGTCAATGGAGCAGGTTCTTACAAATCCTTTTAATCAGGGTAGATAACGAACCCAACTTTGGTCAGAAAGTTTACTCCTGCGTGTGCCAAAGACGATTTCACCATTTAAGCATAAAACCAATAGAAGTAGGTCAGTAAAGTGGTCTCGTGCTGCCAGACCTCAAGCACGCCACTAACCTCTACGGCTGTGCCTTCAGCATCGTCACGTATAAGGTGTTCTCTCGGTGCTCTTTTTTAACTTTAACATTTCCAAGCTCTGTTCACCATCAAAGAGCATTTCTTCGAGCTGCCACGAAAAACACGAATAATATTCTGTATATCCTTTAATTCAGACGTGGCTCGACACGAACCACCTCTTTTCATCAAAAACAACAGCAGCAGCCAAATAATAACCTCGTTTAGCCCACAATAATCTGTATATCAAAATGTGACAGACTTGATATATAATTTATTCCGGGACAATACAATACAATTAATCTGCGTCTAAAGTGATAAATTCCATGAATTAATTTAATCAAATATATGCAGTGACTTTTTGGATTGAATGAAAACCTCTACTGAAAAAATTGTTTAACAGTTGTAAATAAGAAATAATAAATATTGAATACATTACTAATTGCTGTTAACTTCTTTCGTTTGAACAAGGATTTAAGTAAAACGTATTATTTTCAATTTATAACTCTACCTTTGGATTTAAAACCTTTTGTGGCACAATTGTTCGTTTAAATATGTGTTTTAACGCGATAACTCGTTTTGGCGCAACACAAATGGAATTTATATAAAATTGCTTTACTACAAACATATTTAAAGTATTGAGTTCAATTTTAGAATATATTTTTGTTCATTTGATGTGGTTTCATTTTTTTATATGGGACTAAACAGGGTGTTGTTAAAACAAATATATTTGAATATATGGTGATGACTTATGAAAGGCATCTACAACATACGTTTCAGGCGTTTAGACGATTAAAGCAGATCAATCCGATTGCAGATGAATCCATGCAGCTCTACGCGAATGGCATCATAAACAACGCTGGTGCCGGCACAACAGTAAAAGTTGGTCATCTCTCATCTTTTGCTTTTGATAAAAAGTGTTTATTGTATCGTAGCATTGGCGTCTTTCGGGGCAATGTTGGAAATGTCACACAACGCAACAAAGTCCTATTTGCCCTTAGCTAAATAGTTCTCGTTGCGTTTTCGCAACTGTAATATACATATATAATTATACCGTAAAAAAAGGTAAAAATGGTTAAAACGAGGTGAGGCAAAATGTTGACGGCCATTTCAATTTTTTACGCTTCATCAAATCTCTGTATGGTATTTAAAGATTGAAAATAATGGTATACGCGAGGAGTGCAAATCCCTGCATAACTTTGGGCGCTAGCTAATTACTTCCTGTTATTTGAATTTATGTTTTCTGTCATATATGTATGAATGATTTCTTGCATATATGCACGAATGCAACTCTCAAATGATATGTGATGTGATACGGCTAAGGCTGCAACTACCCAACGAGCGTACCAGCCGTCCATAGTAACCTATCTTATGAGAGCGCCATGTAAACACAAAGTTGTCACCGATTTCCCATAGCGTTGCTGACGTTTGTGTCGCAGAAACCAACGAAGTTTTGATTTTTCCGTAAAACCGGCTCGGCTCATTTTTCGTTGCTATACAAGGTTGCCAGTATGGCCTTTCTTAAAGTAACATTAAATAATCGAAGATAATGCGTAGTTTTGTTCAAAAGAAATGAAAAATAAATGTGTAACTAATTATTGTTACCATATAGATCATGTATATTTGCCTTGTGTTTATGTTAAAGCAAATAAATTATGAAATTCGTTGACGAAAATTATGAATTTGTTCAAAAGTGTGCAAACACACAGGCAGCTGGCAACCTTTCTCCGCTCTCAGCGGCGTCGATAACTCGTGTATGTATTTCACTACTAACGTCGTCAGTTATGGACGGCTGGAGAGTGAGTTGGGTAGTTGCAGCCTATGGACGGCTGGTACGCTCGTTGGGTAGTTGCAGCCTAATGCTGCAACAATCCACCTTACATACCGCACAGCCATAACACCCGACTGTGGTAGAATACACAAACATTAGTACTTTATGCGGGACAACCGTCAGAAACGGCATCGATAGTTGCATCCTGGGCAGTTGCAACATAAAGTGTTCATTGGAAGGGAATTGCGTGTTTTTACTTCAATATTGTTTTATTTATTTGTTTGCTGCTCAGCTGTGTACTGTTTGACCGACAATACACAAGGAAACGAATGGAGAATCACGTACACGTATCCAAATAAAAACATCACATTTATTATTACGGGCTTAAGAAAGTGATGGGTAAATAGTTCTACGCGCTAGCGGGGTATGAAATCATGCATTCCTGACATATATTGGCTCAAATGATCGGGAGCCTTTTGCAGGGTGAGTAAGCGATTGGAAAATTTTAATTTTACTGTTTCCCAAAGCTATTAAAAAACAAAAACAAAAAATATCGAGTAACTTTTAGACTTTCATTGTGGCATACCATCGGTTTGCTTCGCTCCGGAGTAAGAGTTTCATCCAAAGTTAACATGATATGAAACTTCGCCTGGTGAGAAAAAAACTATGCAAATGTATATTTTTAAACACTTACAGCCATATTTGGCTGAAGCGAGTTTCGGTCGAGCTCCAATTTTTCCAATTTATGGCATGCATCGATGTTTTTGACCAACTGTTAATATTAAGCCTTCTCCGAACGGTTTGTTATGAGGAGGTTATTTCATGTCAAAAATACGCTCGGAGTGCTTGACATATTATTCAAATTATTTCTCTATATAATTAATACCTTTCCTTAATTTTAACATACAAATTTAGTGTGCTTAATGAAAATTTATTGGTGACATAAACTGCTTTTCTGATAAAAAAAAAAATGTGCGTCTCACTATTGACTCACTGAGGCTTCTTAGCAATCAGCTGTTTAAAGTTCCTTCATTTGAATTTGTTACCAGCCCAGAAAAAAGTAATTGACGAACGCATTTATCCGCAAGGCGAAGAGGGTTTATGTGAAACAGTCTTAAAGACCTTATGAAAACAGATTACAAAGCGGAGGTAACCTTAAATTGCGATATTGAGTTTGCAATGCAAACAATTGGTCTTGTTTAACCAATTAGTCACCACCCTGTGGAAAGGGCATTGTACAGTCCTACAAGTAGAAAAACTATCATCAAACACAGCTGAGATCACCTGATCGAAACATTCCATTTTTCCACCCAAGGATGTAATAATTATAACTGATACGAATAGTAATAAAGTTTGCCTTTCGTAGTAAATAAAAATGAGCAATTTGAGTTTTTAACCGGGGTATCCCTTCCGAATGGTATTTTTCAGCCTGAAAGCAAAATAACAATTTTGAATTACAATTTACAGATGGATGCTTGCATGTACTTACCAAATGATAGAAGTAATTAACATTTTTTTTACTATCACAATTTAAAACTTCCAGTTTTCGTTGTTGCGGTAAATTAAAGTTACATCACGTAGGGTTGTATTCACAATGAGTTAAAAAATTAGTATTGATTTTGTATTAGCATTAAACACATCTTAGCCTAGTTACATCTGAATAAACATATTAGTAAGTCCATAACTTTGTTATTCATTTATGACTTCTCTGATTTGACAAGAACGCTAAGTGACCCTTTGGGCATTTATTTGCGTAATGTCCTTTATTTCCACATTTATAGCAAGTTATTTCATCTAATGGCTTCGGTACCTTAGAAAAGTTATTGCTTGATGACACATGTTCTGTATTTTTACCATCAGGACTCTCTTTAAAACTGTAATTTTGGTTAAGCTTTTGGAATCCACCAAATTTAAATCGACTTTCATTATTTTCATTAGCATCGGGATTCTTTTTACATGCCGAAGCTTTGTGACCCAATTCTCCACAAAAATGGCACGTAGGCACTTTCTTCAGCAACATTTCTTTTGTCAAGTCGGAGATTGGTGGCAATTCAAAACGGGGATGCATAAATTTACAATTCCAGCCATTAGGGCAAAATCCTGCTAAGTAATTGCTACAAAGTACGCGACGCACGTGTCGATGTCGGCAATGGGGTCCATGTCTGCAAAAACCTCTGTCATACCAAGGACAATCTTTTACTTTACTTTCAGGATCGATATGTAAAAACGGACATTCTTTATTGTGGCAGGCATTAAAACGTGAATAGAAGTAACATTCCGGCATTTTTTTCATGTCATATTCATGTAAAAACTCGCACTGGTCTCCTTTTTTACAAAGCCCTCGTAGCCAATGCTTACAAACAATAGTTCTGTCTCCTCTTATATGGCGAAACGGACATGATGAGCCCTTATCACACTCTAAACCATTCTGGGAACTCACGAATTGGCAAACTGCAGCCATCGATTCTGAAAATACAAATGTTCATTACCTATTCCATATTCAAAGCTTTTGATTTCCTTAAAAATTCTATTTAAAAGTTGGGTAATACTCACTGTCCATTCCAAAAAATGGTAATGCAACAGCTCCTATCTGCTCCACCAAATCTTTCTCTATTTTAAAGTCTATATTACTAACATTTGCTAATAAAATTTCCATTTTTTCTCAAATATTAAATTTAATCATGTGCAAACGCTGATATAAACAATTCTTCGAAGCTGTCAGTGGTGCCACTAAAAATAAAGTCGTGTTTTCGTGCTGCCATATGTGTTGTAGTAAACTAGTTTCAGGTTGCTCACATATTGAAATTGAAATTTCTTGATACCAATATCTGTAAAGAAGATAGAAATGTACATAAGAATAGGTTTTTTTGGTTTACGATTTGATGTTATTAATTAGTTGTAATGAAGTTTTGTCATGTAATCACATATATGCGGGAGGAATGCGATTCAAACTATGAAAATTCGTTACATTTTTTTCGCGGCTTACCAATCCTTCAAACACCCTGTGCTTGTTCCTCGAAAATTTTCGCAGTCACCAACTTGGTATAAAACTTTAACACTAAAAGCTCTTTCCAAACGTTTCCTTAAGTATATCTCATGCATTTTAAAGGGATTGAAGCAAGTTTAATTAAAAAAGTGACTATTATTATTTAGCTTCCTTCATATTATTTATTTTGTTTTTTATAAATTGCGATTTTCTTAATGTCATTAAGTTGGTCAAAAAAATATTTTCGAAATGTCAGTACATTACAAATTTAAAAGTGCACTAGATTTTGATACCGTCACATTTGATGGTCTTAATATTTCAGTCGGTGATCTAAAAAAGGCAATCGTACATCAAAAGCGCTTAGGAAAAGTAACTGATTTTGATTTACAAATAACAAATGCACAAACTAAAGAAGGTTGGTATCGTACTTTTAACATATTTTAGCAATATTTTAAAACTTTAAAATCTCTATTATGGCGAGGCGTATGGAGGACATTAGAAGCATTTCTTATTTTTGAAGATTATATTACATTGGTTACATCAGATAATAAATTTCGACTCCATGTTGGCAATTGCATTTAAATTGGCAAAAGGTGCTTGACTGACAATTTACAGGTGCAAATTTATACAAATATTTTGTTTAAATATAAATATTGTTTTAGAATTTGGAGCATTATTAAGATCACATACTTAATTCGAAAGTTAAGAGTGTGCGGTTAAAATATTTGTATTAAAAACTTTTATTTTTAATTATGAAATCGAATTACAGAATACCAAGATGACTCTGCTTTAATACCCAAAAACACCTCACTCATTATTGCTAGAATTCCAATATCTCAACCAAAAAAGACTTGGAATACCCAAAATACCGAAAAAACTCAACAGACTCGACAAATATCTCGAGGAGATTCGAACTCTTTAGACTTGTCAAAAATGAAAGGTAGTGAAGAAGACAAAATCTTCGAAATGATGATTCAGAGCACTGCTGATTATGACCCCAAAAGGTAAAATAAATTTTTTTTAAATGTACTACTTATTTGACCGTAGTTAAGTTAAGTAAAACTTTGGAAAACAATATAAAGAACCTTTTAATTTTTGCAGTTATCACAGAATTAGAGGACATTCGCAAATAGGAGAAGTTCCTCCCACATATCGTTGTAACAGGTGCAAGAAAACGGGCCATTGGATAAAAAATTGTCCGTACACTTCAGGAAAGGAACATAGCGATATCAAGAGAAATACCGGAATACCAAGATCCTTCCTCGATAAGGACGACAAGTAATTGCTTTGATTTGTATTTTTAGTTTTGGAAATTTTAAGCAACTTATAAATAAATGTACATACGTGTATTTATATGTATTATGGTTTATTTGAAAAAGAAATATTTTCAGGTATAAAAGTTACGTCAAGTTGAATAACTTTATATTATTTCAGAGAAATACCTGCCGATTTTCCAGAGCCAGCAATGACAATTGAAAATAAGAAAGAAATTCCGGAGGATTTAATATGCAGTATTTGTAAGGACCTGTTTGTTGATGCTGTGATGATTCCTTGCTGTGGAAGCTCATTTTGTGATGATTGTAAGGGGAAGCTAATCGTTTGAATCATACTATAATTAAATGTATTTTTTAGGTGTCCGAAGTGCTCTGCTTGAGTCTGAAGACAATGAGTGTCCTGATTGTAAAGAAAAGGGTTGTTCTCCAGGTTCGTTGATTCCAAACCGCTTTTTACGAAATTCCGTTAACGCATTCAAGAATGAAAATGGCTATACAAATTTGAGACCAAAGAAAGGTATATAACTAAAATTTGAAAAAAAAACCTTACCTAAAATTGAGCAATATTTTTATTGTGTTTTAAAGCCCTTGAAGAAAGATCAGACGAGTTAGAAGAGAAAGTTTCAACGAAAGTAAAACTAGATGCCGTTGAAGTTAAAAAATCCGAAGAAAATCAGACAGACGCAAATAGCGGTCCTCAGGCTGAAGAAAATATTTTGAAGAATGATGCATCCAAGCCTGAAGAGGTTGAGTCAGATTACGAAGATAATATTACCATTACGATGCCATCAGGCCCAGTTAAGAACTCGAATTCAACTGAAATAGAACAATCCGGAGGCAGTGTGAGTCATCCTAAGCCCCCGGGTATAGAAAGCTCACCACATCATAGGATTCAGGTAACACATTTTCATTAGCGGTTATGTAGATTTATGAATTAAAAACAATTCAATATAATAAATATTTGCATTAGTTCCAATTAACGATTTTTAAGCATAAAACAAGTAAGTGTGCAAAAGAATCTATGTGATATTTAGTACAATGTGCGATTCGTTTATGACATCAATCTACAATACATTCACAAGTCATAACCGCACGAGTATAATGCGCGATACCATCGCCAACTCGATTCAGTCAATTATCGTTTTGTATGAACATTGATGATTTAATGAAACGTTGCTAGTTGTAACTTTATTCGTTACTGTTAGTATTGTAATATAAATAGTAATTAATAATATGTTATACTCTGTTAAATTATAATTGAATTGAATTTCAAAATCAATTGAAAAAAAAACTTTTTTTATTATAAAATCTACATTTAATTTGAACGCGCAAATGCTTATCACCAACTGATTTTGAGCTGTTTTAATTGTAATTAAAAATATTTTCGACGAATTATGACTTGATCAGGCTTTTTATTCCTCAAATAATTTCAGATATTATTTGATAAAAATTCCAAAACTTGGTTTTAAAAGTAATTAAAGCCACTACTAAAGCACGTCTTTATAACATAAAATTTCTCATCTGGCCCGTGTGTGTTTTTAATTTTTAATAAGTTTACATAGCGCAAACTGAAGGTGGGGAAATTAATAAAATAAATTTGTTGATTGAAAAAAATATGATTTTATTGGGTATTATTTTCACAATCTAAAATGTTCCGACCAAGCAGGTCAGTTGTGAAAGTTCTTGCGGTAATAAATAACGTATATCGCCGCTTGGTGAGCAATACCGAATGAAAAAGCTGATTTTTAGTAAAACAGCTCATTTACCAATAAAAGTCGTACGGACCTGATAAAGAAAACTTTTTATAGTATGTGCGGAATTGCAGTTTTGTTTTATACTAAGGTTATTTACAAAAAATATGATTAAAAATACATGATTTTAATAAAATAATTTAAATTGGTATGTAAAAGTATGTTTACTTAAATGAAATTAATGTAAATAGAATTTATCTTAATGAAATTATATTATTGGCAGCCACGGTAGTCGAGTGGTTAGTATTGCGCACTGCTTAGTATAAACTGTATAAACTGTAGGTCCCTCCATTTGTTGGAAAACCATCAAGACGCATAACCAAAAATTTGAGGAGGACCAGCGGTTACAAAGCGCCAATTATCTATATATACAGCCTTGGCCAAAAGTATTAAGCACGCCACTAAAATACAAATATTCTCAAATGTGGCTATCAAAGTTACCACTTCTTTCTGTAAATGTCTTACATGGGTAAGATAAACCTAAAAATTATCATTTTTAAGAAATTTATAAAATATTTTCGCGTTTGAAATTTGAAAGTGAAAGTGTAAATTACATTTTGTGAAAAGTTACTAATCTATAAAAACAGTTCGTATTTACCGAAATGCCTAAAAAAGTGAAATTAGTTACGATGATAAAGTTAGAATTCTTCAAGTTCTAAGTGAAGAAGGTGAGTCTCAGATTGAGATTGCCAATGTGGTGGGTTGTTCGCGTTGGGCGATCCAATGTGCTATGTGGAGACGAAATCATACAATAATCAATCTAAAAGTGGAAGAAAGCGTCTAACCAGTAAACGAGAATACCGAATACTTATACGCGAATCTCTCAAGGATCGCAAAAAATCTTCTTCTGCCCTTGCAGCTGCCCCTTCGCATGAATTTAGTAAATCAGTTAGTGCTCGAACAGCTAAAAGAAGACTTCTAGAAGCAGGTTTAAAAGGATGTAAAGCCCCGAAAGAAGCCGAGGCTCTCAGAACAGAATAGAAAAAATCGTTTGGAACGGGCTCGCCGATAACAACATTTCACGGAAGAAGATTGGTCGAATCTTATGAAAACATTATTTTTTCTTTTCTACAGATATTTGGAACACCTAGTGTGAGGTATAGTGAGGCGACGGGTTGGGGAAGAATATCATCCAGATTACGTGGTACCCACTGGGGCTGCATGGCTGCTAATGGTGTCGGCGAAATGTTCGCATGTATAGTCAAAAGTACATAAATGTATTAGAAGCTGTTCTTCTGTCTTCGTTAACGCGAATTTTCGGCGATTCTAATTTAGACGGGGTTCAATTTCAGCAAGAAAATGCTCCTTGTCTCAAATCAGCGACTATGATGGATTGGTTTAGAGTTAACAAAATTGTTTTGTTAAGTTGGCCTGCACAGTCTGCAGATCTTAATCTCACTGAGCACATATGGGCTACTTTAAAACGCAAGAATAAGGAACACATTATAACATCAAAAACTGCCTTAAAGAATGCCTTAATTAACGAGTGGTTCGCTATAAGTGCGGACGAATGTGCAAAGCTTGTACGCAGCATGCCTAAGCGAATTGCTGCCGTTATTAAATCGATGGGTGGACCGACTAAATATTAATATTATTATCACTAATTAATTGTACTTTCACTGTTTTACTAATAAAAATTACTTCACTTGTTAAAACAAAAAATTCAGTAATTTGTGGAGTGCCTAATACTTTTGGCCAATGCTGTATATAAATTATAATATAAACTTTGGCTATAAGCCGGTATAAAATTAAGTTTAAGCAAAAATTAAAGTTTATTTCTGGATATTTTTAAATGTGATTTGTGAAGTGTGAATCGATTGTATTTACTATTTTTGAGGCGTTTAGGTAATGTAATATGTTATTTTTTTTTTAATTTCACTTTGAAAAATATTTTGTCTCTTTTTTTTTTTTAATATTATGTAATACGTATATTTTAGCTCCGACTCTTAAACTATGAAAAATTATCATTTTCTTGCCAACGTTATAAGTGCCAATGAGTTGTCTCTTTTTGTGAAAATGTATCACTATTTAGCCGAACAGTATCTTTGTTGGTCTCAAAGCATTATTACCAGAAATATTGGTAAAGTACGTATACACACATTGAACCGAAAAGTGTTGCAAGAAGAGATAATAAAGACAATATTGTTGACCCCCAGGTTCTGAAACACAAAGTGGATTTAAAAGTTGTTTAATCGAATTACTGCAACGACCACAAAAATGTAAAGCACATAAACCGCAATTGCAGTACTAATTAAATTTAATTTAAGTCCTGATAAAATTTATTTTTATTACCGCGTATAATACATAAATTAGCAAAAAAACTTATGGAAAATTAATTAAAAATAATAATTTCTGGTTTTGGTCGCCCATCGGCAGAGAATGTAAACCCTTTCGAATGAATTTATGACAGAAAAATCACAGGCAGAAAAATATCAAGCCGTTTATACAAAATTGGAAGAAGAGTTACAGTTTATTCTAAGCCGCCTCCGAACCGCTGATGCATTTTTACGAGGAGCTTTTTAGTTCATGTTAGAAATACACTCGTACACTATTAGTGAAAATACTCTTTATACTGGTTCATCAAGAACCTCTATCTTTTGCTTTAAAAGATCAAAACGTGTCGAAGAGATGCTTTAAACGAAAGCTGCATTCGAGTATACAAAACAAAGCTGTAATGAGTAAAGCACATATCTCACCACTCAAAGCATTGTTTTCACAAGCAGTGTTAGAAAACTAAAATACTTATACTTGCTTTGCAGCAATAATTGTAAAAATACGTATCTACATATGTATATATGTACATATGTTTCGTAATCATTGACCTACATGGGATAATCACCATAAAATATTTTTTTTACTTTTGTCGTTACATTCATTTTTATTGCGAAAAGAATAAGCAATTCTATATTATTTTACAACTAATTTTAAAATTTGTAATTTTTTTCTTTAAATATTAAATTACGTCATCAATATCCGTTGTCAATATCATATTTTGTAAATTTATAACGCATTTTACTCACACTTCGTTTACTCTTTGCATGGATTTCATCATCAAATTATGCAAAACAAACACTGTTCTCTCTTTGGAAATTTAAAAATGAGTGTTGTCGGAAGAAGTTTTTATTATTAGAGTGAAGCAAACAGCACTGACCATGCACACAACTTAAAATATATTTTTTGTCATTAAATTTTTATATTTTTATTAAAATTGCTGAGTGTGCAGAATGAAGACAAAAATATATAAAATGCTATCAAGCTTGCCAAGCTCTTCATTTAAAACTGTAGAATCAATGATCAAGTGGTTTAAGGACAATCCCAAATCAAACGAAACATACTGTGATTACCAGACAGTCAAAAATAAATGCAAAATTAACATACCGTAATTTTTCCCAAGTTCATTCGGCTTTCTCAGTTCAGCATGAAATCAACAATAGCTTACTCGAAAGTTACGTTTCGTTTTGATTTCATGTCCCTGTAATTTCAATTTTTTTATTTACGTATTTGAACCGAAATTACATATCTTTTTTTATTGGCGTAGGTACCGCCTACACGATTATAGCCGAATTACCAATAGCGCGCCATTCGTTCCTTTTCCGTTCAATCAACCATTACCGATGCTCTCGAAAACTTTCAAAGCCGAATCATCGAATGTAGATATCGTTCACGCCTCTGGTGTGCATCGATTCCTATCTCACTAATCTTTGCTAGATTTGATGCATATCTGCTCAATAGTAGGTTTACCAGGTCTAAAAACAGATTGGTAAGGTGAAGTCAGTTTTTAGACAACTGGTCTTGATATTTCACCCAAAACGCAAAATAAATCTTATATTCGATATTACCGATCATTCAACCGAAACGCACCTTGTCAGTTCTTCCCCGACATGTTTTAATAATTCTATCGGTTAGCCAACGGCTCCAGCAGCTTTGTTCTTCTTTAAGAGCAATTGCTTTCTAAACCTCGCAATAGTCGGGTAATGAAGCCTATTTTTCATCATCTTCGATTGAAGTCTGTCAATCAGCAGGCTGGAGAAGTGTTATCTTCATACCTAAGTCTGATGTGGACATAGCCCACCAGACTAACTTCTTGGTTCCTATATGAGTAGCTCTTCTCAGCTCTTCATACTCACACATTTCGGCCCTTTTCACAATTTGCTTCCCTCTTCGGCTCTCGATATCTATCCCACACTGCTCGTGTACATACATACGTCCTAGTGCAAATTCTTTAAATTCAAACCTGCATTTTTTTCAGTTGTCGCCGTCAGATATTCTTAAGAGAGATGGACATACGGGATCAGATCATCAAAATAATGAATGGGAACATGACTATAAATCAGACAGAGATTATCACAAGGAGGATGCGAATGGCAATGTGTTTTATAAGAAATCCACTTTGAAGCAGCACACCCATGCTATAAATGCCCAAGTACATTATGGTCCGAATAAAATTCAAGTACGTCCACCCAGGCTAAATCATATGATGGAAGTGTATTCCGGTCCTCATAATAGAGTTAACGCTTATCAGCAAATGCCCGTTTCACATGCAATTGTTCAAGATCCTGGAGTTCAAGGGCAACCTATGTTACCATTCGGGGTGTATAATCCAATCGGACCTAGACCTAACATTGGGTATGTTTCATGACATAGTAAATTAATTAAAAAAAATAGTAGAGGGTTTCTAAACATTTTTTTTTACTTTCCTGCGTATGATGTAGTTACCAACATCCTGTTCGACCAATGTTTCATAATGCTCCACCGGGCTTCCCGCCGATTAGATGCCCACCTACTGACATGCATCATGGTAACAGTAATCTTGCATCAGTTTATCAGGGTGTAGCAGCTAAAGTTGGTACCGGGTAAATATAGCTGAACATAAAAAAAAATTAAATCTCATTTTATAAAAATTAGAATAATTGAAGACCCGTTGGAGACTTTTAATCGACTTATGAAGGAAAAAGAACGCCGGAGAGAAGACCGTCGCAGATCGATGGAACGACGCCGATCTCGTTCTAATGAAAGACCCCATCGGGTGCGTGTTCATGTATCACCATATCGAAGAACTTCGCGGGAAATTAAGGAGAAGCTCAGATCGCACGATATAGACAAAAAGCGAGATAATGGATTTGACCGTAATAAAATGATGAATAGACGGAGGCGATCCAATTCTTTCAGTGATAAAAGTTCAAGGTTATTAGCAATTTATTTGTGAACTACAATTGACTGAACAGAGACTTATTTTATATAATCACAAATCACAATTACTGTCCTAAAAATTGATTGTTTCCTTATATAAATTAAGAATTAGTGTTTGTTGCTGTAATTTAATTAAATTTATTTTTTTTAATGGAGATTGCTTTATCATATAGTTGAGATTCTGTCAGTAAGCGTTATAAAATAAGCCACTTTTGGCACATTTTTTACGACATTGAATGCCACAAATTCTTAATATCAATAACTTTCCATAGGTCGAGATCTTGGTCTAAATCGCCTATAAAAAAACGTTCTAGATCACCTTATAATAAACGTTCTCGAAGCCGTACACATACATTTCAAGATAAGTATGTAAGAAGTTAGAATAATAAATTTATTATTAATGTTTTCATTTTTAATTTGCAGACAACGTGACCAAGGAAAAATGCATAATATTCGCGAAGACTTGCATCAGGAGTCAACTAATCCTAGGTTGTATTTTAATAAATTTGTAAAATTCGATAATAACAATATGTTCATACAGGCGCAGCACTAGTGAGGAAAGAATTCGTTTTTTAAGACAAAATAACATGGAATGGTACCCTCATCAAGGCAGTTCCCATGGTTCGATTGAATCTGAAAGATACCCAATATCAAGAAACGATAGGTGAAGAATTTATGTGAGAAATAGAGCTTGTAAATAAAAATATATTGTTACAGATTCCAAGAGAATTCTCATGAGACTTTGGAACCTCCTCCTCCAGGCTATGAATCGAATCCATCATCATATAATAGCAGTTATCATTTCCATCAGCAAGATTATACTAACACAAGAATGAAAAGAACGGAACGTACTTCAAACGATACGAAAGAAAAAAAGCAATTCGATTTCGGCGGCAGCTTGGAAAAAAATGACGTCAAATCCTCAACTAAGTCAACAGAAAAGAATATTAGGAGAACACGAAGTCCGACTCCGGTATCTAAAAAAAGATCTGGCAGTTGTGATAAAGTCGAAAAAGGTATCAATAAACGTTCTAGGAATAATTTGCCTTCCTTTCGAAAAAGCATCGAACGCAATAAACCTGACGATCATCGACACAACTCTGGCTATACTGAAGATGCAAAACGGAGTAATGAAAAGAATCACGAAAAAAATTTTAAATCTTCCGAGAAAGATGTAGAAACTAGTTGCATAAAGAAGGAAAAGTCTGAGCGGCGATCAAGTCCCGAGACGCAGAAAACTAAGACCAACATTACTGCAACTAAAGAAGAAGAAGTCTATTCGAATTCCAGCAAGGAAGAGAAAAGCTCAAAGAAAACTAAGGATAAAGATCGAAAGAAGAAAAGAAAAGATAGGAACGAAAAGAAAAAAATCAAGAAAGATAAAAAAAGTCGAAAAGATCGAGAGAGACAAAGGAATTCTAGTGAACCGGAAGAGCAGAAGCCTCAAGAGGAATATGATATATCAAGAACACCTGAATTGAATACGAGTAAAATTAATTCAACGGTCGGAAATATTACTTCGAACGAAGAGTTTAAAGTAAATAAAATAGCAGTTAACAATGAGAGAACTAATATGGGTAATAAAGAATTTTCTGAAGATAAAATGAACTCTGCGAATGCTAATGAGGCTGAATTTAAACAAGTGGATTCAGTTTTAGATATTCTTGATTATGAAACTGAATTTGACGACTTAAATTTGCAGGGTCAACAAAAGCAAAAAAATGGGGCATCTATTCCTGAGCCCTCAAAATGGGAAATCGATGAGCAGAATGTTAATGTTGCTAGTCAAGTAGTCAGTTTGGAGTCTAAGGATGACAATGATTACCAAAGTGAGAAGATGGTGAATGAGAAGGTTACAAACGAAGTGTTGCGTAAAGCTGAAAACGCAATATTTGCACGTGCTATTAAGGCAATATATCCTTTTGATAAAAACGACGTTAATAATGATAATCAGAGAGGATTTACTGACACCCTGCCTAGAATTACTACAAAGGACAAAATTAAAAACTTTGAAATCACTGTACCAACAAGTAATAGTCAAGAACGTTCAGTTCAAATAAAAGAAGATCCCTCACATTCCCCTAAAGTGGTTAAATCAGTTAAAGAAAGATTAGGAAGTAAAATTACTATGAAATATGACTATTCGCCCGGCTGCGAAAACTCCAGCAAGCAGCATATAATGAAAAGCAACTTAGCTGGCCAAAGTTCTTATGAAAGGGTGGAGGAAAGAAACAGAAATAAATTCAAAGATCGAGATCGCGATATTCGAAATAGTCGTGACAACCGTGATAGGATTACGAACAATAAGTTTACAACAATTTCGAGCAGAGATAGGGACCGTGAACGTGTTCGTGATCGGGACCGAGATCGCGATAGGTATTATGAAACTGACAAATATCGGAATAAAGATCGTGATAGAGTTCGTGATCGTGAAAGAAGTCACATCACAGATACTCATCAGAAATCTCAAAAGCAAATAAATCGTGAAATAGATATGGCCTCAAGAAGTAGGCAGCGTGTAAGAGACAAAGGTGAAGGTGAAAATCCCCATACTAGTACAACCTTCAAGGATAGGGAACGTACACCTTGTATCTCAAAAGAAAAAGGAAAATCGAAAAAAGAGAATTATGATGATCGTGATAATGATGCTTGTTCTTCAAATATAGACCAATTGAGTAAAAAAAGAAGCATTTCAAAAGATAAAAATAAAACTGAAACCCATGAGATAAAAAAATATCTCACTGAACCGGAAACTAGATTAAAAGCCCTAAGTCTTTGCAGTTCTTCAGGATCGGTTGAAACAACCTCAGATTCAGAATCTGACGAAACTAGAAGAAAGAAGAAGCATAAATATAAAAAAGACAAAAAACGTCCAAAACGGTCAGAATCGGTTGAATCCGCGGATAGTTCAAAAGAAAAACATGTGAAAAACAAAAAAAGAAATAAGTCTTCAAAAAAGAAGAAGAAAAATAAAAAATAATTTTTCATATTTCATATTTTAATAATTATTGCAAATATATAATGTATAGCTGTTATACTAGATTTTGTGTAATATTGAATAAGAAGGTATCAATACATACATATAAGTATGTCTCAATAAATAAATCTGAATAAACAATTCTCAATAATATTTAATATTTTTAGAATATACAGTATGTCAGAAACAGTTTACACCCTGAAAAAGAATATATTTTTTTGACTTTGCGTGAAAAAATCACAGACTTCTGTTATATTTAAAGGATTTTTTTTTTCATGCAAAATAATTTCACAACATCTTTTAAGTTAATATCAATACAAAATAAAAAAATTAAAAATACTTAACGAAAAAGAAAAATAATAACACTTTCTACACTTTTAACACTGCTAAGAAACTGTTTACACATTGTGTTTTCCCCCTCTTTTTCGCTTTAGTTTTTGCCTTAAAAGGTAATTGATCGGTACCTACGCTTCTGTAATTGCTTTATTGCATTGCTCTATTTGCATTCCTTTTGATTTGGTTGTGCAATTTCGCTGTAAGCGCATGTAAACAGTTACTCTTAAGAATTTTTAAAATGCGCGGTAAAAGGTTGCCATTTGAAGTTAATCAACCGTCGATGAGGCAAATCGGTTCCAAAATTGGTAGACATGTTTTCTGTACCACGGAAAACAATTTACAAAGTCCTGAGTCGAGCGGAAAACGAGGAGAGGCTTGATCAAAAGAGTAGAGGTGGCGGAAAATATATGAACGATTATACCCCATAAGAGTGAAAATTCTTGCACAGGAGCTCAAGGAAAAATATGATCTTGATGTTTCACACAAAACTGTACGCCAAGACATTCTATGGAACAAGTACCGATCAAGAGTTACTAAGAAAAGGCACTGCTTTCTCTGGTCAATGCAGAAAAGCCTTTCTTTCACTTTAGCAGTAATCGAGCTAAACCATCCGACAGAAAATTATGCTATACTACAACGATGGCCCTACCAGAGTAAGGCGTAAGCCGTTGACTACTCTCGAACTAAAAAACATCATTCCGACTGTAAAATTTGGCAAACTATCGGTTATGATTTCGGGCTGCATCTCCAGTCACGGTGTACCTATTACCATTAATGCGGTGCTATATTGTCAAATTTTGGATGCAAATTTGAAGCCAAGTGCATTGAAATTCGGCTTTTTCCAACAACAAACCAGCTTTCAAATTCCACCAGGTCAATGACTCCAAGCATAAGGAGCTTAATGTGCGGACATTGCTTCTATGCTACTGCGGCAAAGTCATCAATATGTCTCCTCAGAGCCCCAATGTGCGATGAAATTTTCTTGATTTTATATAGATTCGAACTTAAGTTCGAGACAAGTGATAGTCAAACAACTGACATTTCAATAACATTTTTGCGCTTAACTGTTTCTACTTTCTATGGCGGCAGCGGTAGCCGAGTGGTTAGCATTGCGTACTGCCATTCGGAAAGCCCGGGTTCAAATCCTGGTACGACCAACATCCAAAAGTTATAGAAATAAATTAAATTAAAAAAAAATAAGTTAAATTTTCTAATTGCGGTCGTCCCTTGGTAGGGAATGTCAACTCCTTCGAGTGTATTTCTGTAAACTGTTGGTCCCTCCATTTGTTGTAAAAACATCAAGACGCAAACCAAACCCGATTTAACGGTTACAAAGTGCAAATTATATATATATATATATATTGAAATAATTTAAAAAAAGAGTAGGAGAAAGTTGTCCGCATTTTAAGTGTATTTATATGCGTATTATTTGTGTTCTATTTTTATTTACAGATTCATTTAATTCTACAGGTTAAATAAAGAAGCATTTGAAAATATTATTAACTATATAAGGCCCCCAATGAAGCTAACGTTCATAGCTGTTGAGCTAAAATTAGCAGCAACGTTGAGAAGAATGGAAGAGATTCCCATATCATGGAAACATCAGCCATTATCATACTAATGCAAATAATTAAATATGGCGATAACGATTTCTGGCACATGGCGATTTGGTGTTCGAAAAATAAATCCGAACAGTGAAATTCAGAACATGGCATGTATGTAATTGGTGTTTTGTAACCACTGAAGCGATTGTCTGCTAAGCTCCTCCTCAAATATGTGGCATGCTTACAATTTATTATAAGCCCCCTCCGAACGGCCGATGGATGATTTTTATGAGGTGCTTTTTTCAATAGCCTTCTATAATTCAGGATGTTGGTCATACCAGGACTCGATCTACTGAATGTCTATGCGCAATACCAACCACACAGCCGTCAATTAATTAACTTCTTCTATATACATGAAAAGTTTGTGTGTCTGATTGTTTCCAGTGACTTTCGAAACTACTCGGCAGATTACACTGAAAATTTAGATAGTTTGTTTCTATGGTTCGTGGAAACGAAGCATGAGCACGTGGAAGGTCGTCAATAATTTTGGTTCGACTTTCTTAAGATTATTTTCATTGCCGACCGCTGATACAATTTCCAACCTAGATTAACATATACTTTTAGAAGTGAAAAAGAAACTCATCTCTGTCTATATCTGATGCGCACATCCATGTAATGTCATGTAACCGATGTAATATTATATTTAAACGCTATACTTTAAATGCATATATATGTATATTTATATGCATACATATGTACATACAAATAAGTAGTTAGATTAATTTAACATTTTGCACTATAATAATAACGTTAAAAGATCGGAGTAAAATAAATTTTCAATCAGTAATTTTATAATAATTTTCCATTCACGCAAAATTATATTTTAATATATAACATTTGGAGGAACGGCCCTTCAAGAATGGTCCACATAAACAAGTTGTTCTGTTTATCTTTCTCTTCTGAGTACATACAAACTGAAAGAGAATGCAGTTGAACGGATTATCCGATTTTTTTTTGTTCTTGCAGCGACAGCAGATTTAAAAATATTCTATAAAACTGTGTGAGGTACAGCTGCATTTGGATATTAATAACATTCTGATTCCAATATGAATTTTTTATTTTACTTAGACGTCTTTAAACTTCAAAGGAGTTGCGATTATGACGGAGGCGTTCGTAGAGCTGGGGGGCTGACCCTGCAAGAAGGCTTCCGATCATTTGAGCCAACATATGTCAGGAATGCGTTAACGATTTTCCTATCACTTTCTTAAGGCCGAAATGACAAACGTGATGTTTACATTTGTATACGTGTACGTCATTCTCTCTTCGTTTCCTTGTGCACGACAAGAATGTTGTCGTACAAACAGAACACAGCTGAGCGACAGCATTGATACCAAAATAAAAAAACATGGACGTTAAAAACAGCAGCAGTGCCGTGCAAGCCGAACACATATGAGCTACAGTATTGACGCCGAAGGAAATCAGCTTTGACAAAAATTCTCCCTACATACATATTGTTGCGAAAATGCGAGGCGAATGTCAGATGAAAGAGAGAAGCCGATAACTAGTACGTTCTAGAAACGATAAAACAAGAACCTTCCATAGCGAACAATTCGATGCTTCTACGCTTTCGTCTGCGAGCAGCCGACTGCTATATAAAGGCGACACTCAGCTGCAAGTCAAGTTAGTGATAAAGTAAACTCGTTGGCGTTAACATCAGTGAAGTCGTAAAGTGAACGCGTTGGGAATTACATTTAAGTAGAGTAAATGGTGAAAGTTTATGCAAGTGATTGTAGCTAGTAAAGTGCCTTGTAAGTGAATTGTGTATTACGGAGTAAATAAAGGACATTAGATAAAATCTTTATTACGAAAGAAACTGCAAATTAACTTGGCGAGTTTTATTTAACAATCCAGAGATCGTACCCGAAGGATTTAGGAAATCATCGAGGTTGATTTAGTAAAATCGTAACAATATCTACATTCGTACAAGCATTATTAAGGTTCAGTTTTTATTCCAACATTTTACCTAGATCATTTACATGGTTTATATAGAATACAAAAAAATAATAATGCAGCAATAAATTCATTTTCAAAAATCTGTAAAATATTGTAAGCAAAACAGTATATACAGTCTTTAATAGTGTCGTGTCTTGGTTATTCAGCTCCACGAACGCCTCCGTCGTATTGGTAATCGCACCTCCTTTGAGGTATAAAGACATATAAGTAAAATTATAAAATAATTTTCGAATAATAATGTTTTTATTATCATAATGCAGTTTTACCTCGGAAAATTTTGTTGAATATTTTTGAGATGTGCTGCTGCTGCAAGATGTGAAGCGTCCATTCTACTCAACCTGTCCCATTAATAGATTTTTCAGAATAATATTGAGTGCCCTTAAATAAAAACAAAGTGGAGTTATGAAAAATGAAGTAGTTAATTAATCGACAATATATTATTAGCACAGCTTGTACAGGATCCTCTTCATGTATTTTTCACTTCTATCTGCTGCGAAGAAAGCGAAAAAATGGCGTTCTACTCGAAAATAAGAACAAAGAAAATCGGATAATCCGTTCAACTGCATTCTTCTTCAATTTGTATGTACTCAGAAGACAAAAATCAACAAAAAAAAATGTGCATATGTGTCAGTGCTGCACGAAATCGTGTGAGTGTATTTGTGAACCCATCATGCCGTTCTTGCAGGGGGATCACCAAACACGGCACCATTAAAGATTGCATATACGTGCTTGCTTACAATATTATGCAAATTTTTGAAAATGAATTTATTGCTGTATTATTATTTCTTTGTTTGCTATATTAACCATGTAAATGATCTAAGTAAAATATTGGAATAAACACTGAATCTTAAAAATGATTGTATGTATGTATATATGTAGAGAAAATTTGCATCAATGCTGTCGTTCATATGTGTTCGTCTTGTCTTTTTTACTTCAATATTGTTTTCTTTTAGTATCAATGATGTCGCTCAGCTGTGTTCTGCTTGTCCGACAAGAATGAGGAAAACTCACAAGGAAACGAAGAGAGAATGACGTACACGTATACAAATGTAAACATCACGTTTCTCATTTCGGCCTTAAGAAAGTGATAGGAAAATCGCTCTACGAGCTGACGGGATATGTTGGCTCAAATAATCGGAAGCCTTCTTGCAGAGGGTAGCTTTTGAATACCACAGATTTTGGCATACAGTCCTATTTCTATATAGTATTGTAACAAATGAAAAACTAGAAAGGTTCGGTTAAAACGGAATTTGTTATAACAAAGAATTTATTTCATTTTTGTATTTAAATACAAAATATAAATTTTGATTTACATGCTTAAAATAATTACGAATTGATTGATATTGGTAGTTGCCTGATTTACCAAAGTATTACAAGAATTAAAATACGCTTCCCTTAAGAATAAATTGTTATAACTTCACGGCCTCCTCCCCGAACCATTAGCACCTTTTCTAGACCTTCGGTGAGCACTTCTAAAAATTCCATATCTGTAAAAACAAAGAAGTTAAGTAAAACCGTACTTAAATTAAAAATATGTACACAAAAAGCCACTATGAAGAAATGAAATTTTATACATGATTCAAAAAGGATACAATTGGTTTCGCGATCGATTTTAGATTCTCGTGGTGGTCCAGGCAAATTCATAATAACAAGTTGGGCATCTTGTGATTTATTTACAATAACTTCGTTCAGCTTGATTGCTGTATGCATTCGGCGAACATTAACTTCGTCACTGAAATTATATTTAGTTTGTATTTCAGAATAATATTATTTCTTGTAAACGTGGGTAAATGAATAAATGTTTAAACTCTATCTAAATTATCAGATAAGCCTAAGCCAATTTAGTTAAAAGTTAAATCCACAATATTTAAAACACAATGAAAGAGCGTGGAGCTTTGAAATATGTATTAAAAAGAAGAAGTAGTACATACAACAACTCTGCGCTAATACTAAAATAATGTAAGCGAGTTATAGCAACGTACGGTCTGTTGGTTCCTCCCATAATATGCTTCTCCGGTTTTTCGTCTTCACTTTGCCCTTTTTCTACCATATTCAGTGTTGATCCATTCTCCATCTTTGTTTCTAGCGTGTCGACTTCAGCTTCTCTTGTTTTAACCTTTTCATCACCATCGGCCTCCTTAAAATTATATTGAATTTTAGTTGCCGACATTTATGAAATTTTTTTTAATAAATAAATGTATATTAATACAATATCATACTCTTGTTTGTAAGAATACATAAATAGATGCAATAAATTGTATGCATACTCGTATGAGAAGAAGTGTGAAGGATTCGTCAATCAAAATAATATTTCAAAATCTGCCAAAATTGTTTAAAATTATAATGTATGCACACATGTATGTACATATAAGTACATAAGTAGGCCATGAACCAAAATTACAGAAAATTAATTTCTAATTGCGGTCGCCTCCGAGTATATTTCTTAAATTTCTTAAATTAAAATCAAAGCTCCTTATAAAAACCGCTTCAGTGTTTGTAAAAACATCGAGGCGCAAATCACAGACTGGAGAGGTCGCATACGCTAATGGCTAAATTTTTCTAGGAATGTATCTTTATAACTTTTATTGGGCATCTTTGACAGCAAAATTACCGTTCCGAAATTTACGACACCAAAATTATGCATAAGCATTATTCATATTTTCAGCTGCCTGACTTGCGTTTTCGCCTCTATCGATGAAAAATAATAGTATTTTCTTCTATAACATTTGTTATTGTCGAGACAAATTTTGAAAAGTATAGTAAAATTCGAATACCAGTATATATTTTACGCTATTGACTAATGGTAAACATTAGATCTTGTTGACGTAAATACTTACGTTTTCATGTTTTTCTTCTATGTTAACTGTTGGATCTGCAAATCGAACTTTGGAAGAAGTTTTCGTTACATCGTGATGATGATCAACAATAGTCTGCACCTGAAAAGTGATGTTATTTGAAATTTCGTAGTTAGAAAAAATTATAATTTGGCTATGCCAAATATTTCATACTCTGCACGCTACAAGCACATATTTTTTTTATACATATACACTAATTCTTAAGCGTGTTGAGTTTATCATTCCAACGGTTTATACTTAATTAAGAGTACATACATATACATTTAGTATATAAAATAATAAGGATTAAAAATAAAAATCAATAAAATAAAATATTTAATTTATTTTAAATATTATATGAAGAAAGCTGATGAAAATATCCTTTTGTGGAACTTTTCACTGTGGGTAGTAAATGGGTATTCTTACTAACCCAACAAACTACAATAGCATGGTTATAAAAAATGAATATACTGACTTTAATTTAAGTTTGATTAATAATCTCTATTTATAAATAATTAATCAAACCTAAGTACTCGTATGTATTTAGGTTAACGCTGTAAAGCAGTTGTATCTTGAACCAGTTGTGTTATTTAGAATTTTCAGTAGGCGAATTTTCAGCTGATCTAAGTCTAAGATATACACTGAATTCAGACATGGCCATTTTAATAACATAAGTAAAATTATCCTTACGTATTTTTTTTAATTAATGTAAAATCAATAAAAAATATAATGGAATACATTATTCAAATATGGATGGAGTTGTGTCCGTATTTATTGATGTGTGTATGACTGAGAAAATACGAAATGTATGATGAAGGCAAATAACATGATATTTTGAAATACTTTATTTTTGCTTAGCCTTTACCAAAGGTAACTTATCATCCCCGGTGGTTTCCTTAAAATCCACTAGAGTCTGTACCTTTTTTTAAAAACAGACAATATGTGAAACGTATTCAGAAATTTTAGAATTCTTTTAGTATTTTTAACATATTATGAAATATGTACGATTGTATGTACGTTTAAATGTAGTACTTACTATTTTAGAGTTTTCTTTCTTATTTAAACGAAGTTCTCTCAACATCTCATTTCGCTGTTCCATCATCAATGTCCTCTCATATGTGTACTCGGATATATCGCTATTCATCTGGAATGAAATATATACACATATATATAGATGCTTAGAAAAGAAGTATCAATTACAAGGGAGAAGCTTACCATCTCCACCACCTCGACATCGGCCTCTATACGCAAGTGATATAGAAAAGTTTTTAAGTCTTTTTTCATCTGGATTGAATTGTCTTCCATTTGAGCCACCGTGAAAATCCTTAATTTGCAGTTTCTCCAGGTACGATGTTGTTTCAATAGGAAAGGCAATAACATAAGCAGGCCACCATCATGCACTATCCACCAAATGTCAATATTGCCTCCGATCTGATAATATACAATATATAAAAATATTGTCATATTACCGTGCATATGAACAATCTTTTATTCTATAAAAGGAAACCTTCTTATTTTTGTACATTAGGAACTATTGTATATTATTTATTTGGATTATATTAGCATTGGCATTAATATACAAAAGTTTTTTTTTAATTTGAAACAAATTTTTATAGTGATTTATTCTTTTATTATAATAAAGCTTTAAAAATAATATAATACTAAATAAGTTTTAAATCTTCAAAGCAGCTGTCGCATTTCCCATTGTTAGATAAGCTTATAAGCTAATTGACGAATTTCGATTTTATACTTACTTTGTGGTTAGATTCTGGGTAAAAATTGATTCCTTTTGGAACTAAAAGAGCCATATGACAAGCAGCTACTGTTCGAACAGTTTGTATGAATGTTTTCCAGCTTTCGCTCCCATCTTTTTTCCAACTATAAGGCCATCCAATAATAACAGTGTTTGGTTTCATGCCCCCGAGACCAATAGTTTGAATTCTAAATTTATATAATTATAAATAGTATGTCATCAACTTTTTTAGGTTATAGGTTAAAATAGTCATACTTACACTGAACTTAATCCTTCAGCTATATCACTAGATACCAATACATCGCAGAATCCCTTCACTTTTTCATCGTCCATTAATTTCCTCAAAGCTGCTTTAGCATCAACGGCTCTATTGGTGATCTTGTGATGATCCCCTTGAATAACTGATACACATATTGTTAATCCCTTTCCTGCTTTCAGTTGAGTAGCAAACGAAAATATTTTCCTATATTTTGGCATAGAATTTTCATTGAACTTCGAGAGCACTAAAATTTGTGGACGCCAGTTTTTGGTATGCGGTGGACCTTCTTCCAATCGTAAAAGCGAATATCTAGCAGCTGTTAAGGCCATTCCTCTAATCCCATCTCCCCATTCCTTTTCAGCTCTATAATCAATAATTAATTCATATAACACAAAAAAAGGTTATAATAATAATGTGTAGAGGCATGAAAGAAGTCCTACCGAGAATAACAGTTACTAATCTTGTAGGTTTTTACGAAAAATTTACGAAATAAATAATGTACTTTAGTACATATACATTTATATATATATATATATATAAAAGAAACTTACCCGCGATATTCAATATATTTATATATAACTATTGCCATTCCCATAGCAACCAGAGCGAAGTACCAAGATGTCATAAACATAATTGAAATACATAAAGTTAAACCAACTAAAGACAACCCCCAATGATAGAACTTAAATCGGGGTCTCCAGTTGGGTGTACGTAATAATGTTTGTACAGCACATGCCAGGTTCACAAATCCATAACACATAAGGAAAAACATAGACAATAAAGGTGCCAGTAGATCCACATTTCCTGAAATATCAGTTAGTATTCAATAATCTAATATAAGCAAAGGTGTAAATTCAGATGGGCATCCGGATTATACGAGTATATACGAGAGTATATTATTAATACCAATTTGTATAATTTATTAATGGGCTTTTGTAGCCGAGGTATTAGTAGATCCTGCTACTATGCGAAATTAAAGAAAAGGGTTTTCCTATTTAAGAGGGATGTGAACACGTTTGAAGATGGCGCTACAGTTTATTTTAAGTTGCCTCCGAAAGGGTGATGAATTTTTATGAGGAGCTTTTTTTAATGTCAGAAATACTCTCGTAGGGGTTAAAATTTTTGGTGGAATATCGACCGAAATTTGAAAAATATTTTTAAGCTTATGGATATTGGTTTCGAGCCCATATCCCTCGCAAGATAGTACGTACAACTAACAACTCGACTAATGCGTGCGCCAATTTTAGATTCTCATAAAAAATCATCAGCCTTTCGGATGCCGCTTGCAACTGTATTGTTAACATATTTGCTGTTATTTGCAGCAAAAAATAAAGACGTGCGCCACTTTGGAGTAGTTAGTGATTGTTCGAATATGAGAACTTGCTTTACAACACATTCTCAAAAAAACATCTTTTAATCAAATGTAATTTAAATAGCAATTAATGAAATACAATTTTCAATATTAAATATAAATTAGCCGTCGTTCATATTGGGTGCATGCATTGATTCGGGCGGTTTTTCTTCGAAAATTAAGACTTTATTGTGAAAAAAATTTCACAAGTTCTTCTTGCATCTGGTATGCATCTGCGTCGAGCAAGGTCTCCAATTCTTCGTCTTGAATTTTTTTTGGCTGTCCGGGTCGTTCTAATTCGTCTGAGTCGAATTTGCCACTTTCAAACCGTGCAAACCACTTTTGGCACGTTCGTACGGCTAAAGCATGGTCACCATAAACGTCCAGTAAATATGAACAAATTGTTGCTCACGCTAAAACAAATGACATCTACTGAAAACGATGCGAAATGGCAGTACCTTTGAAATGAATATAGCAACAGATGAACACGACGCGAAATAATACTAGTAGAGCCCTCTCTTAGAAAACCGAACGAATTAGTGCATACACCTACTAAAAATATATTGTATTCGGTACTACCGCAGAGTTTTGTTTTATTTTCTTATCTTAATGTACAAACCTAACAGTATCCCGCACTGGCAAATAACAATTGTCAAAAGTAAGGCCCTTGTAGGCTCTCCGCGTTTCGAAGATACCGCAAACGGCGACAAGAATGGAATTATTTCATCCTTCGCAATGGCTTGAAGCAAACGGGGAGCGCCAGTTAAACTTTGTAGGCCCGCGCCAAGTGTTGATAAAAATGATCCGATTAGTATTACCCATTGGTTTGGCCACGCTATGTTGGCAACGACCAACTTACCACCAATAGATTGTCCAAATCTAAAACATGGAATTATTAATAATGATGTATATATCCATATATTTATAATAGTGCGATTTCAGTGTTATATGTAAGTTTTATATTATATGTAAGTATGGAAATTTAACATGAAGGATCATGGAGGGGGAAACCTGACTTGTTCACGATGTTGTATACTGACGAATGTTCACATATCGCTTATCTTGAAACTTCTCCGATTAAATTCAAATTACTGGTAAAAATCAACATTTACCTCACTTTCCATGTGCTCGTAAATAGCCAGGCTTCTAATGTTCGGTCCCATCCGAACTTAGCTTTAACGTGAACGTTTTAGGCACTTACTTGTCTCTCAAAAGAAGATTATCAACAGTTCCAGCAAATAATATGACACTAGATAAATATACAGTACTCGTTGTCAAAATAGCGCAAATTGTTCCAATAGGGATACTTTTTTGAGCATCAGCTAAATCACCTGATCTATTAGATCCTGCCATTATTCCTGTATGCATGAATATGTAAGATGTCTTGTAAACAAATAAAAGAATTTGTATAACCAAAAAAGTGCTAACCTGTTACTGAAGGGAAAAAAATTCCTATAAGTAACGTAAAAGAAGTCGTTATATCAGCAATGATCTGATTATATGTAGATGGCGCCATATTTTCAATATCAACAGTATTTTTTCCATAAGCAATGAGTTGGCCTTTCTATGAGTACGAATGATTTAAAAATGTATTTACTTTGCATTTGTAAAATTAGTCATTTAGCGTCGTACTTACTTCCAAAAATGATGGTAAGACATTTTCATAAAATACTCCACTGGCGAGACCCTTAATACCCTTAACTTTCGAAACATTATTATCTGAAATATGAAATTAACATTTATTAATATCTGATTGTGCAAATGCAATTACAGCACACTAATTTAATTAAACGCACTTGTGTAATATTCGTCGCAACCGTTTTCATCACAAAATATATCCGACAAGAGGGAATCACTTTTCGTACAGTTATCTATGGGAATATCTTTTAGCAGCCGCTTGCCAAGGACACACATACTAAAACAAGTAAATTTAAAATGCAATACGACATAAATTTAAAAAAAATATATATGCAAATATGTTTGTATCAGAGGTCTGCAAGGAATGCCTGTGAAATGGATGTATCCATACATTTTTTGTATTCGTGTCCACCCATATTCACGTACACGCAGTCAAACCATATATCTAGCTTCGCAGCCGTTGCGAAGCCATTCGTACTCATGCTGATTAACATGTATCAGGTTTGAACACTAATGATTTTATCAGATGTGTAAGGCCGACGAGAATTTTGAACGATTTGAATACTAATAAAGCGAGTATTTGGACAATCCTGCTAGTCTTTACTATCCAAATATCTCGTAAATATAATCAATCATATATAATTGATCTTTAGTAACCGCTAAAGCGATTTTCGGTCGAGCACCTCCACCGATCTGTAGTTTGCGTCTTGATGTTTTTCCAACTAATAGAGTGACATACAGTTTATGCTAAGTCGCTTCCGAACGGCGGACGGATTTTTATGTGGAGTCTTTATTTCATATCAGAAATACACTCAGAGAGCTTGACATTGACTGCCGAGGAGCGACCGCATTAGAAAAATTAATATTCTATTATTTTGGATGATCGTCTGACTATGCTTTCCGAATTTTAGTACACAATACTACCCACATACAAAATACACGTATTTTTTAATTTAAAGGTCCTGTCGCATTCATAGCGGTTGCAACTTATACTTATAAACCGGTCATTGCTGTTCGTAAGGGTAGATGACAACAGGGGGCTGTTCATTGATTTCAAAATTGTATGGATTGCTGCGCGCGTGCAGATCTCTGATATATATTAAGCATGAAGTCTTACTATAGCTTCTCATTTCCATTTATATTATCAAATATTCCGATATAAACCGCTATTATTGAGAATATTACACATGCCAAAGCGACAGCTGCGAATTTGTTGACAAACTTGACACCCAAAAATACAATCAAACCTAAATTGTTGTGAGAAATAAGTATTATTAAAATATTACAGTAACTTTAAAAATGAGGACTGATAAAAAGTTATACTCACCCATTATCAGCAATAGTAAAGTTCCGTAAACTCTAAAATTGTTATACATTGCATCAGGGTCTTTTGTGAAATCTCCAAATATTGAGGCCCACGGCGCCATATAAGTCTATTAAGTTAGATTCATTGATTCATGTACTAATTAATTACATAATCATTAAAGCCATTTATAATCAGTAATTACCAGCACAATCTCTACAGCACCTACAATATACATAGCCGCTGCTAAAGTCGTTCCTGTATAAAATAGCATTCCTACTGCGCCACCGAACTCAGGACCCAAAGATCTATATATAAAAACAATAATAGCATGCGATTATACATATGTATGTATGCGCATACATAATATAAAATAATATAGTATGAGGGAATAGCATCACATATTCTTCTTCTTTATAGGGGTAGACACCTCTAAAGCGATTATGCTCAAACGCATATTGCAAGATTTAGCCCATGATGAATATATTGTCAATTGTAGATTTGCCAGTCTCGACGGTACAACAATAAGGTCCAATCATTACTACCGTTCTACCTGTCTGAAGAAGTTTTCTTTCATGAATTCGGTATACTCTGGTCATCACTCTCTATTTCACTTCTTACGCTTTTACATGAGTATGCTGCGGCCTTAATACATTCTGTACATTGCTGCATTTTTTCATAGAATTTTCGATCATATTTTTTTTTTACCAGAGATATTTTCAATATTTACATTTATTAATTTTTTCTTGCGGTCAATTTATACCAATTTTTGCTGAACCGCGCTCTGAGAGGCAAAAATTCAGTAAAATTCTCACCGAAGAAAGGTAATTTTAAGCAAACCATGGGGGAAGCAGAGTACCTTCAAGTTTACTGGTGACACCTTAAGTGTTCGACCTTGAGCTTTGTCTATGGCTATCGCGCACCAGACTTTGATGGGAAATTGTACTATATTATTGTGCAGTAATATTAATTTGTGAATTGACATGGATAACATAATTGATGTTTGTATATCAATATATTCCAACAGCTATCCTTATCCTAAATATCAAACAAATGGAACCCTAAAAGATATTTTTGCTAGTAGATGAGGAACCAATCAGCTTCACTAAAAGAAAAATCACATCTTTTAAGTTGGACCAAAACACTGGCGAATACGAAAATTTATAAAGATCGGTTTAGTAATTTCATAGTCCTTCGCGCACACACATCGTTACACTACGTTGTTCCATACAAACTTTGCTCTGGTTTCAACCACTTAGGGCAAAATTTCAGAAAATAATTTCTTATCGAAAAACTCCGTCAGTCATTTAGCACAAAAAAATTTACATATATACGTACATATACATAAACATAGATAATACACACGTAAGTGATCATCCTCGCAAATTCATATGTAGTCAATGGCATACCTTGAAATCATGAAATAGCTCCCACCAGCCGGAACCACACCATTTGTTGCAATTGCTGACATGGAAATTGCTGTTAACATTGTCTGGAGATAGATACGTAATGGTATTATGAGTTTGGTTTATTTCGAAAGATAATTCGAGAAAGACAGTAGTTGAAGCGAAACCTTGTTTTATTTACAACTTAACAACTCACCACACAACAACAGGTTAATACTATAAGAAATCCACATACTGCTCCAGCGGTTCCCACAACCCATGTAAGTCGAATAAACAAGATAACACCGAAAATGTTCTGAATGCATGGCAAGAAGACTCCAATCAAAGTACCTTTAAAGTGGGAATGCATATATACATATAATAAATCGATATCTTCATTATCAACACAAAACGGATCAGCTCTGCAGCATACATATGTATATTTAACTTATACCTTTTGTTGACAAGGCATTATTATAAAATATAAAAATAAAAATATATATTACATTTCATTCAACTTTTTTGGGTCCTGATATCATCGAATTATGTAATAGTAGTATATTTGTTTGCTTGCATAGACATATTACTAATTAAATACAGGCAAAGACGAGTACGAAGCGTTTTCAGATTTATTTTTTAACGATTTAGCCGTCATTTAACAATTGTTAAACACTGATAAACAGAAGAGATGTCTCCAGTGTTCTAACAAAACTAGTTCGATCTTGTTGTGATAGACGGAAGACATGTGTCCAATGCTCTTGACGTGCGTACACTCCGAGAACCATACATCGAATGCATATATACATATATAAAATCGATACATATAATAAATCGAATATAAGGTCCTAACGAGCGTATTGGGTGAGAGACTAAAGCCAACCTACTAACTAAATCTTGGAAAAGACTCGTGAATAGAGGATCGACACTCACCACCTCTTCGTCGATTTTAAATCCGCCTTCGACAGCACGAATAGAATCTGCCTTTATGCCGCTATGCCTGAATTTGGTATCCCCAAAAAACTGACCTTGAGCAACACCAAAAGCTCCGTCAGGATAGGGAAGGACCTCTCAGAGCCCTTCGATACCAAACGAGGTTTCAGACAAAGCGACTCCTTCTCGTGTGACTTCTTTAACTTGAAGCTGAATAGAGAAGGTACAATTTTTTATAAGAGTATATAGCTGCTGGCGTATGCCGATGATATTGATATTATTGGCCTCAAGAACCGCGCCGACTCTCCAGACTCGATAAAAAAGCGAGGCAAATGGGTCTGTTAGTGAATGAGGGCAAGACGAAATATCTCCTATCATAACACAAGCAGTCATCGCATTCGCGACTCGGCTCCCACGTCATTGCTGATAGTCATAACTAAGAAGTCATAGATACCTTCGTCTATTTAGGTACCAGTATTAACACCAACGACAATCACTCTTACCAACAGGTGCTACTTTGGATTGAGTAGGCAATTGGCTACAGCAGCTTTGAAAGTTTTCGATGCAGTGCCCACCGACGGGGGCAGAGGAAGAGGAAGACCACTACTCCGTTGGATAGACCAGGTAGAGAAGGACCTGGCTGTACTTGGTATTTCCAATTGGCGGCAAAAAGAAAAAAGAAGAAGCGATTGGCGCAATGTTGTTAACTCGGCTACAAGCGCGTAAGCGGTGTCGACGCCAGTAAAGTATGTAAGTAAGTAGGTACTTAATTAATTTGAAAAAAAAAAAAATTATTAAATGAAACGCTTATACTTAATTACACTTGTAAACATGTGTACATATATGCGCTAGCCAACCATATCAGAGATCGCAAGCAACGAAATCATCGCTTAAGTTGCCCTTTATTATAAATAATGAATGAATTTGCCTCAACAAAAGGGTGTGCTATCACCTTTCTTGAATCTTACCCATGCGAGCTGAAGGTGCAGCAGTTTTAGAATCCTGGTCCGTTGCTGATGGTATGGTGTTTTCATAATTGGCAAGTGACGAAATAAATGTGGATACATGTGGTCTGGTTTCTAACTCATCATCGTATAAGTATAAGTTTGCATCGATGTTAGATTTTTCATTGCATTGTTCGTTCAGCGTGTTATCGCAAGGATCTAAAACAATAGAATGTATTAATTAGTTTTAAAGGAAAACAATTAAATAAAAATTAATTAATTAACTAATCAAAGAGCAATACATTAACTATTTATTTCATATATTAATATGAATAAGAATTACTGGATAAATTTTGCAGCTCTATCTTATCGATATACTTATATATTGTAGTAGGAAAAAATTGTTGGTGTAATATGGACCCGTCAAAATATCAAATTTTGTAAGGAATATTGCAGTAATTGTCAAGAAAAAACTGAATAAATCTTTTGTATCATATATGAATTAAACGTCGATATCCCAAATTTGTATTAAAAATTACAGGAACTTCACCAAGATGTAGTTTGACGAATCAGTAAAATTTATTTTATGTCGCTTCAACATCGATAGTTTCGATAGTTGAATGTGCTAAATTTTGCTTAAATGAGGCAGTGTAAAATCAGAATAACTGTTCATCAAGGTATATCAATTGAGTTACTGTAACTCGTTTGTTTCCATTTGCCATAAACCTTATGAAAAGCTTATGTAAAATGATTTACTACTCTCCATATATACATATTAACGTAATTTAATACATATTAGCTCTGCTCGGTGAAAACTTTCAGTAAGGATTGGACAGTAACGAAATTGAGAGAGTATGATTTTAGATTTTGGAAGGATGATTGAAATACGAAAATGAGTTTGTAATTATTTTGCCGGAATTGTAAGCCGGCAATATTAACTATACATTATTTAAGAGTTTCTTCGATTCTGTATAAATAAATCCCAACATAGGGCTTTATTTTCCCTCTTAAACGCGGCTAATATTATATTTCATTTTGTGCGTCGTTTTCGCTTCCGGAAGCTTAAGAATATATTATCATAATTGTGACCGTTGCAACGAACTTTGCTTCGCAATTGACCGACATCTATGTCTAATAAATTTTGAAAATCCGAAGCCAATAATTATATATAAATAAATTAATTCTATGCCTTCAGCATTCCTAACTTCTAATTATTTAACATAGATTGGGTGGTGGGGGGCGATGATTCCACTCCAATGCTACTACATTATGATTAAACGAGTACAATAACTATTTAATAGAATCATTGATATTATTATTAAATTAAATTTAACAAAATTATATTTTGGCGGCCGCAATAGCCGAGTGATTAGCATTGCGTACTGCCACTCGGAAGGCTCGGGTTCAAATCCCCGTGCGACGAACATCCAAATGGTATAGAAAATTAATTTAAATAAAAAATTAAGCTAAATTTTCTAATTACGATCGCCCCTCGGCAGGGAATGTCAAGCCCTCCGAGTGTATTTCTCACATGAAATTAAAAGCTCCTCATAAAAAACAACCATCAGCCGTACGGAGGCACCCTACTATAAACTGTAGGCCCCTGAATTTGTTGTAAAAAATCCAGACGGAAAACCACAAGTTGAAAGAGGAGCTCGGCGGAAAATCGTTTCAGCGTTTACAAAGCGCCAATTATATATACATTGGTTTGTTGACAAAAAACTCAAATCGTATAATCGCAAATCATACTTGCTTGTCTTTACTGACTGAAATTTTACTGGGTTTTTGCTTCACTGAACGCGATTGAGTAAGATTCAGTAACAATTGATTGAATTATTATGTATGTATATTAACATATGTAGTATAACGAATCCATTGCTATGTATATGCATTGGAAGTTTAAACATATGTACAAACTATTTATTGTATATACTAACGCATGCACGGAAATTAAATAGTGTAGTTCACATATTAATTGTTAATTTATTGACTATTTTGGTTTCTTTATTGTTGAGCAGATATAAAAAATTATATGCAAAATATCAAAACAAATGATTGGAAATATAAAATAATTATAATGTAAAATAAATATAAAAGGCAGAACTGACAGTTGAAGTTGCGTAAATCTATTATATAATTATGAAATTACACGTCTACCATTGGTATTTGTATGTTTAATAGATCAATGACAATTTCAGGAAAAAATACACACCTGCGCTTTCCTTCTCTTTATGTGTACCGACATCCATTTCATCAGATTTATTTTGTGTACTTTTAATAGACATTTTATTGGGAACTCAACAAATGGTGTATTTTAGGTATTAAACGGTCATACTAGGATTTTAAAAATCATCTCATGTTTTTTTAAATCCTTTTTATTGTATGCAAATTAAGTAAGGATGTAGTGAATGTTTAGTTTATCATTATTATATTATCATGCCGTTCACGAATTGATTATAAATCCCTTTTGTTTTGGCAGTTACAAACCATGTTTAATTGAACTTCTGGAAAAATGTTTTTTCAGAATGGGGTATAAAACGAACACACAAATTTTAAGTAGGTAAAATTATGATGCGAAAACCAATGCTCCACATTTTTTAACCTGGATAAGCTCGAGTATACATATGTTATACTAGGTATGCATAAGTAGATGTGAGTACATATTTCAATGTACATACATGTGTACATATGCATCACCAAGTTTACGTAAGTTAAGGTATGGACAGATAATTGCACGTATACTAGAATAACTATTTAATGTATTATTTTGTTATCATACTTGGATTAGAATTATACGCAGAAAATCAAGGCGTCATTATTTGGTTAATGGTTTAAAAACATCTTTTAACATCTTTGAGTATACCGAAATGATTGTGTTCTTAACGCATTTTGGTTCCAAACGGCCTTTGTTTGGGTAAATATGGACTGTGTATGCCATAAGTTACACCCATATTAACTTGTAATTTTTCACATTTACAATTAAGCAAATAGATCAATAATTTTATTTACAATTTTTATCCTTAAATTAAACCACAGTTGATTTTTATTTGAAAGGTCTGTGTATTAAGCTCCGATACATAAACTTTTGCACTCTTATGTAATCTGTTCAATATTTACATCAAATGCAGCGAATTTAAAGCACTAAGAAAATTAAAACTAATTTTATTTAATATATTTATTTGGTTTAAATATCTTAAGTTTTCATAAAGATAATTCAATTAATTTCGAGAACGGAGAAATGATTTTTGAAGTAGTTTCCCCGTCAAAGGGAAAATCTGTACACAGAGAATTCCTTTACAAATACGAATCCTTGGAATGTGTATGCTGTAGAGCTTAAAGGTGCCAGGACCTGCGTAATGGGTAAAGCAAATGGTGATACATAGGCAAAGGATGACAACGGTTTTCACCACAGCATCCCTGGACGACATTCGTTACATAAAAAGCTTTTTATAACAGTTTATCAAGGAAACAGCTCCTCAGCCAAAAGCTTATTAATATAATTTTAAAAATACATACACACATATGTATATGCCTGTAACTGGTTATGCCAAATACATATGTAATTAAACTATTTACACCATACGATGTACATATATATGCATGGATCATCTTAACATTTCAAGGTCGACACTGCTGGTAGCTAATTCTGTAGCTGGATCAAACCAGCCAAGAGTATTGAAGCATAAAGAAAATAACATCTATTGATTTCAGAATAAGTAAGCGTATGCGGCTAAATATAAAAAATAAAATTTAAGCTTTATATAATATTTTCTAGTTGCAATGCACGGCAAATAATTTCCGGAACTAAAAAGCTCCAATGCTTTTCACCAAGTATACTTCAATTTTTAATCAAAACATAGGTTATATGCATGTATGAAGAATAAAATGATAATGGAAAACGTTTTTCCAACCTCGAATATCTAAAAAATCGTTTACAAGTGCGATCTCTGCTATTGATGTAATTGGGACTTAAACATATATTATACATAGAAATATGTATGTTAAAAACGTTTATAACTCAAAAGCTTATATTTAATTATACTCGTATGTATTCTTTAGTAACAAATTTTTACAATCATTATAAATGACGTTGAAAGTAGCTTTTGTGAATTCTTTCTCAAAATATTCGTAATCAGCGAACGATAACGAAATTGAAAGTTTAACAAAAAATTTGAATTAGTCAAATTATACCATATCCAGTGTATTTAAAAAGACTCTAGTAGTCTAGGTTAGATGTAATTGTTTTTCTACTGTTTCATGATATTCAGCTTACCATTAATATCGTTTAAAAGTTTTCCAGTTGCATTTTCATCAATCGGGTAAGGATCTGCATCTTCGTCAGCTTTGGATACTTTAAATCTCTCTGGCATTTTAGAACTCACAGTTTTCTATTAGTAAAAGTAAATGTGAAAAATTAGTTAATTCATTTAGAGTTTTTTTTAATAGTAATTAAGAGGTTCAGCTAATTCTATATGCTTCAACGCATACAAACATACATAGATATCTTTAGCGGTGAAAGCTCTTCAACACTTCAATGAAATTTTTATACGTGTTGTGCATACATGTACATACTATGTACATATAATCGTATGTTTACATAACCATGTGCTCCAAATATTAAAATTACAAGAAGTTAAATTGTTATTAAAATAAAATCCGCACCAGAAGATGCCTATTTAACCAGAATAACACAATCTTGTGTAATGTATTTTTGTATGTATTCATATTTGCCTTACACATACACTTAAAAACAAACTCAGTGTAATCTTATTGGACAATATTTCATTGAAAACTTTCATATACTTATACACGTACCTTTCTTAAATCATTCAATGTTAAGTCTGTAATATAAGTTATTTGTCTAATCGATGTTTAATATTATTAAAACAACTTTTCAATTCTGCGTTTAACAGAAAACTGATAATACTGAGAAGCGCATGAGTAACACTAAAGAATTTTCTACTGTATATAATTTAAAATAATGGTATTCGTGATATTGGTTTCTTTTACATATTTGTTTATTGGTATGACCATGTTGCGATTATTTTTGCTCGTCAGTAATAAGGATTTCTTATTTAAAAGAAATGTTACTTAGTAAGTAATTCAAACATTTCACATCAACACGCTTACAATACATAGAAAAATATGTATAAACTAAAAATGCAGAATTCACGTAGGTATACATATAAGATTTTAGTAAGGCTGAGCTAATGGTTTAACCAAAATTGTATGTATGAACGTGCAGGGAAAAAGAAACGTGCTAAACAAATAACAAATAAACTTACTTCTTTTGTAGTGTGTAAAACTAATGTTCCTTTGTATGTGTGTATATGTGCAAGAAAAGTTTCATGAAATTTGTATGTATTATGAATAAAGCATTTATTTGTATTATATAATCATACGGGTATGCCATAAATAAACCATAGTTTTATCACTTTTATATATGTATGTATGTATGTAATATTAAAATGTTTGTAAGAACTTTCGTTTCATATAGTCTATACAGATTAACCATGTCAAAATGCGTAGTTTGGCAAAGAGATAGCTATTGGGAAAGCATGTAATTATATATATGTGTCGTTTTGTAACCGCTGAAGCGATTTTCAGCCAAGCTTCTCATCCAATTTGTGGTTTTGCATCTTGATGTTTTTCCAACGAATGGGTCGCTCCATTTGTTTATACTAAGGTGTCTCCGAACGGCTGCAGGTTTTTTATAAGGAGCCTTAATTTCATGTCAGAAATACGGACGACCGCAATCAGAAAATGTTCACCTTATTTTTTATTTAAATTAATTTTCTACAACTTTTGTATGTTGATCGTACCAAGGTTTGAGCCCGGGCCTTCAGAAGGACAGTATGCAATGTTAACTACTCGTGGTAGTCAAGTTATTACTTGAATTTATTTGTGTGTATACAGATGTGCGTACATAGTATAAAACAATATATGTACTTACATACATAGGTATATTTTTTATATGTACATATATCTGAAGAAGTAAAGTACAGTTAAAAACCCTAAAAAATTCACAAACCTAAAGCGTAGAGTATAAGAGGGACTTATAAGAAAGAGCAAATCCTTAAACAGTATTTTCAAAAAATTTAAATTGCGCGGTACATAATGTGACTTTGACCACGGCATAGCATTCATAGAGATAATATTTTTAAACTCGATGTATGTACATACTTCCTTTAATAGTGTCAAGGTGAATATAGACAAGCTGAAATGGATTTTTATGACAAAATGTTTAATTCCGATGCATCTTTTGTAAATTGTTCTATTCGCACTTTTAAAATGCTAATTGTTATACAGGCACATACATATGTATTTACATATACAGATTCATGCAACCTATGTTATATAACAGTTTGTGACCATTATGTGCACACCTTTTCAACTTGGAATAAATTGGGTAATGACAGGCAGCAAAAAAAAACACATATCAGAAAAACCATGCGTCAGGCAAGAAAATAACAAACTTCTCATAAAAATCTATGTCTGTTAGGCAATCCGCTTTTGAGTTTTTCATAGAAAATACTTTGTCCAGTTCAATTTTTGAATGTATTTTCTCTTATTGTTTGCTGAATATATACATACATCTTTGACATCGATTAATTATACATATGTATAGCCAAAGATGTCACTTGCACAGAGTTTTCAAACACTGTTACTGCGATAGGGATTTTTTTTACTTTTGTTATATCTTTTAAAATGAAAAAATTAACTCATTTCAAATTGTGAGTCAAAATGACAAATAACGAAACTCTATTTCACCAGCCGCACGTAGCATACAAAATTTCTTTGAAATTGCAATTGGAAATTGAATTTCAAGAATAAAATTGTTGATAAATGAGTGCAGTCACACACCGCAACTTTTCGCAATTATATGAAATTAAATTGACGAAACTTGTTTCAGGTAGTCAAACGTCGAAATTAAAATTTTTTGATAGCTCCTTTCTCTGATGGAACCTTTATTATTATCCTAACTAAGCTCAGATGTATGTAAGTATAGTATTTTTGTATTATATTTTTCAACTAACATTAATATCTTAAAGAACTGCCAATATACATACATATGCATATACATGTATGTATACACATATTGAAAAGTTAATAAAAATAGTATAGACCAAAGATAAGGTGATACGAAGCTCTCACAAATTGCAGATAAATGCGTTCCTCGATTATTTCTCTAGTGCTGGTAACAAAGCCAAAGGAAAGAAGCCAGTCATCATTAAATTTTCATTAAGCACACCAAATTTGTATATTAAAGTTAAAGAAAACTATTAATTATATTTGTTAAATTCAAATATAGCTGTAATAGCACAAAAAGATTAAAAAACCACGAGATAAAGAGTTTCCTATCATTATAGACATATCCAAGCTTCTCTCAAAACTGATTCCTTATTTTCGCTTGCAATGTTAAATTGACTTAATGCCACGTCTGACGGCATATTTAGATGATGTACCAAGAAATTCTCCCGGGTGAGTTAAACAACTTCAATATATGCACATACCGCACCGAAGCGCAGATAGATTTTATATCATGTCAGAAATACACTAGAAGGACTTGATATTCTCAGCAGAGGTGCGACGAGAACTACAAAAATTAATTAATTTTTTTAAATTTTTTTTTAGTCGAGACTCGAATCCAGGTCATCCGATTGTTAATGCGCAATGGTAACCACTCCACATTAGATCTATAATAGATTTTATCTATTTAACCTATATCAGCAGCTGAAATGTGTAGGACTTTTGATGTTTGGCAACTGAGAGTTCTCTTAAAGGTCTCTTGCAAGGCAGTCATTGTTGAATGAAATGATATTACGTTCGTTTATAGAAATAGAAAATATAGTACAGCGACTCAAGTTCGATCAGAAAAGAGCAACTGCACAAAATAAAGGGTGCCTTTTCAAGAAGAAATATAACACAGATAACCTACTGTTCTGACAAAGAATTTAGCTTTATTATAAATTTAAAGGTTTGCTATTATGTTTTGAAAATGATTACGGGCGCAATAAGGCGCCAAATATTCTCGTCCAAGGCGTCAAACTCCTCAGGCTTATCTGCATAGACAAGCGGCTTACGCCTGGTCAATATCGCAAACCAAACGGAGTATAAATCAAGTAACTGCTTTCAAAAACATCAAGACGCAAAACCACAAATTGGAGGAGGAGCTCAACCTGACGGTCGCCAAAACCATTAATATTTATAAAATGAGTAATTTTTTATTTCAATTGTATTTAAGTTGTTTGCTGTGCCCGCTGAACGTGGTGTCGTATGTAGCGGTGTTCGGCTGTCATTTTCAAAAAATTTACTGATGAACGTGCAAAACGTGCAAGAACGTGCTGATGGATTCACCAAACACTCATACTATTTCGGGCAGCACTAAGTCAGAGTTTACACGGGGATACTTTTTGTCGTTTATTATAGCAATTTCCCTTTTGGTGTCGCCCTTCATGTTCACACCGTATTAAGAAGATTCCAAAATATTCACTGAAAAGTTTAATCAACAGGTGAAGGCACACTTTTGTCGACCGATTAAGTTCCTATCATCATGTTCGAAGTAAATTCAATAAATTTATTAAATGTTTTTGAAAGAATGCGAGCATGAAGAGATAGAGAAAACGCCAAAACGTTAGCGCTCTTATTTTGGGATAGCGCTCGTTGCCACTCAATGGTGTAAGCAAACGCTACACCGAACGCTCCAAGTTAAAGCCAATCTCAGCGGCTTTTTCAATACGCTCTATTATTTCTTGCATTAATTCAACTTAACCGCAATCTTAATGGAGATAGAAATAGTAATTAATTAGATATATATACATATATGTATATATGAATAGGCATATGTGTATGTTTGCATGCACATGCATATGTATCAGTAAATATTGTAGTAAGAACTCAAATTTCAATTTCTAAATTTACAGCTACAATCAGTTGAAAATGAGAAACAAAATTAAAGGGAAACACAAAACGTGTCGAACGAGCACAGTGAAACATTTTCTTTGTTTATCTTTCTCTTCTGAGTACATACAAATTGAAGAAGAATGTAGTTGAACGGATTATCCGTTTTATTTTATGTTCATATTGTTGCGAAAATGCGAGGCGAATGTCAGATGAAAGAGAAAAGCCGATAACTAGTACATTCTAGAAACGATAAAACAAGAACCTTCGATAGCGAACAATTCGATGATTCTACACTTTCGTCCTTCGTATAAAGGCCACACTCAGCTGCCAAGTCAAGTTAGTTACAAAGTGAACTCGTTGTCGATAACATCAGTGTAGAGTCGTAAAGTAAACGCATTGGAGATTACATTTAAGTAAAGTAAATTGTGAAGTCTATGCAAGTGATTGCAGCTAGTAAAGTGCATTGTAATTGAATGGTGAATTACTGAGTAAATAAAGGAAATTAGATAAATTCTTTATAACGAAAGAAACTGCAAATTAAGTTGGCGAGTTTTTATTTAACAATCCAGAGATCGTACCCGAAAGATTCAGAAAATCATCGAGGTTGATTTAGCAAAATCGTAACAATTGGTGTCAGAAGTGGGATTGTTAAATAAATCCCAAGGGATAATATATGAAAAATGGTAAAAATTCAGGATTTGACGATACCTCATCTCAAGAGGGAGTTGGCAAAGCGAGGATTATCGACAACTGGAAATGAGGCAGAGCTGTAATCGAGACTGCGAGAAGAAATGGAAGTTGAAGGCATCGACTTGAACCAGTACGAGCTCCATCTCGAGGATGAAGATGTATCCTTGAAGGACATTGACAAGGAAGAGGCTGATGATTCTGTGAAGGAGTTTGAGTCACCATCAAGTAATATTCAAGAAAAGGCTCCTGGCTCATCTAAGGATATTGACATAAACATGTTATTGACTGCGATCTCACAAAATATGTCTGAAATGAGAGCCAGCATCTCACAAAAAATGGATGCACAGAACGCCAGCATCGCACAGAATATGTCTGAAATGAATGTATCTCACAAAAGATGGATGCTTAAATGCTTGAACAGAGAGAGTAGATATCATCCTTGGAAGAAACAATAGAGCAAATACAGCAAAATCTGGTGAGGAACAACGCGGAACTTAAGGAAACGCAAGATCTAATTGAGATCGAAGTCAACGCATTGACAAGTCGTGTCCGGGAATTGCAGCTAAATCGTCCAACCGCTTCAGTGAACGCTCCGAAGGTAAAAACACCATCTTTTGACGGGAAAATCCCATTTCAAGTCTTTAAGCTCCAATTTGAGAAGACAGCTGAAACAAACAACTGGAGCATAGA